CCTTGTCCACCAATAGGTTGGGTTAACACCCCCCCCCCCCAACAGCTCCGACTGGTACAACGTAGGGAAAATAGGACGCTAGGGTTAGCATTCAGGGCAAATCCGGGAGGAAAGGGTGTTAACCCAACCTATTGGTGGACAAGGGCAGTGCAAGCATGAGTACATACATAATCATCCAGATGTGCCCGACCTTGCTGTAGCCAAAAAAAAGTGGCAGACCAAGTCCTTGGATCACTTACTTTTATAACAAGGTGAAAGAAGTCCAAAAAGAATAAATGAAAAAGGTGAAGGGAGATAAGAAGGAATAAAACAAAAACATGAAAGAGAAAAACGAATAGATCAAAGAAAACAGGAAAAAGTGAAAAAAGACGAAAAAGAGTAAATCAATCAAAATCCATGAAGATTTGATCGAGCGTCAATGGATTGGACTTAAGGTATCTGTTTGAGTCTGCTGCTTTTTTTGGCCAATATTAGTTATATAGTAATGTTACAATACCTGATTTGTCTTTGATATCCGCACCCCCAATGCTTCCCTCATATAACATTGATGCCCTCCTACACTAAATGCAGTTTATCTCAGAAGCTCAGACCAGTTGCGGTAATGTGGCGGTGCTTCTAGCACCCCGCAATCTGATTTGGCCTGGTGCACGCCACCCTGTGGCGCATCCGCCCTCAAAACTGCAATCGTGATAAACCTTAACTACAGAAGGTATTTAGGTACCCCCCACCTACCTAATGAGGGACCTGCAAGCCCTATGAGCGGCTTGACGCACGCTGCCCGCCGACCTCCACCCAAAAGCCACCTCTAAACCGCTTTTTTGGGCCAGACTTTTGCCACGGCCCGAAACCCAATTTTACGGTCGCAACGACCTTTCTTCCCAACTGGTGTTTTCACGCCCTACTGACCGGTTTTTCCTTTCCTTGTTGCGAACCCGGTGTTCCCTTTTCTTTCTTCACGCATCCTTAACGAGGTTAGGGAAGCGTTACTGCGCCGGAAACAAACAATTCACGACGCCAAGAACGCCCCGCACGGAAAAAAGAAGACAACCGGCTTTCCGAAACAGCACACGATCAATATGGCACCCAAGAAAAAGGGGAACAAGAAAGGCGGGGATGACTGGGAGGCGGAGCTTGGTGAAAGCATCGCCCCGGTCGATGCGGGGGCTACCCCCGCCGCTGACGCCGGAGAGGCCGACGACGAGCCGTCCGCGGGCGGCGGTGGTTTGATGAACCTCATGCGCAAGAACAAAGAGAAGCGCAAGAAGAAGGGTCTGGTTGACGAAGACGAGGCTGCCGAGACCGCGGCTGATGCCGTGCCCGAGACACTCACCCTGCCGGACCTCTCGGCCAAGGCGCCCGAGGAGGCGAACCTTGAGGACGAGTTTGCGCTGCCGGAGAAGAAGGGCAAGGGCGGCAAGGGGAAACAGCAGCATCAGCAGAAGGGCGGTGCTGCCGCGAAGGATGAGGATGCCGACGAGTCGGGCAGGGTCTTGACCAAGGCCGAGAAGGAGAAACTGAAGAAGGAGAGAGAGAAGCAGCGGAAGAAGGAGCAGGTAGGATTATGTGTGGAAACGTATAAATCCCGGTTCTGGGCTAATATTGTGTTTCTTTCCATCATAGGCTGCCAAGAAGAAGGCCGGTGGCCCCGCCAAAGCCGAGCCCGCGAAGGCCGCTGCCGCTGAAGAGAAGCCGGAGGCACCCGCTGCTGCTGCCCCCGCTGCCGCTGAAGCCGGCGGTAAGAAGAAGAAGCTCCCCGCCCACCTCCTGGCTCTTCAGAAGCAACAGGAGGAGCTCCGTCGCCAACAAGAGGAGGCTGAGCGCAGGCGCGAGGAGGAGAAGCGTCGGGCAGAGGAGGAGGAGCGTCTCGATGCTGAGGAGAAGAAGCGCAGGGAGGAAGAGAAGGCTCGCAAGAAGCAAAAGGAAAAGGAGCGCATTGAACAGCTTAAGCGTGAGGGCAAGTATATGACCAAGGCCCAGAAAGAGGAGAAGGCCCGCAACGAGCGCAAGCTCCAACAGATGATTGCGGCGGGTATCAAGGTTGGCGGGCTGGAAGGTGATGAGGGGGAGAAAGAGAAGGAAAAGGAGAAAGAGAGGAAAAAGCCCGAGGTGAGGAAGCGGGGCGGGAAGGCCAAGGTACGCACATCACATATCGACTGGCTTGTCTTTTTGAATGTGCGAGTACTAACTCAACCTCTTTCACAATAGATTGACGAAGAAAAGGCACTGGAAGAGGCGGCTGAGCGCGCGAGGCTGCAAGCCGAGGCTGCTGCTAAGGAAGCTGAGGAGAAGGCTCGCGCCGAGAGGGAGAAGGCGGAGGCAGAGGCTGCGGCCGCGGCGGCTGCTGCGGAGGAGGACAGCGTGGAGGACGATTGGGAAGCGGCGGCCGCGTCAGACAAAGAAGATGTGAAGGATAGCTGGGATGCTGACTCCGAGGATGAGGCGGAAAAGAAGGCCAAATCCGCCAAGCCCCAAAATGAGGAGGATGAGGATGAGGACGAGGACGACGAAGACGACTCCGACGAGGATTCCGAGGAAGATGAAAAGGCCACTCAGGCCCGGCTTGCGGAGATCCAGAGAAAGAAGGAGGCGGCCGAGCGCCGTGAGAAGGCCCACCAGGCTGCTCTCGCTGCCCGGTCCAAGGACAACCTGCGCTCTCCTATTTGCTGTATTCTTGGGCACGTCGATACCGGAAAGACCAAGCTGCTCGACAAGATCCGTCAAACCAACGTCCAGGAGGGCGAAGCCGGTGGTATCACTCAGCAGATCGGTGCGACGTACTTCCCCGTCGAGGCCATCAAGCAGAAGACGGCCGTGGTCAACCCCGACGGCAAGTTCGAGTTCAAGGTCCCCGGTCTCCTCATTATCGATACCCCAGGGCACGAGTCTTTCTCCAACCTCCGGTCTCGTGGCTCCTCGCTCTGCAACATTGCGATCTTGGTTGTCGACATCATGCACGGTCTCGAGCCCCAGACACTCGAGTCCATGAAGATGCTGCGTGACCGTAAGACGCCTTTCATTGTCGCGCTCAACAAGATCGATCGTCTGTACGGCTGGAAGAAGATCGACAACAATGGTTTCCGGGAGTCGTTGGCACTGCAGAACAAAGCTGTGCAAAACGAGTTCAAGAACCGTTTGGAGGAAACCAAGCTCGCCTTTGCCGAGCAGGGTTTCAACTCGGAGCTCTTCTACGAGAACAAGTCGATGGCCCGCTACGTCTCGTTGGTGCCCACTTCAGCCCACACCGGCGAGGGTATCCCCGACATGCTCAAGCTTATCGTCCAGCTCACCCAGGAGCGTATGGTTGGCTCGCTCATGTACCTCTCCGAGGTCCAGGCCACCGTTCTCGAAGTCAAGGCCATTGAAGGTTTTGGTATGACCATCGATGTTATCCTGTCTAACGGTATCTTGCGCGAAGGCGACCGCATTATCCTCTGCGGAACAGAAGGCGTCATCAAAACGAACATCAGAGCCCTCCTCACGCCCGCTCCACTCAAGGAACTGCGTCTCAAATCCCAGTACGTGCACAACAAGGAGGTCAAGGCCGCCCTTGGTGTCAAGATCAGCGCACCCGGCCTCGAAGGCGCCATCGCCGGTTCCCGCATGTTGGTTGTCGGCCCCGACGACGACGAGTCGGATCTCGAAGACGAAGTCGAGTCCGACCTTGCCAGCCTGTTCAGCCGCGTCGAGAAGTCTGGCCGCGGTGTCAGCGTGCAGGCATCAACGCTCGGTTCGCTCGAGGCCCTGCTGGATTTCCTCAAGGTGTCCAAGATCCCCGTTGCCAACGTCGGCATCGGCCCCGTGTACAAACGCGACGTCATGCAGTGCGGTATCATGCTGGAGAAAGCGGCTGATTTCGCCGTCATGCTGTGTTTCGACGTCAAGGTCGATAAGGAGGCGCAGTCGTACGCCGACGAGCAGGGCATTAAGATCTTCACGGCCGACATCATCTACCACCTCTTCGACCAGTTCACCAAGCACATCCATGAACAGAACGAGAAGAAGAAAGAAGAGTCCAAGATGCTGGCCGTCTTCCCCTGCGTGCTCAACCCCGTCGCCGTCTTCAACAAGACTAACCCCATTGTTGTGGGCGTGGATGTCGTTGAAGGCTCGCTGCGCATCAACACCCCGATTTCCGTTGTCAAGCCCAACCCTTTGACCGGTCTAAAGGAGATCATCCCCATCGGCAGAGTGTACGTGCCCCCTTTCACAATCCCTATTAATCCAAGGTAACAGCCCGCGCTAACAATCCTTCACCCAATAGTACTTCCATTGAGCGTGAGCACAAGCAGATTCCCATCTGCAAGAAGGGCCAGCCGTCAGTGGCCGTCAAGATTGAGATGGGCGGGCACCAGCCAACATATGGCCGCCAACTTGAAGAGAAAGACGTGCTGTACTCGCAGATCTCGCGTGCCAGTATTGACACCCTCAAGCAGTTCTACCGCGCCGATGTGACCAACGACGAGTGGCAGCTCATCATCAAGCTCAAGCCCATGTTCGATGTTGCGTAAGAGTTCGATATCACAGCGGCAAGCCCAGTTTCAAGGCGGGCACTGTTCTTGTTGCTCACAGAGTAGCTAGGATGGTGAGCAGAGAGGTGGGAGTCGGGTGAGTTGGCACAGAGTTTAAAAGAGGCCAGCTAGATTGGGTAGCTGGGAAGTAAGGCTCATTCCAAGCACGGCAGTGAAGTAAGGAAGGAAACAAAGAACTGATGGCCCCGGAAAAGGAATCACGAAAAGCTCAGGAATCTTTTCGTCTGCCACGTTTCGCATTCGATGTGTTCAAAATTTCGAAGCATGTGTGTGGGGAGGAAGAATCAAAGGATGATTGAAGTGAGCGGGGCTGAAGGAGCGAATATGGTGGTGCTAGTGGTTGCAGTTTGTCGCCGAGTATTTGTTGTTATACCTGCGGCTAGCATCATCTAGTTGCTTGTTGTACTAAGTCACGTACTCTATGCGTCCGCAAGTTTGATGATATCCGTGAACCACTCGACTTCGACCACCTGATACTGGTGTGCGATTGTTATTATGTTTTCCCTGAATGATAGGGTATCCAGGGTGACCGAATTACCTTTCAGCGATGAGGGTATTGATGGTATCTTACTGCTGCTACCCACCTCACAACGAACTCGGGTCTCCAGAGGAGATAGGGAGGGATATGAAGCGCATACTGTTAAGAGGAGGTGAATCTAATTTGAATCAATTCACGCAGCGAAAGTAGCCCGAGTCCCCCAATCCTACCCAGCCATCTACGTATTCCATCTAGCGACTCGTTCCATTTCCTGTCAGTTACATTCCTTTATCATCGACGTCGTTCATCATCAGCAATGTCTCCCCGCCTCCGCGCCTTACGACCGTGACCATCAACGCTGCTGGCACACAACGCTCCGTTCTGCAAACAGAAATAGGTCGTGTAAGACGCCCAATAGTTACATGCCTTCGCTTCGTATTCCTATGAGAAGAGAACCCATCTATCAAAAGACCGCCCAGTGAATGGCTTTTTTGAGCTGCCTTCACATTCCACGCCCGGGAGAGAGAATTAGACACAAAGAGAAAAGACCAGAGAAACCGGAAAAGGGCATCAAGAGATTAATTCTTTTGTATCGTCTTGCTCCTTTTACGGGTCGCCAGCCTCCTCAACCTCGGCCTTCGGTGCGTCGGCGTCAGTCATATCCTCGTCCTTCGAGCCCCCGTTAGCAGCCTCCTGTTGAGCTTTCTCGGCAGCCTCAGCCGCCCGACGGGCCTCGGCTTCGGCGGCCTTCTTTGCCCGCTCGGCTTCAAGCTTGGCCTGTACTGCCTGGCGCTCCGCCTCAACCTTCTCAAAGTGGCGCTGGACGACTGGGCCGGCCAGGGCGCGGATCTCATCCATCTTTGCAATGTAGACAGCCTTGGTGGTGTCCTCGCCCTCCTCGTAGAGCCAATCCTGATGGCAGTGTCAGCGTCGTCCCCTTTTAGATAATCAAAGGGAAGGGAAGAAGGAAAAGAACACATACCTCGGAGGCCATGAGCTTCTCACGGATCTTCTCCTTCTCCTCGTCGCTGGCGAGACCGGCGTATTGGTCATCTAGCTTGTTGCGGAGGTCGTAGATGTACGTCTCGAGCTCATTCTTCTTCTCCTCGGTGTCGGCAACAAGCTTGTCTTCCATGACCATGGAAGCTTCCTTCTCGGTGACGGCATTCTTCGCGGAGATCTCGAGGGACTGGGTGGCGCTGACGATGGGCAGTTCGCCCTTGCGAACCTGCTTCTTGACCTTGCGAGTCTTGGGCTTCTCGTCCTTGGAATCCGTATCCATGGCCTTTTGGGGTGACTCAGGGGTTAGTTGTATTCCTGTAATTATATTCGACATGCCCCCGAGACCACCAGGGCCAGTGGGGGCCAGTTCATTCGTCTTGCGGCGTTTCACGGTCCGCCGAGACGAATCCCTGGTTTCTCCCACTTCACTCTCCCCTGCGGCCTCCATCGAGGGGGCATTTCCAGACTGCATAAAAATACTCACATCAGCCTCCTTCTTCTCACCGTTCTCCTCCTTGATCTCCTCTTCGACTTCTTGATCCTCAACATAGTAACCGCTCTCAACGTTCAAAACGCCGTGAATGTTAACGCGAGCCTTAAGCTTGCAGATCATGAACTCCTCGGGGCCACCGGTCGGCTTGACGCCCTTGACAGAAAAGCGGCCGATGAAAGGGGATGTCTTGCCCGGCAGGCCTTCGGGCTTGGCGTATCTAGCCTCCAAGTCGAACGGCTGCTTGCGGTAGAAGGTGAGGATCTTAGTCGACGGCATCACATTGCCCTTGTTAAACACGGTGAGGCTGGTGTCCTCATCGGGAATGTCGGCATCCTTCTCCCAGGCAAATTCAATCGGGTAGCTAATGATATCCTGGACGGCGAAATCGCGGACCTTGAAGACGGGAGACAAAATCGCACAGCTGAAGGCGCAACCTCGTGCAATGGCCTCGTCTTGGTTGAGGGTGAAAGAGAGCTGCTTGCCAAAGAAAGCTGTGATGCGCTCCTTGATGGCTGGCACACGGCTACCGCCACCCACCACTTCAATGATGTCAATGTCCTCCTTGTTCAACTTGGCTTCAGCAAGAGCCTGCTCTAGAATGGCGTTGACACGGCCGAACAGAGGCTCAACCAAAGCTTCAAACTCCTGACGGGTGATCATAGCACGGACATCAACGTCGTTCATGAGCGACTCGATGTTAAGGGGCCCCTGCTGGTTGGCAGAGAGGACCTTCTTGAGCTTTTCGGCCGCGGCGTAGACGCGAGTCAGGGCCTTGGGGTTGGTGAAGATGTCGATCTTGTACTTGCCGAGAAATTCCTTCTGGAGGTGCTCGACGATGGCGCGATCGAAGTCACGACCACCAAAGTGGCGATCATAGGCGTTGCCCTTGACGGCGAGCTCACCTTTCTTGAACTCGACGATGGAGCAGCTGTAGTCACTATACCCGACATCGACAAAAGCAACGCGGCGCGGTTTCTCGTCGGCGGCAGGAAGGTCAAGCTTCGTGATACCGTAACCAAGAGCGGCAGCTGTTGTATCGTTGATGAGGCGAAGGAGACGGAGGCCGGCAATCTCAGCGGCATCGATAAGGGCCCGGCGCTGCGCATCGGTGAACCAGGTGGGTACGCTCATGACAATATCTTGTACGTCGAGCTTTAGCTCAGCAGCAGTGGTCTGCTTGATCTTGCTGAGGAACATAGCGACAAGTTGTGTCGCGGTGAACTGCTCCTTCTGGCCGAGGTAGTTCACCTCAGCACCGACCTGGCCGTTAATATCGACCAGCTGCGCGGACACATACTTCTGCTCGATCTGGACATCGGGATCCTTGAACGAGCGCCCCACGAGACGCTTCAGGCAGCCAACTGTGTTCTTCAGGTTGGAGATCTCCTGCGTCTTTGCGGGCTCACCGAGATAACGAGACTTGGGCCCGAAACCAACAAGGGACCTGTGGAAGAAAGCTCGTGTTAGTTACAGATGCAAGAATCGCGTGCCGGGGTTGAAGTGCGACGCATGTTATGGTACTTACGGGGTCGCCCGGTTGGAAACTTCGTTGGTGATCTGTAAGATGCGAAAAGCCAGTCAGTCAGCATTTGTTCCCTTATCCTTTGCCCGCCACCCCTTTTGTATTTCCGGCGCATCGCTCGACTTGACAGGGAGGGTTGGCGCGGCGGCGGGCTGGTTTGTATGGCTTTTAACGTACCACATCGACACCCCGATTCCTCGCGACGGCGATGACGGTGTTGAGCGAGCCGAAATCGACACCTAGGGCACAAGCACAGGCGAGTCAGCACACTAACTCCTCGAGACACGGAGGTCGCAAAATAGGCCAGGCGTTGCTACTTACCGACGACACTCATGTTGGGCGGGAAATGAGGGGCACTACCGAGGCCGGATTTGCCGTGTAAATAAATGGATCGTGGGGAGGGACAAGTACGCAAATCCCAAGATGCGAGCAGCAGGAAATAGGCTCACCAGTGAAGTTACAGGCCGGATGTCTAAGTGACGGGATGGTGAATCTGCGCAGATATGGTTGTCTGGCAGTCAATATATCGGAAGGCTGTGAAGGATGGATCCTGTAGGTATCGCAGGAGCAACAGGGAGGAAGGTAAGGCAGGTACAAAGATGGCAGGTAAAAGCAGAAAAAAAAATCAAACCTCAGTGCCCGACTTCCAGCGCTCAGAGGGGCGAGATGGGCTCCCCTCCACAGCACCTTATGGGGCCTCCCATTAGCCCCACACCAGGGGGGTTGACGCCTAAGCCAAGACCGGCAGAACCTGGGAGAAGCTTCGAGACTGACCTCGCACAGAAAGATGGAGTAATGGGATTCCTTCGGCGCATATGATTGTTTTGTGTTTTGGATTAGCGCCCGAAGTCATTCTTTGTGCACTTTTCTGATAATGGAGAAACAAAGCGTCCAAAAAATGGGAAGTCGGAACTGCATCTTTCGTCCCTTCTCCTTATCTAGTCAATCCGAGAAAGTCTCAATATGGCATTAAGTCGTGATGAATTTCATCTTCAGAAGCTCGAGCGAGGGGTTGAACTGCGACCAACGGCGATAACGCTTATCGGAATTTTCACACCCCCGTGTATTTATCACCCCACCTCTGCCCACACCGCCGACAAGCTGCCGTGTTTTGCCAAGCACAGCCCCTCGACTTTGTGACTTTTGAATGCCCCATGAGCCCCGCCATGTTCAAAGAATTCTGAAGTTGAGGCAAAAGGATTTATCATGGATATTCCCAACCCGGAACAGGCCGTTCTTGAATCAGTCGGTTCAGCAGTTTGCCTCATATCTCATCATCTGACAACCACAAAACTGGTACTACACAACAAAGCAACAAAGGGATGATTCCTACCTCGTAATTCGAAGAACCTAACCCGCCGGATGAATTTGTCCCAGAAATTTGGGTGAAACTAAATAAGTGCCAGACTTTTTTGTTCGTAGTGCCCAATTGCACCCATGCCCAGACTTGCAGACCCACGGCTGTTGGACCCAATACGTAATGTAATACCTAGCTGGCCAAGGCGATTTCAAGGACTGTAGGACTCATTGTCAGTTCACTTCAGGTTGTGTGGTTTCCACATCGGGCTGTGTGATTTCGAAAAGGAAGAAAGAAAGAAAAGAAGAAAGAGAGAATTGTGATCCAGAATTGGGCAAATGACGGTGCCGGCTTTGTCTGCCCCATGTGATAGTGATTGTCAATTTGCCGTTTCAGGTCATTTCGTATTAAGTCCTAACAAACTTTGGGAACAACCTCTCTTCAATGACTCTCAATTTTAGAGGAAAATAATAAATTTCATATCGTGCAGACAGGTATCATGTACTTCTCCCAACCGCTATATACCAAAAATTATCACATCATTCATTACGCCATGCGTTTTTGATCATCCCAACTCATAACCAAGTAAATCCCAATCCCCCCGCCACTCTCGGCTCTCAAGGTCCCTTTCTCGGCGAAGACTGACCGCTACCGCTTCTTTGCCCCTGGCCCTGCATATGCGCTTGGGAGCCATGGGAATCATCAATATCCGCCTCCACCTCATCCCTCGTCACAGGCCTCGTCCAGCTAGCCCTGCCCAACGGACTCCTCCCCGCGACACCCATCATAGTCGTGGCCGCCGGGGGCGGCGGGACAAGAGAAGGCCGTCCGCCTGCACTGCTCCCCGCTAGGAGGTCGATGGCGGATGTCGATCCTGGGTGGCCGTGTTGCGGCTGCTGCTGCTGCAGGGACTGCTGCTCGGTTGTCTCAAAGCCAGATCCGGATCCAGATCTTGGTCCGAGCCTAGATCTCGATCTCGACCGAGACCGAGATTCAGAAGCGGCAGCGGTGTCGACAGGAGCAGGATCGGAAGTACTGCCAGCACCAGCGGCACCAGTAGCCCCGAAAGAAGGCGTCCCAACCGGACTCGCAGCCGCTGTGCTTCCCCCAGCACTCACACTCCCCCCTCCTACACCTTCATCCCCAACCTCTACTACATACCCGCCCTGGCCTTGGAACGGCGGCCGTTGAGTCCCCTGAACGCCCCTCCAGGTGCGGCTCTCCCGCATGGCCAGTAGACTACTGATATGTCCAGCCTGGGCGAGCTCATACTTGCGGCGGTCTTCTTCTCCCATGATGCTTTCGACGCGATGGGGCATGTAGACCGATACGTTGCTACCGTTGATGTTGTTATCATGAGCTGATGTGTGATAGAAACTGTCAAAAGAGTCGCGCTGAACTTGGACGCCTTGGAACTGGTGATGGTGGTGGAGCGGGGTCGAGGTACGCCGGTTGAATTGCGTGTTGGCATCCGTAACGGGAGAGCGCAGGCTGTTGCCACCGCCCATATCGATGTCATCGAGATCCGTGTAGGGCGACGGAAGGGTGAAAACGGATTCTTCTGCGTCGGGGTGGTGGTACCAGCCAGAAGCGGTACGTTCAGGCGCAGCGAAACGGCCGTCAATTTTGTCGGGCGGAAAAAGGGGCACACCGGGGCCAGAACTGGTCCCAGCGCTAAAGCCGAAGCTGAAGGCGTCGTGACCGGTACTATCGGCAGTGTCGGTGCGTACCGGCCTTGTACGCTTTCGCTTCTTGCGCGTTTTCTCTTGAGCGGCGTCATCACCTTCCTCGTCGTCATCCTCGGCAGCGGCAAGTTCGAGCTCAGCACGTTCCTGAGCGGCGGGGATAAAAGATTCCGGGACGATGTTGAGGACATCGCCGGCTTCTTCGGCCTTTTCGATGGCCTCTTGTGCGGTGGTGGTGGAATCGGCCGCAGCGGCATCCGCACGTGGGCCACCCCAAGTACGCTGACCGGCCGTGAAGATGCCGTAGACCATGTAGTACCAGTTGAAGAAAGGGTTGAGGATAAACATCATGGGGTATAGCCATATCTTGAAGCGGCGCAACTTCGTACCAAAGTAGATCATCAGCAGCCAGTTAAGCCCCAGAGAGATGGCGATGAAGCCGACGGGTAGGTCGTTGATGCCCTTGGATGTCGTCATCAGGGCCATCACCATGATGAAGAAGAGTAGGGCGGTAGTTCGGATGGTGTTTTGCATGAACCGGACCAACACCAAGACCGGATACCGCTTCCACAACCGCCAGTCTGTCAACATGCACACTTCGTTCGTGATAAACCCTAAGAACCACCGGCGACGCTGCTTGATGAGCGAGCGCATCGTCTGGACAGCCTCGGTCTTGCAGAACGCCGATGTGCACATCTGGATCTGATACCGCTTCTTGGCCCCAATCATGAACAGATGGGTCAGCCAGCGGTCCTCGCCCAAGTGGCTCTTCGCAAAGTCGAACAGGTCCTCGCACTGCTCGGCTTTGTCGGCAAAGTAGTACTTGGCCATGCGCCGGAAGGCCGAGAAGCGCAGCATGGTAAGCGCGCCCGGCAGGCAGGTCACCGCGCCGCAACCCGATTCAACCGTCCGCTCAAACAGCTGGCCGTGGACATACTCCATATCCTGAAGGAGCGTAATGAGGCTGTGTTTCTGGGTGGTCGACGTGATCACGCCCGTCATGGCGAGCATGTCCCGGCGATTGCCCGGGCTGAGCTCCATATCATAGACAAAGTTCTGCAGGCAGACCCGGTCAAGGATGCAGTCCGAATCGATGAACAAGATGAAGAGATTGTCGTTCCTGCGGAGGTAGTTATGGTAGACCTTGTCGATCAGTTTGAACGTCATCTTCTGGCAATGCCTCTTGCCGCCGTGGGGGAACCTCGAGACTGTGATCCGCGCGCCCCGGTACGCTACGTCGATACTCTTCGGGTACGACTCTAGCGTCAGGGGGACTCCGACCTTTTCGATGGTGTTTAGGTACAACTCGTCTTCCTGATCGCCGTCGAACGATAAAAAGACGTGGATGCAAGAGGGCGGGTAGTCGCAGTCGACGACCGAGTTAATGGCGGTAAGGAGCACTTCGGGCTCTTCCTTGTAGCACGGCATAACAATGACCACCTTGGGGGCTGACACCTCGTCGAGGACCTGCTTGATGCGTTTTGTTCGCCCAAGGTGGTGCGTGACGATTTGGTAGATGCAGAAGAGCCAGGGGATGGTCAACAGACCGGCAAAACTCCAAAACGCAAACCACTGGAGGAATTGGACCATAAACTCAGGCCAAACCCGGGCGATGACGCTTGGGAGCGGTAGTGTCACGACCATAATAGGAAGGAATATAAGCCTGTCGACGGTGTCAGTAGTGCCTAGCTCGCTCACCCGCTCACTAGTCCGTAGAGACCGACACTCACCTCAACAGTGTAAATGCAAGCCCGATGAATATGGCCAACACCCTCACCGTCCAGTGCTCAGCCTTGACAAAAACCTTCCATAGGCAGTATAGAAAAGCGGCAATCCAGAGGAACCACTCAAGCAAGGCTGCAAGCATCACCAACCCCACGATGGAAGTGTAGACGATCTAAGCTTGTAGGTAAGCAACTCAACCCCATGTTTGTCTCCATAACAACAGCCAGACAGATCCAACTCACATCGCTGACCGGCCATAGCTCTTCCGTATCCCCCGCCATGCTGAACGAATGACAGGCCGACTGAAAAACGAAAGATTCAAAACGATGGCATCAACCTGGAATCCAAACGGTCTCCAAAGCCCGGGACACCGCGTGGTTGTTTAAAGAACAGCACCGAGCCCAAGGAAAAGGGAAGTCGATGCAAAGCTAGAGTGGCGGCCGTTGTGTAAGTCAAACAGACCTGAAGAAAGAACTAAGCCTCGCTCCCCGGCGTTCTGGACCTGTGGAACGCCCGTATAAAGAGAATGGTCGGCGGCAGGACGCACAAGCGAGCGGGTGCTTGCAGGGCGGTCGTTCGTGGCCCAGCCAAATCAACGGCCGGGGTTCCCAAGACGTTTGTGTGCCACTGGAGCAACAGGCAAGAGGGAGGATGACGAAGGAGGCCCAGCCCAGCTCGTGCTCAGGCAGAAAGGAGAAGGTGAAGAGTACACAGAAGGTAGTGCTGGTTTGGACTCGGTTCCGGGAAAGGCCGTCGTCCGTGTGTTTCCCGTGTTTCGTGCTGCTCGTTCCCCAGAACGGCCTATTCCAGGAAATCGATGGTCTGCTGGGCCCCAGGCTGTGTGACCAAAACGTTGCTTTGTCCTACGAACGTGGATACGCCTGATGTGATGGTAAACGGGCCGGGAAGGGCGGAAGGTAGCGAAGGAAAAAGGAACAAAGAAAGAAAGCGAGTGGTGGGTGGATGGGTGCAGAGCCGGGGGGTGTGAGTGTGAGGTTGGAAGAAACCCGTTTGTCAAGCATAACAGCCGATAGACGGGGACGGGAGGGAATAAAAATAATCATTTAAAAACAGGAGAAACACAACATCTGCATTGATCCCCCATCACACTCGCTCGCCCGCATCCCGAGCCGCTCCCGCAGCCCACAGCCTGCAGCCGCCAACAGGATGGTACCTGGCCAGGAGGTCGCCCAGCACGCGTGCAAAGTGGAAAATCATGGGACAGCCAAAAAACCTCTCCCGTGCCTTCTTTTCCCGTCCCTCGCGCCAGGCCACCAAACGCACGGTCAAGTGGGGAGGGGGCCAGAAGCCATGTCGCCATGGAGCCGGGCATGTCGTCGCTTCCCCCCTCATGAACCCATGGCCACGACAGCGCCGATCAGCGCCAAAAGGAACAACACGACTGCAACATTCGGCCGGGCCGGCCACCAGACCGAGACCCAAGCGCAGTGGGCCAGAGCGGTTGAGCGGCAGAGTTGTGCAATATAATTTCAGCAAATTGAAGTAACACAGTTTAGCCGGGCTGCCTTGTTTGGTATTGGAAAGTCTGGGGGAAAGGAATGGTAAGGCAACACAAGGCTGGTTTTCATTGACCTCGCTTCCACACTTGTGTGGTTCTTCATATCCAGGTTTGCCTCTCTCTTTCGGCAAGACAGACGGGTAACTGTAAAATTACTCAACTTGCATTTTTTTTCGCCCACCCCCGCTCCTTTTCTTTCCCGATTGGCAGGTTTGTTGTGCCTGGGTTCTGCTCGGCCTTTCCAGTGGTGAGGAAAGAGACACGCAGTCTGCAGCCAACAAAGTCCAGCCTCCCATGGATTTGTTGTGGACTTGAAATGATCGACCGATCCGATGTCGATTTGGGAGATCTGGCGGCCCCGCTTGTCTCATTCCAACACAGCTTGCGCGCGGGTAACGTCGCGCTTTCGGTCCAGTGCTGCACTGCTGTCCAAGCATTTGAGCATGGGATGGTCATTTTCAGCTGAGTCTGTTAAAAATGTCTTAACCTGAAAGTTCCAGAAGTTGTGTTCCTACGAGTCATCTTTCGGAGAGAAAACTGCCTGAAACATACCAACGCAGACACGGCGTTACGCCCCCATCGAAAGATTCCCTCTTTCCAGGTTCCCAAGCCGAGGAAGTTTGGGACAGCCTCCCACAAACCATGACCAAAAAAGGATAGAGCCCAGCACTTGACTTCCCTTTTCAGGGTGAACCGCCTAGGCGTTGGGAAGAAAAGCAGCCAGATGGGACCACCCATCACATCCATCTGCGGTCCGAAAAAACTATGAACAAGGAGAAAGTGTCTCACCGACTAGCCGCGATGATTTTAGACATGCACTCGGTAACGCCACGCGCGCGGCAACGGATGAGTCGACCGAAATATCTTCCGCGAGCTGATTGTGAGGTAAAGGTGTTAGTGAAGAAACAAAAATAAATCAAGAGGCGAACAAGCGACGGGCCCGCGCCAAGCAGCTGAAGCGCAAGCGGGCCGGAGGACGACGGCTGTGATGCTTGGCTCCCGCAGAGTTCCAGCTTTCGTTGACGTTAGGTAGGAATGCCAGATTCTCTCTGCCGCACCTGCATGGCTCTCTTTGCAGGAGTTCAGGGCGATGAGAGAAAAAGGAAGTTGGGATCAATAATGGGATAGAAAAGGGATCGGAACGCCAAGACACCGATGCTTGACTCATCCGACCGGCCCAGTAAAGTCGTGTCAACGCCCCCGGGCGTCTGCCTCCTCCGTCCCGTGAAAATCTCACAATAAAAAGAGTGATTTATGCTGAGCTAGAATCTAGTTCCTAATATGTTAGTGTAAACGAAGTACCCGGATAATAGTAACTAACAAGGTGTTCATTAGTGTGTTTAAGAGTCCTACAAGGTATATAGAGATCTTTGCAGAGTACAATGTTGTCTCTCAAGCCAGATGGATCAAGAGAGTGAGTGTAAGACAACGCCTGAATGGGTAATTGAGCAACGACTTAGCTGCTCAACTATACGTTATACCTAACGTTCCCGGTTTCCGCTTTGTCTTCTGGATGACTTCTAATCTGCTTGGCGAGTGTCCCATCGCAGAACGACGGAAGCAATTTAGCGTGATTTGACGAAAAGTTTAAAACTATGTCAACAGGTCGGGAACTCGACACTCGAGGTCATCCTTGACATTGCAATGTTGATGAGCTATGGAGAGCGCCCTTGCTCTCGCTTAGCCAATACCCAGGTTAAACTTCCATGGCTTGGCTTATGGAAATGCTGCTGAGTCTGTTACATCTTTGAAGATGGGTTGATCACAAATTCAGATCTACCTTTTCGACCGCCTGTCACCCACCGCTCTCCCGAACCCGGGCGACCCTTTCTGAGCACAGGGCGAAGCATGGCACAGAGTTACTCCGTACAGAAGCCTAGATCGGCGCCGACAGGCTTGCAGCAAGCCGGCAGGGCTGGGCGCAACAGCGACAGGAACGTGGGGGCCGCCCAACAGATGGGGGTGAGGCGAGCGAAAAGCGAGACAGAACTGGTGGACTCCCCGTCCATATAACTATATCGCTGGCAGCAACAAAACCCACAACTCCCCTCACAGCCATCAAGGACTCCTCTGTATCGCGTAATGGGTTTGTCGAATCGTCATTCGGGCGTTCAGGTTGACAATCCAATACCTAGAACCTTGCTCTTTTAGGCGTCTCCCCGACCTGCCCTTGGGGCTTGTCACTGTCACGGTCGCAGCGTCGGTCTCCCTGTCACTAAAGCCCCTGTCAACTGCACCTGCATGCCAGGGAACCAGACGTGCCAGACAACCTGGTCCTGTGCTGTGGTCCTGTGGAGCAAGTGAATGGATTGATGGCGAGAGCGAAGAAAAAAGAAGGGAAAAAAAAGAGGGGCGCGGCAGATCTCCCGCTGCGAGCGGGGTGGCACTCGTGGTGGGCTGGGGGAGCAGTGGGGCCGCAGCTGTCCTGGGGGTTCCGTCCGGTGCCGGTCAAGGGGACGGGAAGAAGGAAAAAAAAGACAAAGAAAAGAAAAAGGCGAAAGGACGGGGCAGTCTTTCATGTCCAATCCACGTCACGCTTGCCACCACGCCTACCCCCGACTTCCTCAGCTGTCTCCCGTCGAGGTGTTTCGTAGTTACTGGGCCGTGACGGTGCAGCAGCAGGAGCAGTATTGTGCTTGAAAAAGGCTCGGGTGGCTGATGAAGTGAGCGGATTAAAAGGGCTCGCAACAAATGCCGTCAGAGTCGATACGACGCCAGAGTTGCACTGTTCTGATGAGACGAGAAGGGAGAAAGGGAAAGGGGAGCCGAGAGTTTCCCGAAGACGCAAGCCATGGTCGTCGATACTTGCCATTTCAAGAATAACTACTCCCAGAGACGTCCTGGAGCGACGGTGTATGTACGGAGTGTCCTGCCAGCCTACCTCTAAGAAGGGTTTCTGGGGTTTTCTAATGCCCTCGGAACAGCCTCCTCATCGGAACGCGTGTTTTTTTCTTCCAACCTCCTTTTGGTATGCGCCTGCAGAGTCAAGGACGGTAGACGCTGTTTTTTCGGCTGGGCCGTACCATCTTCCACTTTACGCCCCAGCCACAATATTGTCACACAGCATCTAGCCGGACGCTGGACCCCTGCTAAAATGAGTGCATAACTTTACACAGCTGGGAGAAACCCCCTCTAACATAGGAGGAAAGATCGTGTAAAATTTCGGCAGTCTGTTGTGTATCGCGCACTATTTTCTTTTCTGTCCTTTTCCGTCTTTGCTTCGAGCACCACCGCCAACCCTGCAGGGCCACTGCACCATCCAGACCGGGAAGGTAAAGTTTCGAGGTCGCGCTTAGACCATTTTCTGGATCAAGTTGCGAGTCGCCAATAAGACCCCTTCCTCGACGGAAGCTGTAGAGGAGCTGAGCAGCGGTGGCCACGGGCCCCTTGAGATCAGAATTCGGGTGAGGCCTGACATGCAACAAGCGGTGGGGCAAGGGGGGGAAGGACGATCGTGTGTGCATGCGTGCTCCATCTAAGCCGTCCTGTTGTTGGCCGCTCGGGAGCCACCCGCCCGCAACCAGGTTGTCGGGCTGATCGACGAGGGGGTGACCTATATTTATAACAATAGCCGTGAGATTATCTTTCAACCATCGATGTTGAAAAATGTTCCACGAGCATGAGATCGCCCCAACCGAGCAGATGGACATAATTCTGGCTAGTACTTCAAGCGCCGAGACCAGGCCGTGTTTTGGTCTAGGTGGAAGCCTGTGCGATGTCTGAGCTGGTTTGAGAGCAGCCGAGGGTTCCGGATGCGTTGCTCTTGGCATCGCGTGGATGAGATGAACAAGGCGTTGGCTTCGGTATCATGTCCTAGCGTGTAGCGCCCAGTACGGCTTTGTTAGTGACCCCATGCTACCCGGCGTGCAGCTCTTTCTTCAATACGCTAGAATTTGTGGAATCGGCTCTTGACCAGAGCTGAATACAAGCAATGATGCACTAGCACCATCTTGCCTGTCCTCACGGTCGAACAATAGTGGCCGAATGGTGCGTTCCTGTGGATTTCCATAATCAAGTTTGGCGGGCTTGGCCGCTTAGCCAGTCAAGGGCACTTGCCGCTGCCTTTTTAAGGGCACTGTCTTTCAGGGGTGTCATACCAGTCAACATCGCTGAGTTGCAGTTTGCGAACCCGTTGTCCGCGGTCCTTGCCAGATCGAGGGTCGAGCCGATTATGATGGTGATGGGTGGGCACCTTTTCATTGCCTGAAAAATGATAAAATTAGCTGTTTAGTTCATAGGGGTGGGGGATGTCCTCACCATCATTCTCATCATTCTCCCGGAGGTCATAGTTCAGCACTAAGTTCTTGATGCGCTGTTGTTCCTCCTTTGCCGCTTGTCGCTGGTTGATCATGGCCACGGCGAAGTTAGAGTCCGAGGGCAATTCAACGGTGCGAGTCTGTCACGTTTAGTATACCACACAGGACACAAACAAGCTAGGACAAACATCATGCGTACCTGCTGACGGTTACCCCTTTTTGTCAAGAGCGAGAAGGCCATTGTCCCAGCCGGAATGGCCTGCCCGGTTTCCGCAGTCTCACCGCTGGCCGCAGCCTCGCGTGCCTTGGTCCGGACAGGGAGCGGGAGGTCAAATTGTTGCTTCGGTTGAAACTTGCGCGTCTCAAAGCTCTCTGCCATGATCTTCGCATACTCACGGTCGAAGTCGGCCTCATCTTCGGGATCAATACGCTCTTCCTCCCTGGTGACAACAATCGCTTCTTCTTCATCAGACTCGCTTGCGTCGTAGGATGGGTCCTGTTCGGCGTCCTGCACATCGGGGACTGGGTTAGCGGTGTAAATACGAGCCACTCTGGGGAGCGTCCTACATCAACCTCAGCATCTCCATCCTCTGAAGCTGAGTCTTCATCATCATCATGGTCGCCGGCAGCTTCGTCATCGCTAGATGCCCCACTCGTTTCATCATCTTGCTCTAAGACCTTGTCCATTCCAGAAGTCTTCTGGTCCTGTACCATAGCCAACTGGAACACCTTAGTGGCCTCTTCGATGTTGGATGCTACTTTCCATTGAGGTCTTGTCAAAGCAAAAATGTCTTGTACAAGGAATTCAATATCCATCGGCAACGGGTTCTTGGTGTATATGTAATACTGGAAGAAAGAAAGGAAGTAGTCCAACTTCTTGCCCGCAGCACCTTTGTTGAAGAACATCCCACAGGTCTCGAGGATAGTGGAAATGAGGCGGATGCGAAAGAAGTCGTCAGGCTGATCGAAGGGGTTGATGCGGCCGGGCATCGGCGGCCCACCTACATACCAGCGTCAGCAACAGGGACATATACAGAGCGACGGATAGGGGTGAGTAAATACCGTGACCAAAGGTCATGATCTTGTACATGACATCGAAGATTACGGGATGTTCTAGCATCCGGTAGTTGTAGAGCTCTCCCAAATACTTCACCTCAGCAATACGGCGTTGATTAAACTTGAAGTCATTCTGTTCAAGCCCAAACGCAATGGACTCAATCACCGAGTCAATCACCCCAATAACAAACGCGGGGTGATACCTGTTGATGGCACTCAACAAGATAGCAAGGAGGTGGATATTGCCAAACTTGACCTTTCCTGGCTTCTCAAAGACCTTATGGAGGACTGACACAACCTCCTTTTCTTCCCAATGGAGCCGTCTGATCTGTCTCAGGACCTTGCTGTAGTTCCGTTTGGTCAAGTCTGAGTAGGCAAGCTTGCGAATGAAGAGTTGTATGGGTGTTCTCTCCTTCTGCTCGATCGCTGGGCGCTGGGGCGGGTCGACGTAGTAGACGGCATTTTCAATGAGCATCCGCTCGGCCGGCCCAATGTGCTGAACGGACTTCTTACGTTGAAGAGTTTCGAGGAAGGTCGACATGCGAGGCGAAGTCTCTGGGTTCCGTAGGAGATAGCGACCGCAGTTCTCAAGCAGGTTGCAGATAATTTCGATGTTCACACGAGAGAAGTCATCCAAACTAACCTTGAGGCAGTGGAAAACAACATGCTCGGGAACAATACCGAACTTTGTGAGCTCGGCGAGATAACGGATGTTACTTAACCTCACTTGCCCAAGGAACTCCTTCTCCTTGCGGCGCTGCAGGCTGCGGAATTCAGCGTCCAGATACTCCACGAGGCCTTTTGGGATGTCCATCATATATTGGCCGAGGGTGGCAACGAGTCTCGCCCAGCAAGGAAGAAGGTCGCCACGGCCCTTGGGAACATCAGTCAAGGCCTTGACCAGGCGGTTCCTCGAGGCCTTGGAGTTGAGGTAGCAAAAGTCGATAGCTGTCTGGTCTATGGCTTCTTTGCTTGTGAGGTCCGGAAGACGAGAAAGCAATGCGTCGACCTGGGCTCCGATCGTCTTGTTCGCAATAGCTACTGACTGATCGTCGGCAGCAGTATCGGCCGGTTTGAAAGCCTCCGAAAGCTCTGCCGGGTCAATCTTCTTGCCAACCTGCTCGTCTTCAGGCTTTTTTTTCTTCACCTCTTCGAGAAGGATACCAGGAACCTTGCCCTTGAGATCAACGAGGTTTTCGTAAAAGCGACGCTCTTCCTCATCTTCCCAGATCCCGGAACCGTCTCCTTGACCACGCAGGTATTCCCCAGTCTTGACAATACCAATCGACCCGTTTGCCCCACCAGATGCATCGTCGCTGTCCTTCAGCTCCGGCATTTCGGCGCCAATAGTGTCTGCGATAACCTGGGCGTTGGCCACAAGGCGCTCTTGGGCCTTGACTTGTTTTTCGAAGTTGGCTTGGCGGTCCTCAAACACCTCGCCCGACTTGACGTAAGCTTCGGCGTTCTTGCGCGACTGGTTGTAGATGGCCTTTTGGTCTCGGACCAGGTGGCCCTTAACGTCCTCAAAGTAGCGTTTCAACACGTTCCGAAAGCGCTCTTGCAGCTCGGGTGGGGTGGAGGGGGGGTCCGTGGATGTTGGTTCGGAATCTCCTTCTTGGTCCTCGGTGGCACCTCCACTCTTGGTAGCGCCATCCTCCTCGACAGTCTTCCGGCCCTCGGAACCGGCCGCTCTGACGCCGAGAACGTCCCAGCTGAATGCTTTGATGAAGACAACAAGCAGCGGCAGGTTCGCGTGCTCACGGTCGTGGCCAAGGAGGTCCTTCAGAACTTCGAGCGGAAACGGCTCGGCAACTCCTCCTTTAGCAGACGCGCGAGATTTCACCTCAACATGTTTCCCTGTGGTTCCATTTGTGGCATCGTCCGGCCGCTTGATGTCGTCGAGTGTGCGTAGGATATCGACAAGCCACAATTCGGTGACGACCCGAAGAAGAACGCGTTGTCGGACCAGCCTATCCTTTTCCTCCTTTTCTCTTGCTTCCGGAGATAACGTCTTCAGAACGCTCTTGTCGGGGGTGGACATCGATCTCCCAAGAAACCAGCCCAGGTACGAGGTGAAGTCCGCAGGGCCGAAGCGCTGATGCAAAGCGCTGACAATTTCCACCCCTGCTTCAATTTCACCAGGCGACTTGAGCCTGCACAGTCCTTCGTGACATGCCGAGACGATCTCGGAGAGGTATTTGGACAAGCTAACGGTCTTGATTTCTTGCAGGAACGTGTTGAGAGTTCCAGGGGAGATGGCGGTACGTAAACGTTTGATGAACGCGGTGTTCTTTTTCATAGTCGAGTCGAGGGAGCTGTTAACGGGGAAAAGATCTGTCCCGAACGTATTAGTTAGCAATAATCAGAGCGACGCAGCTCTGCGGAGAGCCTATGTATTTCCTCACCCTTTTCTCCATTCCAGGCTCGCTCGTTTAGCTCTCGCAACTCGTCTATCCTAGCCATTAGCAGCCCCTCCACAATGACTGATCATGTCGGACAAAACATACGCCTCCGCGCGCGATCCATGGCGGGCCGAGTTCGCGATGCTCGCGGTGTTCGCAGTTAAGGTCGTGTCGGCAGTGACGCATTCGGAATCAAGGTGCTAAGGGTTTAGGAACCGGAAACGACAATCCCCATCAACAATGGCAGGCATCGGTGATGTGACTTGCATGGGTAGCCTCTAGAGGCAACGTGTCGAGTAAGATCTCGGAAAGGTAAGGAAAGCCAAGGCAGTTGCGATGCTGAAAAGCAGGTCGAAAGAACCATTTCGGTTGTGGAGATAGTTCGAGGTTCTTGGCTCGGTGACGGAACTGCTTTGCGGCGCTGGGTTTTGGTGGGCTCTGCTGAAATCTCTCCCCCGGATTGGGCCATTAGGCGCGATTTAGCGCCTCACGGGCCTGGAGCAGGCTTGCCCCGCAGGCCCAAGGCCCCGCGATGTAGTAAGAAGGAGCCACCGCCACTCCGGCTGCAATTGAAATGGTCATTGACTAGGTAGGTAGATAACGTTATAGTCTACCTAGGTAGGTAGGTATGTGGTATGTATGGATGTACGTATCAAAGTCAGGTTGCATTCACCGAAACGCAAAAGTCCAGTCGATTCCATCTCACGGTCCTTTCCGACCGGCAGCCGCGGGGCAGACCGAACACAGCTTCGCTACCTATGCTAAACTCGTCACTTTCCAACAGCCAACGACAACCTTCTTAACACTAATGAAGATTGGGAGCTTACCATACTACGAGGTCGTTTTCATTACCCCACGGCCAACAATGTTCTATGGTGCACCATTCCCCATTGTGGCAATTGGATGGACATGCTCAGGCTTCTTGAGGCAATATGAGGTGTACTCCCTCGACACATGTCTCGCGTCAACACCCAATTGTCCAGCAAGAGGCAAGGAGACACCGTCATCAAACCATCGGCAGCCTTTCCTCCTCCGATGACGGACCAGGGCAACTCAGATGGACCGAAAGATCACCCGGACTTGGCAAGCGGCGCCGGCAGCAAGTGACGGGACTTGGCAGTCAAGTCCCGCACCGGACCGAGTCCTCACCGCAGCCAAGCCCGTTGATGAGTCCGTTCCGGGATTTTGGGCCCAAAGCCAAGCCATCCCCTGGCAGACGTTCGCCTCTGGACCATAGAAATCCCTGTCGTCCCACCTTGGCCCGCTGATAACGGCAACCACACACACTACCAAACAAGGCAAGCAGCTGTCTCCGCGGGATCGAGATGCGCGGGGGCAAAAGATACCTTAAATACCTAGGGAACATAAGGTTCCGAACTTGTTTCAGCAAACCCTCCTTCTAATGCCGGCAGAAGGGGCCTCATAAAACTCGCAAGGGCGGGTTCCCAAGTCGCAGTTTCACGCTGAGGAGAAATCTCGGGTCGATCGAAGATCTTCGTTGATTTCTCCAACGGTCCGCCGAGTGGGCCGTCCCTTATCAACTAGCACCTGAAACTGCGGGAGTGGTTCGACTGATAAGACTAGTTAGACAAACATACCTCCCAACTACCGCTTATTACCGTACCTACGAACCCGGACGGTTGAAGCATGTCCGCGGAAGTCAACGATACCGCTGTGCTGACCGCTGGCTGGCTGGATCTCCGGCCCCCTCGGAGGCATGGCACCGTCCACCGAGGGAACGGATCGCTCCCGTCCCCACGACGTCGTGTCCCATTGCATGAGTACATTTCACCATCTTGGCCCAATCGTCGTGAGATCCACAAGAACCCCAGCAAATCCATGGCCTTTCCATGTCGCTGCTTAGGTGTATCTCGTTGTCATCCGGCTGTCCGGGGCAGGCCATTCTCGCACAACTCCGGTTGGGCCACGGAGAAACCGTGAGCGGACGGCTTGATTTCATGCTCAAAAACGAGGATGGGATCCCAAGAAAAGGAGCGGGGATAAGGGGTATTCGAAGCAACTTAGGGTTTGCTGAAATCAAACACCCGTCTCCATCGCTTCCTGTTACTCTTTGAGGGGAGCGATCATCTTGTTCTACCTTGAACCCGTTGGTGTGTGTGTTTGTGTGTCTGTGTGTTTTATTGTCTGTGTTTTATTGTCTTACCCTAGGACGCAATGGACGTCGAGAAGTTGTCAGCCCTTTCCCTCTCTTCGGCTCCGCCCCCGTTCCGGGGCCAATTTCCTCCAACACCCCCGTTGCAAGACTTTTATGAGCACCAAAACGCCGGTCTTTTCCCATCGGCATCGAACGGGCACGAGCGCTGTTTTCCTCCCGTTTATCCCCTACCTCCACCATCAAGAGAGAACAAGGTCCTCGCCGAAGACCTCAAGACCCCGGACCACCACGTGGAACGAGATCCCCGCCTCATCCGGCTCACTGGCACCCACCCATTCAACGTCGAAGCACCACTCAGCGACCTCTACGATGAAGGCTTCCTAACAACCAAAGACCTGCACTATGTCCGCAACCATGGCGCCGTCCCCCTCGTCAACGACGCCGACGTCCTCGACTGGGAGTTCTCCATCACGGGTCTCGTTGACCAACCGACCACACTCACCTTGCGCGATCTGATCCAGACCTACGAGCAGGCCACATACCCGATCACGCTGGTGTGTGCGGGCAACCGGCGCAAGGAGCAGAACGTGGTGCGCAAGACGAAGGGCTTTTCCTGGGGCGCCGCAGGGGTCTCAACGGCGCTGTGGACAGGTGTCGCTCTGGGCGATGTGCTTGCGCGTGCGCGCCCGACTCGCCGCGCCCGGTATGTCTGCTTCGATGGCGCCGACCGCCTGCCCAATGGGTTCTACGGCACGTCGGTGCGTCTTAGCTGGGCGATGGACCCAGAGCGCGGCATGATGCTTGCTCACCGCATGAATGGTGAACCGTTGTCACCGGACCACGGTAAACCCTTGCGCATTGTTATCCCGGGTCAGATTGGGGGTCGGAGTGTGAAGTGGCTGAAGAAGATTATCGTCACCGACAAGCCGAGTGATAACTGGTATCATATCTACGACAACCGCGTGCTCCCGACTACGATAAGCCCCGAGGAGAGTGCGGATTTACCAGAGACTTGGAAGGATGAAAGGTATGCGATCTACGACCTCAACACCAACAGCGCGGTCTGTTATCCGGCACACGACGAAAGAGTCCCATTGCCCGCTGGGTACGAGGGGGGCGTGTACAAGCTGAAGGGGTATGCGTACGCTGGAGGAGGGAAGAGGGTGACGAGGTTAGAAGTAACGCTGGATCAGGGGAAATCATGGACTCTCGCCAATGTCTCCTATCCAGAAGACCTGTACCGGCTCGCTCCCGAGGGAGAGATGCTGTACGGCGGACGATTGGACATGACGTGGCGCGATAGTTCCTTTTGCTGGTGTTTCTGGGAGCTGGACCTGCCGCTTTCCCTCCTAGCTACGGCAGGAGACGTTATGGTTCGGGCCATGGACGATGCCATGATGGTACAGCCGCGGGATATGTACTGGAGCGTGCTGGGCATGATGAACAACCCCTGGTACCGAGTGGTGATTCACAAAGAGGCGCATGCGCTGCGGTTTGAGCATCCTACTCAACCGGCGTTAATTCCAGGGGGGTGGATGGAGAGGGTCAAGAAGGCAGGCGGAAATATTACCAACGGGTTCTGGGGCGAGAAGAAGGCTGGCGAAAGCGAAACGCCAGTGGCGGAGCTGGCGCCCGTCAAGGAGATCAGTATGGTAAACGACAAAGTCGACCAGAAAATCACGGCAGAGGAGCTGCAACAGCATTCCGGGGAGCATGAACCGTGGTTCATCGTCAACGGGCAGGTGTATGATGGTACCAAATTCCTCGAGGGCCACCCCGGTGGTGCTACATCCATCATTAACGCCGCAGGACAAGACGTAAGCGAGGAGTTTCTCGCTATCCGTACGTTTATTATATACCTTCCCCTTCATCCCTCCCTGATGTCCCTTTAAACGGCTAACCCTCCTCAAGACAGCGAAAACGCCAAAGCCATGATGCCCGATTACCACATTGGCACCGCCCCAGCCGAAACCACCACCGACTCTCCCTCTCACGCCCTCCTCTCCGAAGACCCAGTCTTCCTCAACCCCAAAACCTGGCGCCCCGCTATTCTCTCCGCCAAAACCCCCGTCTCCCACGATTCCACAATATTCCACTTCACCCTCGCCAGCCCAACCCAAACCGTAGGCCTGCCTGTCGGCCAACACCTACTCATGCGCCTGCGTGACCCAGCCACACGCGAAGCCATCATCCGCGCCTACACGCCGATCACCTCCTCCCCATCCGACCCTGCCGGTGAGCTGTGCGTGTTGATCAAGATCTACCGCCCCGGGCCGGGCCAACAGCAGGGAGGGAAAATGACACAGAACCTTGACTCGCTCCCACTTGGCCACCCGGTCGAGTTCAAGGGCCCCGTGGGCAAATTTGTGTATCACGGCAGCGGGCGGTGTAGTATCAACGGTAAAGAGCGGGTAGTCAAGAGGTTTGTGATGGTCTGTGGTGGTTCGGGCGTGACGCCCATCTTTGCGGTGCTGCGGGCCGTGGTGAGGGGGGATGGTACGTCGGGTCTCGGGCCTGATTGTGTGGTGTTAGATGGGAACCGGGAGGAAGGTGATATTTTGCTTAGAGAGGAGTTGGGTGCGTTGGAGGCGGAGAGTAACGGACGGTGTAGGGTTGTGCATGCGTTGAGTCGGCCGGGCGAAGGGTGGAAGGGGATGAAGGGGAGACTGGATCAGGGGTTGTTCGAGAGGGAGGTTGGGTTGCGAGGCAGTGGTCGGGGGGATACGATGGTGTTGGTGTGTGGGCCGGAGGGCTTGGAGAAGGCTACGAAGCAAGCGCTTCTGAAGATGGGCTGGGAGGAGGATGATTTCTTGTTCTTTTAGTGTAGTTAGTGCGGTTATTAGTTTGTAGGGCGGACGTGTTGGATCATGACGAAGACCATGAGTATATGTTGAAAGAAGTCTGAATTCAAAATATCTGAAAGAAAAGACGCGCTCATGACTGCGGAACGGGAGACTGGAAATACAATTCGTATAAGCTCAACCGTTTGAGACTCGGGAAGCAACCGAGTTCGGGTGAAAGAAATCAAACGATGGCTTTAAAATGACAAATAAGAGGCTCAGAAGCCATTGGGCTCTCGCAAAGTAGTTTAAGTGGCCCATCAAGATTGGGAGAGAATCAAGGTGAAGGTTATGAAAAAGGGGCATGTCAATGTATTCCTGGTGTAACGACGTGTAAGATACGAACTGGAACGTATCGTACAAGTTTGGAGCGTCATCGACCTTAAAGTCACGTGGTACCCCACCCGCAAACCGACGCCCAATCGAAGATGCCCCCAATTGGCAGAGAGGCAGCAAGAAGCTCCGGCAGTTCAAAGGCAGTAGCAGCAACTTCACACGAGCGAAATCCCGCTTTGCGGCAGCGACGTCGACCACCGCACACCCAATTGGGGCCACCCTCCAACTATCTCACCCCACGACCGAAACGAAAAGAAGAAAGACGATGCGTTCGACGCTCCGCCTGTTCGCTGCCGTCCGGCCGGCAGCGCAGTACCTCGAAGCCGGCACCCCCACCGGCCTGACCGGTCTCCTCACGCACCCCTCGCCGCGGTCGACACTTCTCTACCTCTACAATTCAACCCTCGATAAGCTCAAGGCGGTCCCCGACCACTCGGTGTACCGGCAATCGGTCGAGGCGCTAACCAAGCACCGTCTGGCGTTGGTCGAGGGCGTGGTGCCTCCCGGACACGATGAGTGGGCGGAGCGCGCGCGCAAGCTGCTGAGCGAACACCCGGAGCAGTTCAACGTGGCGACGGGCAGCGACAGCGTGAGCGGGGCGCGCGCGATCAAGATCGAGCGTGGGGCCAAGTCGTTTGTGTTGCGCAATATCCCGGAACAGAGAGATATGCGGGTTGAGGAGTGGGACGGTGAACTGGATGAGGGCCCGGAGCTGGAGGGGAGCCGGACGTTGAAGGAGAGGGAGGACCTGCGCCATATTTTTGAACGTCGTGATATTCGTGATGTGGAAGGGCAGGTTGAGTGGGAGCCGGAGCCGCAGCTTACGGCTGATCAGTGCGTTTTCCCCGGGGCATGGTATTTGATTACGGGAGATAAGGAACTAACTGGAGGTCTTTCTCTGCAGGATTTCGGATCTCGAGACCAAGATTGGTGCGGGGTTAATCGAGGAGGTTATCCAGGTTGCTGAGGGCGAGCTCAAGTTGGTGGACAGGATGATTGAGGCCAAAGTGTAAGTGCGCGAATGTTCAGTTTTTCGGTACGCGCTACAATGACTGACAAAGCTTAGCTGGGAGCCTCTTGAGGAGCAGCCGGCCGAGGGCCAATGGGTCTATTTCGAGCGCAAGGAATAAAGTCGAATTCACAACGTCTGTAACGACACTGTACATAAACAAATAAATGGACGCCGGCTCCAGGCCAGCGTGTTGGTCAGATACCGGAGCTGATCCCATCCATAAAACCCCCGGGTGTAGAGCCCGGGATTGGAGGTTAGAATCAGCATTTGTTGTGCCGGTACAGCTAGGCGGAGTCAAGTAGTCTGCCCCAAGATTAAATAAGTCACGATGAACATTTGTCCATCTGTTGCTCATCTTTACCACTCGTAGCTGAAGGTAAGGAGATAGGAATATGAACTTGGAAGGTTTGTTGCATGATTCAGTTGTGGCGGGGCGATTGATACCTATGGTAAAGAAAGTTAAGGAGCTCGTAGCTCTTACAACCATTTTCTGAAACCCTTCACACAAACGCAACCTTGAAATTTTACTCGAAGAAAACCTCTCCTCTCCTTTTACAACTCCAAATTCATGAAGAAATTTCAAAAGACACTTCAAATCAGAATCGATCGGTGGTGGTACTAAGAAATATTTCAACATTTTCTGTAATCGGCCAAGCATCTTCGCTTTCACAACCCACATTTCAAAGTCCCTGCCCCACGTCTTCCTTTCTTCATATCCCCAAAAATGAACCACCCACCACAGGTACACCGGGGCAAACGCAAGCGCGCCTCTTCCGAAGCCGTTATCAATCCGTTGTCTCATTCACCCGATACCCTTCGCCAATTCGCCCTCGCCGGCTACCCCATCGACCGGCCCTTACCGTCTCAAGCCTACCCGGGTTTTCCACACCGCGCGCCCCGCCGCACCCCGGTTTTCCGGGGCCCGCGTCATCGGAGACGGCGAGGGCCTGCTGTTGATAGTACAGGAGGCAGAGTGAAGACAGAAGAAGGCGGGGGCGACGGCGGCGCGGAAGAAGGACGGGGTGAAGACGCCGATACCGAAAGCGCAGCGTTTGTCTCGGACACGGACGGCGGTGATACCGACGGCTGGCAGACGGCTACTACTGCGGGGACCACCACCACGGATGGCGAAACTACTGATGGCGACGAGTCACAACCTAGACCTCGGGGTCGAAGGCCGTCCCAGAGAGACCCTGATATCGACCACCGTGCTCGCGCTTACCGCCGGCGTGTCGGCTGGTTGACGGCTATTGTGCAACGCAGCTTGGCCGAGGGCGATGTGGCGACTGCTGGGCGGGCTTTTGGGTTGCTCGCCCGGGCAAGGGTGTATGGGCGCAAGGTGGATTTGCGATGGGAGCGGTACTGGGAGATGGGGGCGGAAGTGCTGATGAGGGAAGGAGAGTTAGGGAATAGGGCTGGGGTTGATGATGGTGGTGGTGTGTCGGAAGGGGGAGAGGAGGCAGGCGAACAGTACGAAGAAACTGAGGAAGTCCACGCTAACAGACTGGCCCGGCTCAAGGCTTACTACCAATATCTCATCCAGCAGTACCCCTACAGCAAGCAGCACGCTAGCAGCGCGAGTAGTGCACTGGACTTTCACATCGCGCTGTACAGCACCGAGATGGAGGCCGCACATGCTGCGTACGCAAGGGGCTTGGAACGCCTGCAGCGAGAGGATGCGAGCTGGGAAATGGGGGATGACTATGAGGCCGGGGGAACCCAAGCTGATATCGACGCCAACATGGGCGTGGACATGAATACGGACGAGCCACTCGCTCATGATCATAATGATCCCCACAACCGGGAAAGATCTCTCCGCCAGAACACCCTCCAAACCATGACCGAACTTGCTCAGCGCATGGACACAACCCTGGAAACAGTCCCCTATTCGCGCGACCCAGAACTTCTACGGCTGAGAGCCATGGTCTCTTTATTTCTCAGCGATCTGCACATGCCACCATCGCAGGCTGCGGACAAGAGCAGAACTGGGGGGATGGGGCGGGGAAATGAGAGGGCTAAGGCAAGGGGGTTGTTGAGAAGGGCGAAGACCTTGGTAGAAGGGGCTGGAGGGAGATTCGCGGAAGCTGACGAGCGGCTTTTGGAGAATTTGGTGGAAGAGGAGGACGATGGCGACGAAGGCGAGGACGAGGATGGTAACATGCACGAGGGCGACCAAGATACTGTGGAGCAGGATGATGAAGAGGGTGACGAGGGGTATGGAGACCGCTCGGTGTTGCCGATGCTTTCGTCGATGCATATGTAGGGGCCACTGGGTTGTCAACAAAACAACAAAATCATTTAGACAAATCCATTTACCGACCTAAAACGCCTCCGTCCGCAATTACCTGCTCATATCTTCTATCCCATCTCGTAGACTACCCCCTAAGCAACCGGTGTCGCCGTTCCCTTCTCCTTTGCCCACCGGTGATAAATCACTGCGCGATTTCCATTCCCGACAACAACGCACCACTCCCCTTCCGGGCTCCAGCCGACCTGCCGTCCCACAAACCCGCCCTCTATCTGAACCATCCGATGTGCCTTGATGTACCGGACGGGGTCTGTCGCATCGTACGTCTCGGCCCATGCTTCCAGAGTTTCGCGGTTATACCCCAGCCCTGACGTCGGCAGGGCAGGGTGGCTCTCCGGGTCCGGACTAGCCGAGACCATAGATTCTTTATCACCACCACCACCTCCAACAACAGACATGGCCGCGAAGGACCGGAGGCTGGCGGTTCCATCACCGGCGGTGGATTGCACGAATGAGTTGCTGGTCGTGTTCGCCTTCTTCACGCGGCGCACGGGCAGCCAGACAGGTTTAGGCACAACGGCACCCTCGCCCACAAGTGGATAGCGTCCGGCGTCTTTGGCCTCCTTGAGCGCGTCCATGTACCGGGCGTATTCGCCGAAGCGCTCAAAGTCCCAGAAGAAGGTCTTGCCTTTAGCGTTGGCAAAGGCAAGGATCGGCCGCTTACCCGGCACGCGGAACATGCGGAAGCGAAGAAAGAACTGGATGCCGCAGTCCGGTGTGTGAAACTGAGCCAGGCGAGTGAACATGGCTGGGCGGGCTGGGGAAAGAGTTGGGGTGAAGTAAGACCGGGTCTGCTTAGCCATGTCGATGGGCGTAGGCGCGTCGAGCGGGCCAGGGATCGGGTCGGTGGACGAGAAGCCTTCGATTTGCCAGAGTACGATGGAGTCTTCGTGACAGGCACGGGAGAGGATGAGGTCACCGTGGAATGCTACACTGCAAGGGGTGTTAACTAAAGTGGGAAAGAAGGAAGATATCTGTGACTAGTGTGTACTTACCAATCAACTAGGTTGTTATGGATCTCGGAAGACGAAAAGTGAGGGTATTGGAACACGACGGGAACGTCGATGTGCTCGGTGGGGAATTCGGGCAACGCCCACTGTGAATTATTCGATTAGGAAGCTGAGAATACGGTTGGTGCTGGAACTTACCATATTGATGACCTGATCATGTCCAGTAGATAAGAGGTAGCGCCCGGTATCATGAAAGGCCTAGCAGGTGTTGTTAGCCGTATTGGTGTGGAATAAACCCGAGCAAGACATACCACACTGAGCAAATCGTAGGAATGACTCTCACCGCCCAGAATACAGAGACAAGGTTGTTTTTTATGGGCTGGAGCTAGGCTCCATATCCTGATGGTTGTGTCATCTGACGCTGATGCGATAATGAGCGGGTTATCCGGCGAAGTTGTGATATCGTTGATGCCCTGGGATACTGTCAGTTATTTGGGGGTTTGGCGACGTCGCGGGGCTTCTCAGCTTACACCACCATGGCCAACAAGAGTCTGTCCAGCTGTCAGTCCTTTTTCTACCGCGGCTTCCTACTCAAAAGGACCGCCACTTACTTTGGCCAAAGTACCCTGCCGCACATTGTAAATTTTGATATTGGAACTAGTTCCCGCGATGCAGAGTAACGGCTCTTTAGTCACCGGATCTCTCGACCAACAGCTGGCGCAGTTCTCATCATCCTGCTGGCTAGTCAGAGGCCATAATCAAGAAGAATAGTAACATCGGACCTCGCACGCTATCATCCCTAATGAGTTGAATGATCTCACAAGGCTGTGTGTCTTTGTCGATTTGCGTCAACCGGCATATGACGGCCTGATATATGTCGACGGTTAGATTGATTTTGGGTTGAAATGTGAGGAGGAACTCTTATAACGTAGTGGAACAGGGGTTCACCTACGTGTCTCTTGCTCGTAGCTGCAAACACTGGAGGTGCTCCTTGAGGGTTGTAAGGATAGAACTTGACATCGAAGAACTCAGCAAGGTCTAGTCGATGATCAGCCACCCGCTCGTTTGCCTCTGTGGTGTTCCATCATATGGTTAATTTCAAAGCGTGATTACCTTGGTTCCCCGCTTCATCATCAGGGGCTGAAGACCTGTAGTCGTCCTATGAAAACGGTTAGCGTCTGCGAAGATTGACAACATCCATGATGGGAAAGGGGGGCAGACTTGGAAGAGAAAGGACGCACGCAGCCGGGGGAGTTCCCACTCGGCTGCGTCGGCCGAGGGCATCGTAAATAGATGACTTTATCAGTTTCTCGGACGGCCGAAGAAACTCTGGGCGACCTATGGATGGATGGATGGATGGATGGGTGGGAGACTCTGTTCTGGAGGTGGTGAATTGGCTTGGATGAGCCGAAGGTCAAATGAGGGGAAAGTGGCAAATTGCTTGTGGTCGGGTTGTGAGTCGAAATAGAAAACATTCACACCTAATTCACAGAATATGAGATTTCTATCAAGTTCCAACAATTGTCTGTTGTGAATCAACCTGAGAGGTTCACGTTCCTTCCCATGGTGTGCAATTAAAGTGGGTCCATCAAAAGATCAATTACCAACTTGAGTGGGAACGCTGAGGCGCGTCACGCGACGCGACTGAAAGCCAACCTCGGACTTGGTCACAACCCAACTACAGCAGTAAACGAATGAGCTTGCAACCCCAAGATATGGTAAATATCAATTCGAAGTAACCATGAGGCAGTTATCAAGATGAAGCACCCTGTAATTTTGTTTCCCAGGCAAATTGCATTCATTGGGCCACGGAATGCACACAAACCCATGTTTTGTCTCCTCGGTCAAATTATGAGACTTACCTAACTAGTTACTACTGCCTTGTATCTCGAATTGTAACCCCACAGCCATGAGCAGATTGGGAACTTATCGACTTAGGTTTGACAAATGCTAAGAAGGAGCTCACTCGTACAAGCCCCTGAATGACCAATCTAGATACTACCCACCTTGTCAGGGAATGGGTGTACACAGAGGCGTGAGAGGTACTCGAATGACCGGTTCCTGATGGCATGGCACGCCGTGCCTGGTAACTTGGGCATGTATGTACCGGGCTAACACAAAATTTAAAGGTTAACAGCTGCTGTGCAGACTCCCAGTCAGCCTGACAAATATTCACACAATCGTGATACAATGTCGCCCCTGGCAAGCCCTCAGTGTTTTCAACAACATGACCTTGGACATTCTCATCGGTGATCATGGAGACGGGGTATGGCAACGGTTCGGAGTCCGGATTCGCGACGCCATCCTGTCACCTCACCTTCAGTGGTTGAATTGTGTGTCGGTGTGCTGTGAAAGAAATCCTCAGCTCCGAGGTGAGTTTTCTCGGTATCCTCGCTTTCTGAATGGCCACACCGAGGTAACTCACCACATTCTCCCTTCCCTTTCGTGACTTCAAGGGTCACATGTTTGATCTGCTCTCTTAGACCCGCAATGACGAGGGCCCCATTTCCCGAGGCGACGGACTCGAAGCGGATTTGTCGTGGCTCTGAATAGGGAGAGCATGATTCCATGATTTTCCCATTGGATCTGGACCCTAGCAACCTTCCCGGGCCCGGCTACTTGGGTCGACGTGCCCCGGCGAATCGGGAATGGCAGCGTGCATGAAAAATAAAAACAAAAAGAGGGTGAGAGCGACAGAAATGGCCTTGGTTCATGGATGGGAAAGCAAGCAGCAGGCCGAGACCCGGGAAAGGCATGTTCGAAAACTCGTAAATGCACCAATGAGAATGTCGAAACCCGACTTTTGATAGCGGAGAAAGCCGCAATTTAAAAGTCCGAAAACCTTCGGAGCCCCCACTGAGGCTCCCATCACCCCACGCCAAGAAAGCTTTCGAGGATCAAAGAACACCTGCGGCGATCTCGAAGTCACAATCCGGAAGGGAAAGGACAAAGAAATGCTTTTCGCGGATGTGTTTTCAACGGACGGGCAGAGAATAAGACAATCGCATCAATGAGCTATAAGCTGTTGGCTTTGTAGAGGATGTCCTCCTAATTACACTTCCATAGCAGAGACTGGGCTCTGTTCCAGGGATCGGAGAGTGTGAATTTTGACTTTGTTTGGCAGACTGTGGGGCTAATGATTCCCGCTGGGGTTGCAGCTCTCCTAGCCCTGGCGATCATGCAGTCGAGCGGAACCCCAGTGCCTGAGAAAGGAGTTGCATTTTTCATTTTCTTGAATTGATGGGGATCGGACAACTAAAATGCCACGGATTTAGCAGTTGGGACCGAGTGTAAGTGTACACTAGGTATCTCGGACGTTTCGGCCCTGTCGAAGATTAGGTAAGCGTTCCCGACGCCGAGCCGTGAAGACCGGCAACAGCAACAACAGCAGATGAAACGGTTGCCCTTGGAACCCGTCAATCATTGATCCTGCGCTCTAACTACGATTCTGTCCCTTGCTATTAGGGGTCCGGCGTCCCTTTCTCTGCCAGCACGTAGTTTACAGTGCATATTATGTACCTCCGTTCATCTGGCAAGGCACGATCGAGACGGCTGCCAAGGTTGTGCCACCACCAGGAGAAAGCGGGCTACGGACGTAGCGGACTGTCTCGGTAGGCAATCCTAATAACCGCAAGGAAGAAAACAAAACTGTGACTTATTAGCGGCTCTAACGCTCATCGATGGGTATTTTCCTTCCGTAACCAAAAAGGGTTGGGTATGGGCCCCCTAACCCCTAACGCATCCATATCAACACTGAATTCGCTGGCAGGTTGAAATGAACGCGGGGCTCTTGATAGTTATTTTTGCCTTTCGTCTCTCTGAAAGTGGAATGATATTCGGAGGTTGACAACTTCACTCATCTCGGGATTACGCAGGAAAAGCCGGTTTCGTGCCGAAAAGAATGGCCCACCCAGGCCGGGGTTTTGTTTGTTGAGTCTGCTGCCCAAAAACGTTAGCCCCAGAGATCAGAAGGTTAGCCGCCACAGATTTTTCAAACCCCGGCCTCAAGCATCCATGAAAAGAATTTCAGGTCAATTACGGATAACACATTGACGAGTCCCCGGCCTCACAGTCCAAATCGTACGAAGCAACGCCTCACTGCTATACTATGCGCCCGCGAAGGCTGCGCTGCGCAGTGGTCAAGAGCGAGTGGTGCGTGGGACGCGGTAGGGAGCAAAAAGAGTAATACGGGAGGTAACTATGCTACGGAGTAACTCGTGGGCACACTACACTACAATGTTCCGCTCGCGGGATTGCGATCCCGCCGAACGGCGGAACCGCATATCAATGCTGGCCAGGGCTTGCCAGGGCGTGAATTTCCCCAGTTCATCCACACAAGTCGATTCGTCTTCTTGAACGTGGAGTCGGCGGAAGCTCGCGCCCAAGCAGAACTCCACTAATCTTCCCGCGCGCCACCAGCGGCAGAGCAAAAGGTCCCGCCTGTTCCTGACAGGGCCCTCCATGCCAGTTCCACGCTCCCCTTTTGCCCATTTGGTTGTTGATTTCTGATCTTTGGCTTCTTCTGGCATTTGACTCGTTGTCGCTCGCCGCGGGATCGCTAATTTGCACCTGCCCGCCCGGGCTGCATTCCCCGGACGAACGACCACAGCACCGACAAACCAATACCGCGTTGCCGCAACGTGCTGGTGGTGCAGCTCCTTTCCATACCGTCTCATTCTTGCAGCAGCCTAATAAGTGTCCTCGCCCGTTTTGAGGAGCCACGCAACACACATGCACATACACACAGGCACACACATACCGGCACACATACACACACACACAAACACACAACCTCGCACACAGCTCCTCTCCATGCCCCTCTTCCCAAAAACTTCATCCACAAAGTGCACCACGACAAGGGGGCCACCCACTGTTCAAACCCAACCAGGACCTGGCTAAAACCGACCCGCGACCAACTCGTCTGTGGACCCATCCCGCCTGCTCGCGCCTTCCGTATCATTTCCTACCCACTCGACCCCAAAAGGTGGTCGAGAGGTTGAAATCCACTCAGAGTAGGCGACACCAACCTCTCGACTTCTTCCGAACGGACGGGCGTACCTAAAATACATAACAGTATTCCCTCTCGCAAGCCCAGTATCACACCAGGCTTTCGCAGCATCGACGAGGGTCGGCCACCGCCTCGCAATTTCAGAGTTAGCAGTCAATTCGTCTAGCTAGGGACCCCCCGCCGGACACTGGCTGTCTCGACCCCCGCGGTTACCATTCCGACGTCGTGGTTGGCGCCCTTCGAAGCTTTGACTGGCTGTACAAGACTAAAGACATTTGCCCGCCGTACCACCTCAACGCGCCTTCGGTTGCGATTCGGTCTCTTGCTCCGAGAAACCCGGCAGCTTCCCCCCCGCCGTGTGCTGCATCTTGCCGCTTTTCCTACTTTCCCTCTGCGCACTGGGCAAACCTACGGCCGTCCACCCCGCGCCATCTCTAACTCACTCTCTCGCTTTCCACGCTCACGCTCACACTCACCCTCACTCACTATTGAGTCGCCCCTCAACCCTCTAGAACCCAAGCCGGCTGTGAAACGGGCGGGATCTTGTAAAGATACTCCCCAGGCGACGGCCGAATCTCTGTCCTACCTATTTCCAGTTTGACAAACCGCGGACGCACTGGTCGGGGACGGCCACGCACAGGACGATACCGCAGGATACCCGACGCTCCGCTTCCATTCATTTTGTGTGTGTTCAACTCGTTCTTGTTGTTCCCGGTCACCCAGAAAGGAACCTAGAAAAATTCTACCCAAAGATTCCTTTCCTTCTCCCGTCCCGCCGGAGCCCCCCTGGTCGGTAAACTTTCGCCTGCGCCTATACGCACGGTTTGCACGACGCTCCGTCCCGCCTCTAGCTCGGCGCTTCTTTTTGAAACTAGCTTCTCCCGCCCAATACTACCGCCGCTTCACCGACAACGCATGGAGAGGATCTTGTGACCACACATTCCCACCCACCAGGCCAGCTCATCTCGAGCTAGGCCTTAACACCTTGAGCTCCTCATGGATCCTCGAGAGCAAACATTTATGACCATCCATAGTAGGTTTCGAACCACGGTTTAGGAGTTATTTCTCGAACCCCGGCTGACCTTAGCTTGTCTCATAGACCTTACTCCTGACGCCAACATTCTCTTTGCCTCCGACTCCATTCTAGATATCCTCGGTTATCAACCGGATGAGGTCAGGGGCAAGTCTGCGTTCGAGTATTTCCACCCGAACGAGGTGCCGTTCGCTCGCTCTATTCATAGTAGAGGCGTATTACTCGACAAGGCGGCCGTCTTGCATTATGCACGCATTCTCGCCAAAAGCGGCCAGTGGATGAGTTGCGAGTGCTGTTTTACCGTTGTGCACAATGTCCTGGTGGCTTCGACAAGTATTTATTTCAAGGGGGAGAGGAGTGAGCGTATGGTTACATGTTCCTGCCAAAACATAAGCTCCCAAGGCACTAACTAGCGGTGGTAGGGAGAGCGAGAGACGCCCCGCAGATCAGACGAATATTCAGGAGCTCACCACGAGACCCTCGGTACCACATGCTCGAGCACTTATCACCAAAATTCAAAATGCCTCCGATGGAACGAGAACCAAGGGCCGCCTTGATCTTGAACCGCTTTACTAGGAATCTCACCATTATGTACGCCACCGACGCCGTTGCCCAAATTCTCGGGTTACGGCCAGACGAGCTACTCGAGAAGCCGTTTTACGAATGCATTCAACCAAATTGCCTCGATGAGGCTGAGCGGTGCTTGGAGAGCGCCAAAGCCAACGAGTCGATTGCTTACCTCCGGTTCTGGTACAAGGATCCCCGTATCGACCCGAACGCCCCCGCGAACCAACTGGAGGATGTAAACCGGATGGAGGATGATGAGGAGGTAGACGACGAGGATGACGAGGAGAGCACTCGATCCCAAAGTGAAGTGGACGTCAAGGATCCAACCTTGATACGCAATGATATGGAGTTGGACGAACAGTCAAGGCCATTAGGCCGTGGTGACATAAATGAGAACCCGGGATCAATGGATGGCGTTAGGCAGCGGAGTCCCCCGCGTCGGTCGCCACAAACATTTGAGCTGGAGGCTGTCGTTTCGTGCACGTCAGATGGGCTCGTCGTGGTGCTGCGGAGAGCGCGGCCCCGTATTCCGGATCCGCAGCCCGCAGCAGAGCCAAGCGGACTGGAGTTCGAAAATGGCCTCTTCGCCGCGCCGTGGGCGCTCCAGCGGATCGAACCCTACATCTCGCCCGAACGCCTCTACAACTTCCGTCCGCCATTACTACCGCAGTATATGCCACTCCGCGAGTGTGTCAAGGCGGCGGGCGGACCCCCTCTCGACCGTATGCTTACCCTGTCCCTGTCCATTACCCCATAACTGACCCCATTCACAGAATTAATGCGTTCGATTCGCGATGTCGCCGTCTTTGCCTGGGCTGTGACCGGCATCAACCCCGATCTCGCAGCCAACTATGCTCAAGGAAGCGCCAGCGGCCGCAACACAACACTCGGCCCTGGTCAACCTGCACTGGATGGACTCTCGGAGTGGAGCTCGGACTCCCTCCCAACTACTTACCCTCCACTAGAAAATACATCCCGCGCTCCTTCTGCTGCCACTGAGCGTGCCGAACGTGCCGAGCGTGCAGAGAGGCTATTGAAGGATCAGCCCTCCTTATTTGGCCACTCCTCTCTGGTGGGCACTAGCAGCAGTGGGCCACACACGACATCGGAACCACCCCCGTTGTACCGCACTCGCCATGCATCATGGGACGAGAGTATGTATGACGCCGGCAGTATCAGCAGCGGGAGGAACATCGCGAACAACAATGCAGGCAGCAGCGGCAGGCCAGGAGGGGATTGGGGCGCCCCTGGTACGTGCACGTACGGTCACCCTGTAGGTGAACATCTAGAACGACCCGGGCCTGGGGCATACAACCAATGCCACGAACATCACGGTAACCAATATCACCACGCTGCGCGCCGCTCGAGTCTTCGGCCGGCATTTTCGTACGACGCACTGCAGGACCACGCAAGGCATCAGCATCAGGCCGCATTCGGTTTGACTTCGTCGGCCGGGGTGAGAAGGGGATGCGGAGCAGGATATCCCAACCTTGGGAAAGGCCAGGGAGGAAATGGCGAGGGTAGACGTGGCGGTGGTAGCGGTACTGGCAGTGGCAGTGGAGGGCCTGGTGATGGCTGGGTGATTAGAGGAGGCGGTGGTGATTTTGGGGGGTCAGGAACAGGAGGAGCGGAATCATCGAAAACGGCAGAGGCGAGAGGGCGGTATTTCTGGCGGTGATTTCTCCTGGATTGGTTACTAAAACAATTGGCATTTACAAGCATCTGGTTCTGGGTTTTCTTCTGTTACTTACATGCGGCATTTTGAAGGGGTTTCTTGCCCCTTTTCTTCTTGCGGGAGGGGGGGAAGGGGGGCTGTTGAATGGGATATACCAGTATACTTATTCCTAGAGGCTGGGTGGCTCAGGAACGCCTTCTGAGCAAAAACTTATTACTATTATATGTTGTCGGTGCGACCGGCGAGACATTATTGACTAGTTTGGGATAAATAAACAAAGAGGCCTCGACTTTTTTGGATGTGGTGTTTTTGTCCGTTTCAGTGTACCATGACAAACTACCTACCTAAGTGATTGAGTTGAAACTGGAGGGGTAGGATGGTACGGGAAGGGAGGTTACACGATGGTTTCGGCCTTGGTAATGTAAGTTGAGTTGGGTTGAGTCAATCTATAAGATGAACCGGTCAAGGGAAATTTGAGGATGTACCGCCATCAAGGCCGTGACTGAGCTAGATCGAACTCTCAAGATCGGAAGAACAGCAAGTCCCTTGGTAGAAGAAACGCGAGCTAACAGTATGGGGACGTCGAGTGGCCGTACGTATTCTTACCGTAAGGGTGTAATTAACGCCGGACGCATGGCGGAGCGGCCCGTGCGGCGTTGGAAAAAAACCCCACTGGGTGATTCCGACGGAACAAGCAAGCTTCATGTCCGCGAACCCCCACGGGACATACAATACACGCACGCATGAGGTGCAACACCCTCAATTTTAGCCCGATTCTCCGTACTTCATATAGTTAATTAGATGGGATTTGTAGTGTTCTCGGAACAAGATAGTCTTGGTTTAACCCTAACCCTGCGTAAAGTTTTACTGGGTGGACTGCAAGTTGGCGGGGTTTCGCTTTGGTGTAGCAGATGCAAAGGGTGTTGTTCCCCGGCCCCACCTTTCTTTGCTTGGCGTTCCCTTGTCGCAACTTTTTTTTCCCCCCCACCAGCCGCAAGTTTCAATTCAATACAATTGGGGCGCATCGCGGGTTTCGACAGCACCAGCGATCTCTCTCATTCATCGCCTCATCCTCCAGAATTGAATCATGGGGCGCGGTAGACGGGTATGTACAATTCAATCGCAAAACCCTGATGGGAAACAGAGACGAGAAAGAAGAAAAGGAGGGGGATTCGAAGGAGTGGACTTCGTATCACTATTGGCTACAGACTGACGTTTATTTACCTTTAGGGACATCGTGGCGGCGGCCGTGGCGGAGGTCGCGGAGGCCGTGACAACAACCGTGGCAGCCATCGGCCTTACCAGACCTACCCGGAGGTCAAGAAGGAGAACCAGCGACTCGAGGAGTACTACAACACGTTGATCAACCTGCCCGAAGATGAGCGGGCCGAGTTCTGGGCCGCTCTTCGGAGGGAACTTCCTAACAGCTTCCGCTTTTGCGGTTCTAAGGGGCACGCTCTCGCTGTCAAGCGGCTGCTGCAAACACGCTACATTCCCGAGATCACCCGCATCACTCACGAAGGCGTCACGGTCGCCCCTCCGACCTCTGTGCCTTGGTATCCCGACGGGCTCGCCTGGTCCATGACCACCCCGAAGAACGTCATTCGCAAGTTCCCGCCTTTCGCTGCGTTTCAGAAATTCCTAGTGTCCGAGACGAGCGTCGGAAACATCAGCAGACAGGAGGTGGTGAGCATGATTCCGCCGCTGCTCATGGATGTCAAGCCGGGCATGGCCGTGCTTGATCTGTGTGCGGCGCCCGGCAGCAAGGCCGCTCAGCTTCTTGAGTTCATCCACCGTGGCGAGGAGGCCCGTATTCGCCAAGTTATACGATCGTTCTCCGGCGAGGAGCCCAGGGCCGAAGACGTCCAGGAGGAAGACGAGACCACCCGGTTGGAGGCGGATCCCAGCGATGATGGTCGGGCCACCGGCATGCTCATTGCTAACGACGCCGACTACAAGCGCAGTCACATGCTGATCCACCAATTGAAGCGCCTGTCTTCTCCCAACATGATCGTCACAAACCACGACGCCACCATGTACCCTTCGCTCAGGATACCGAACCCCGAGAACCCAACCAAACCGAACTACCTCAAGTTTGACCGCATCTTAGCCGACGTTCCTTGCTCCGGCGATGGCACTCTGCGCAAGAACGTCAACCTGTGGAAGGATTGGACCCCTGGTAACGCCTTGGGTCTGCACCTCACCCAGGTCAGGATTCTTGTGCGAGCCCTGCAAATGCTCAAGCCGGGAGGCCGCGTCGTCTACTCGACCTGCAGTATGAACCCTGTAGAAAACGAGTCGGTTGTGGCTGCGGCTATTGAGCGGTGCGGTGGGCCTGAGAAGATCGAAATTCTGGACTGCAGGGATCAACTTCCCCTGCTCAAGCGGAAGCCGGGCTTGCGGAAGTGGCAGATCATGGACAAGTCATCTCGTCTGTGGAAAACATGGGAGGAGGTCGAGGAATACACAAAATCTGCCGAGGGCAACATTGCGCCGGGCCGTTTGGTGGAAAGCATGTTCCCCCCGACTGAGGAGAGCGGTTGTGCTGATCTTCCTCTTGAGAGGTGCATGCGGGTGTATGCTCATCAGCAAGACACTGGTGGCTTTTTTATCACTGCGCTGCACAAGAAAGCGGAATTTAAAGCGAAGCCTGAGGAGAATAGGAAGCAACCGAAAACCGGCGCCCCTAAGCGGCCTCTGGAGGAGGAACAGGAGGGCAAGGAGGATGCTGGCGTTAAGAAGCTAAGGTTGTCCGAAGAGCCCGCCAACGAGGAGGCTGCGGTTCCCGAACCCCTGGAACCCGCTGCCCAGGAGACCACCACTGAAGTGGAAGCGCAAGAAAAGCCCGCGGCCGCCGAGTCTATTGCGGCCATCGAAGCTCCCGCTAATGGAGACGCCTCGGAGCCTTCAGCAGCTCCGCAGGCGACAGACTCGACATCCGCAACACCTTCTGCCGCTACCCCAGCCGCCACCACCGGCCAAGACGCCCTCCCAGAGCCGAAACGCAAGCCCGAGGGGCCGTACGAGGAACCCTTCAAGTTTCTCTCCCCCGACCACGACGTCATCAAGAACGTGGCAGAGTTCTACTCCATCTCCTCCCGTTTCCCCTCAGACCGGTACATGGTCCGCAACGCGCTGGGTGAGCCGGCCAAAGCCATCTACTACACCTCCGCTCTGGTGCGCGACATCCTCGTGCTCAACGAAGGCCGCGGCGTCAAGTTTGTGCACGGCGGTGTCAAGATGTACGTAAAGCAAGACGCACCCTCCGCCGACGTGTGCCGGTGGCGCATCCAAAGCGAGGGCATGCCGATCCTGCATGGGTACGTCGGCCCGGAGCGTGTCGTCGTCCTGCGCCGTAAGGCAACCCTCAAGCACCTCCTTGTCGAGATGTTCCCCAAGATTGCCGGCGACGATTGGCGGCGCATGGACGAGATTGGCGAGCGTGTCCGCGACCTGGCCCTTGGGTGCTGTGTCCTGCGTGTGGAACCTGAGCGGGGTGCCGATGGTACTGTCGATGAGGACTTTGCCGAGTCCATGGCTTTGCCATTGTGGAAGAGTTTCCAGAGCTTGAATCTGATGTTGCCCAAGGAGGACCGCAGTGCCATGTTGTTGCGGATCTACAATGATACAACGCCGCTGATCAATATGGGCATTCAGCGAGACCAGAAGAAGGACCAGAAGAATGATGAAAGTGCCGATGCTGACGCTGGCGCCGATGCTGGCACCGGCACTGGTACCGATACTGCTGTGACGGCTGGAGAGGGTGAAGGCGAGGCAGCCAAGGACACCGAGATGAATGATGCCACCGATGGATCTTGGGAAATCGTTGAGGGGCCAGTGTCAACGGCTACAGGTGCTGCCAATGCGGAAGAGACAACCGCTTGAGAGTTTAGGTAGGCAGTCAATTTGTTTCACGGAGTCATTTCCTTACTATATGCTGCTAGCTGTACGGCTGCCCCAACTTGTACGTACGTGATTATGAAGGGCGTTGGGCCAAACAAGGAATAAAAGAGTAATAGACTTGGGTATGGGTTTGCATCAGACTGTTGTCCGCCGTACGAAACAGTAGGTAAACCCACAACCTCGGCCTAATTTTTGTTGTGCATGCGACTTCAGTCGCGAGGTGGTTTGCCCCCATCTCAGTGAAACTTGAGGCCGCCCCTAGCGCTTCCATGAGAACGACATGGTCTTGCTCGCCAATCATAACAACAAGAAGGTTGTCTCACCGCACCTGTAGTGTCCCGCGGCAAATTACACACATCCCAATATGACACCGCCTCTTCCACTCGGGGGAGGGAGGGGATTCGTTTATAGAAACAGCCGAGTTCATTGCTAACACAGCGATAGGCAGGGTAGCTGGAGAGTGAAAGATCTGGTCGGCTTAGGGTGTAGTAAGCAAGCGTCCTAACCAAGGCCAGTGGCCGGCTCTAGACAAAAAGATCGAGTCAAGTAAGTGCATCAGCATATATAATCATAAACCTTGAAATATAACCCTTCGTAAACGTCAACCATTCGTATCAGCAACCATTGATACGAGATAACATGACATGATCTTCGCGAAGAAATAGACAATGCGCAACAGTATCATGAATATAGAACGCCCCCTTAATGCCTTCTCCCCGTCTGTTGTCTCGCTGACAAACCTTCGATCACCTCTTCCTGACCTTTACACCAGAAACTCGCTCAAAACCTGCACCCTAGTCTTCGCCGTCTGCGACCCATGGTCACCCTCGCTCATGGCCTGCATAATCTGTATCATGCGATCTTTTCACAGCAAATCAGTATCCTACATCTCTCATAGTTGGCGCACAAGATAGGCGGGGTGCAAAACTTACGGATATCCCCCTTGGCCCTCACAAAAAGGGGGTCCTTGGCCATGCTCTCCTCTCCCCCAGGCTCGCGCGCCGCCTCTCTCAACACGTTCCCGATACACAGCGCCTCAAGAAACGCCCGGTGGTTAAACACCCACCACACACGGGCCTCAGCTTCGAACAGGGCAAACAAGACGAAGAATGCCGTGATTGCATCGTGCGCGGCCTCGAGCGTGCCGCGTACGTTAACGGGCACGTCTTGGCTTTCCGACGCATGTACTAGCATCAGGTTATGGAAGTAATTGCTGCTTAAAAACAAGGTCTGGCGGACAACACGCTTGTTGCTCTGAGAGAGTTGGGCGAGGGCGTCAGGGTCCCAGGACCGGAAGACATCGGGGAAGGAACGGTAGACAGCACGAAAATCGCCGATTAATTTGGACTTGTGGCGGGCTGTCGTGCAGATGGGGACATCGAGAGACCGGGGCGAGCAGATCGTCTCCTGTACGAGATTGGCGAGCGTCCAAGACCCCCGGATGTAGGCGGTGTCAGTCGGGTCATCGGAGGCAATGGATGAGTTATCCTCGACCAGGTCGTCGACGCTCACGTCAGTGTGAGTAGCGCTCGGTGGGAGAGAAAGAAGGACGGTTAAGAAGGTGTCTTGGAGAAGCACCGCTTGCCAGACTTTACGTCGTTGTTGCTTTTCGAAGGGTGGCGCGTCGGGAACCACTAAATAGAGTTAGATACACTAACAACATTGTTTGCAAATAGAGACATACCAATGTTGGGATCACGGTGAAGTCCCATGGCATATGCCTGCCGTATCAAAATCCCAGCGAACGCCCAACCATCTGAGGCGTGGTTGTCGTTGATGAGGAAGTAGGTGATGAGAACCATAGCCTGGATAGTCTTGATAGAGGCCGTGCTCAAGTACGAGCACATGCGCAAGGCTTGGTTGCTCGCAGAAGCGTAGAATTCGGCCGTTTGTTTTCTCTCCCTCGGTGACGTCGACGTCACAAACTGGGTCCCCAGGGCTAGCATCACAAAAATCAGTGCGACAAACGCGGCATCGGCACGGTCCTTGTCAGGCCGTGATAAAGACCAAAAGTGCTCATAGTCGGCGTAGAACGTTTGTCGGTGGAGCATGGGATACACGGGGTCGACGCATTCGAAGTAGCGGTTGAGCAAGATATCAGCCTGCAGCTTGTCAGGTAGGACAGAGATGACCTCGGGCAGCCCACCCTCGCAAGTCCAGTAGTTGGCAAACGGGTGTTCCGACCCAATACCAAAAACATTAGAGGACCCTGGCGATGAGAAGGGCACATTGGATAAGAGTCCCGTCGAGGTGGCCACTGAGCCGAGTGCCCTAAGGCGTCCAACATTTAGGCCACGGTCAGCAGCATTCGGCATGGCATGGGAAACCCCGTCCGCCCGCCTTTTTGGTGGTCTCGTCATCCGACGGCCATTCGTGGCGGTCCGCGTGGTTTCTCTACACAAGGACCATTAGAAACGATCGATGATGTGACGGCGGTTACATACTCAAGAAGATTGGCGACAAGCGCATATTCACAGTTTGTTTGGCGTTTAATACCTAGGTGGGTTTAGAAGAGACATGGCTAACAAGGGGAATGAACGGCGTACAGGCAAGGCAATGCGGTCTTCCTCGGTCACACTGAGAGGGTCATGTCAGTATGAGTTACGGGCGATCACGGCACAGCGAGGCACAAAACAAGATTGAGATATGAAATGCGTGTAACATGTCCCCCCTGCCCAACCCTTATGCTTGTCGGCTTGTCCAGGGAGAATTGGTTGGGAAGGGGTCCAAGAAACACACATACCTTTGTTTTCCTCTCAACACACTCGAAGCACGACAAGGTTGGCTTGTTTCGTTTCTGCTTTTTCCTCGGCTGGTCAGCCGCGGCCGTGGGGGAGGCAGTACTGCTGTCCCGGTCTTCGGGAGAAGTGCCAAGGCTGGGGCTCGCTCCGTGTCCGTTGCGGTTGGTTGGGTCGGTCTTGGCCACGACCACCGTTGCGGCTACCGAAGGCCCGGAACTATTATTCGGGCCCCATAATCCCGACCTCTCTTCACCAACCTCAACTTCTCCCCGCGTAACCCGTTTTGGGGCGTGGCGAGGAGGTGCAGCATCACCACTCCCGATACCACCGATGCCGCTGCCAAAGCCGACCTCCCCCCCGACGTCCGCACCAGTGTCCAACTGCAGGAGTGGATGCGGGAGTTGGGGATGGTGCTGTTGCCGATAGGGGGTGTGATGAGAGAGGGAAGGCGACACGTAAATCGTAGGCCCCGCGTTCGGCATCGAAATAGCTGACACCGGCAGTCCTGGTAAACCCGACGGAGGAGCCCCCAACGAGGATGGCTGTTGTGGCCGTGGCCTCTCCATTCGCGAATGCACAGGAACGCCAAGAACGTCGGGGCAAGGGGAAGAGCAGCAGCGCGTTGGATAGACCTCCGCTCAGCCGTCAAAAGTAAGGCAGCCAAGCGGGCGGGGGGGATAGGCCGAGGTGGTGGTGTGATCCTCCTCCTCTTTCTAGAACGTCGGGATGGTGGACGCTGGACGGGTCAAATCGACGACCCTCACAGCGACGCGCACATGCGCGAGCGCGTGCCCGTGCAATGACAGGAGCGACTCTTTTCTGGTGGTGAGACACCGAAACTCGAATGAATTTTGCCTTCTCGTGCCTCGCGACGGAGGTAGCGATGTGATTGAAGCTGGTGACACGCGGCCGGGAATAACGCGCAGATACGCGGCGCAATGATTGTGTCTTTTTGGCGCTGCTCAGCGGATAAGCGTGATGCTGAAAGAGGCGAGGTCTTGGCCAAATCGAAATGTTTTCCGCAAGGAGCAATACAAGCGGCTGGGCACGGCTGGGAATAATGAGGGATTACACGTTGCAAACGAGTCGGGAACTGGATTTGAAAGTTGGGTGAGGTGATGGGCTGGGCGAGCACTGGGTGAGCGGGGATAAGAAAGTCCAAACCCCGGATCTTCGAGCACCTAATTCGCCAATTGAGGGGCTGTGTGGTGCTGACCTCGGGGGACGCTTCCCAAGCAGCCAAGCTGCCAGCGCTGCCCCAAAGACCGACAGGGAAGGTGGGAACCTCAGAGACTTCTCTGCCGGAATGGGGGAAGCAAGGACGGTTTCTAATCGCCGAGCAGCGCCGAGCAAGACCATGGATCCTTTCTTCCAGGTTACCCCAGTGCCCAGACAGGACCGGAGAACAAAAGCCGGGCCACAATGTCGCCAATACACCAACAGCAACCTTTCGACATCTCAAGACAAGAGAACGTCGGTCTCACTAGCTTCGCAAATGGATGTTCGTCTCATCAAACCTCGGACCCGCGAAGCTCGGTTGAAAAGTCACAGAAACATCGGTATGGTGGCCAACCTCGAATTCACGAGATTTGGCATCCTCGACGGGATCAAAGGGAGCCGTCTCCTCCCAGGTTGTCCTCCCGTTGCCCACAATTTCTATCCCCCTCGCGCAGTCGTGCGGCATTGAAGGAACCGACAGCCAAAACGATATTTCGGCAACTCCCATTTAGGGCCCGACCCGGCCCCGGAAGCCTACCCGATTGGAAATGCCGTACTATGTGTTTATAAGGATGTATCTTGCGACGTGCATCACACTAGCCACGAGTAGAAGACTATTGTTTTTCTTGCTTTTCACTCGAACAGGTGTGTCCTGGATGTTGTTGCATTGACGCTTTCGAGACGGTTGTTTTTTTACCGTCTTGCCGTCTTCTCCTTTCTTGTCAAGCAGCGTGATCGACAGGCCCATCGACGGGACGCTAAACTAAGCGAGAGCTTAGCATTCGGGCACACGCACGCCCGGAACATGGGTCGTGTTCCTCGGATGATGCCCGCCGTCAAAGAAACTTATTATGTACGTGCAAAGGCAGAACTCGGCAAGACCCCCACAACACGGCACTTCCTATCAGCCAAAAATGAAGTCGTCGTAATTCCTGCGCATCCTTGTCAGGCCCTGCTCCAATGACCAGCCCTTGATCTCGCAGACCCTCCGTGCAATATCGGCCAAAAGGCGGTCCATCTCAGGGCCAGCGCAATGCAAGTCACTCTCGACTAAGACCCGATCGTCAGGACATGCGCGCAGGACCTCGGGAAACTTGCTCTCCCCACCCGCCGTTGACAGGTTGATAGCCGTCGAGAAGGAAAAGAACACCTTGACTGGGATGGCCGGGTTGAGATACTGCTGCAATGTCTGCGAAGAGCCGCTGAACGAGTGCAGACACACACGAGGCGGAAATGGCTTTGGCTTGTAAGCTTTGGCCTGCTCTTTCTTTCGTGGCGGGTCTTCCCCGTTCTCCTCCCAATCCTCCTCCTCAGAGCTGGAAAAGTCCTCCGCTCCCTTCGCTACCATTTTCTGTTGTCGTCTCGACACCACCTCCTTTTCATGTCCCTTCCACAACCCAGCTAGAGCTTCAAACAGCACCCCGTGCGCCTGCACACCGTGCACACTCGCCGCGACACCCAGCTCGCCCGCTAACTTTAGCTGTGCCCTCAACACGCGTGCTTGATGCGGTACCCTCACATGGTGCGGGCTCAGAAGACGGCCCTCGCGCCCACCGGGAGTTAACTCGACGTCGCGATCCGATTTTTCGGCCTCCTTCCATGGCCAAGGCAAGCGGAAGGCTTTGTCCAAGCCAACCTCGCCGATCAGAACCGGCCCGCTCGCACCAAGGATGCGTTCGCGGGTGGAAGTAAGGAAATCACGTAGCGACAATGGTTCGGGGAGCGAGGCGATGAAGTTGGCGTCGGGCTCTGGCGAGAGCACAGCCTTGTAATGTAACGCCTTTTGGTCCTGCCCTTCTGAAGATGACGGGTCGTAGGTTCGGCCAACGTCGGTTCTAGTACTATCCTCCGTGTCATCGTAGATTTGGTGCGAAAACCAGGGGTGCCATCCAAAGGCTGGTATGATCTTGCGATCATGGCCAGTAGGCGGACACGGCTCCTCGAGCTCGGAGCGTTTCGAAATCCCTCCCTGTTTCGCGGCCGAGGACACAAGGTCTTGGTCCTGTGAACGGGTGGCCATGATGGTCAACACGCGTGTGCGCATCCGGGGGATGCTGGCGATTGATGACATGGTGTCAGTAGGGTGGCAGTGTGCGTCGCAAACCCCAATGTGCCAGGGAAAGTCGTCGTTTTCCCCGTTGTGGTCGGGATGGGGCGTTGTTGTGGCCGACGCCGGTTGGCCATCTTCCGTCTGGTGACACATATTTGTCCCGAGTTGAATTTCTTGGTCGGTTGTTCACTCAGCTCTGCCCATTTCATTGGGCTCCTGAACTAAGGCCTCAAGTTGAAGTAGAGGGAAGATACTGCAAATGCCGAACGAAGCTTGGGGTATCTAAACATTGAAGTCCACAGAGCCGGCGACATCTAAAATCATGGATTATATGGTGTCAGAACAAATTCCTGTTGGCAAGCATGACTGGTGTTTAGATCTCGAAGCTTCCCCCGCAGCAACCCCGCGCAGAACATCTTGGCGGCGATCTCTGCAAGGATCTTCCCCCCATTGACAGGGGTTATTTTGAGGCTCTCCAAAACTCCATCGCGACATCGCAGCTGGTGAGCACGCGGGCTCAGCGGGCCCAGATCACCTGTTCAGTCGGGATAATGAAACCGGGAGCAGTAATGAAATATTTTAATATGACTCAACACAAAAAAGTGAAAAGGACTGCAAGAACTCGAAACAAATCCGTGTTCTGAAGGCATATCAAGATAATCGCGGCTAATGTTCCTTGTCCAAGCGGTTTTGAAGGATTTCCCTTTCCCCAAGTAAGAAGGCCACGGCCGGGACATCGGCGGAAAAAAGGAGAAGAACAAAACAGAGATAGGAATACACATTGCAGAAATCAATTATCTCCAAAATCCCACAATCTCCCATGTTCTCTCAACACAGCGATCTCCCGCTCTGCCTTCTCTTGTCGCTTTTTCTCTTCCCTCTCAACGCGCGCACGCGTCGGCGCCCGCATCGTGACAGCCGGAATTTCGGACTCATCTTCCGTGGCCGGCCGCCGCGGCAGCAACTCGATGATCTCGGACTCCTTGTAGAGGGGTCGGTTGCGATCATGCCGCCGTCGGGAGCGGCTGCTGGACGTATGTTTGCCGTTGGCCCCAGCACTGCCCCCACCGAAGTGTCCTCCACGGGGTTCGCCTATATATTCGACCTCTTCGGCAAAGGTCACTCTCTTAACACGTCCGGTGCGCGGTGGGGAGTGGTCTGACGCGGAACAACGCAGCGCGGGGCGGGGCGGGCGGTCGATCGAGCTTTGCGATGTCTCGGAATTCGGGGTGGGAATGGTGTCCTGGCTGGACTCACTGTCGTTGCTATTGGACGGAGTGAGCAAGTCACTGCTGCAGCAACTGCTGGTGGTACTATCGTCGTCCTCATCATCGGTAGAGTATGGTGAATTGCCCGACACCTCCCAGTACTTGGAGTACTTGCGCATGATCTCCTGCTCCTGTGCCTCATTCACTGGTGGCCTGTCTGTGTCGCCATAACTAAGCCACATGATGCCAGCAATGAAGCACTCGACGGTTACAACGATGTTGTAGATAACGAGTACAACTGAAGCAACAATGGACGTGAGACTTCCGACCGTGAATAGAAAGGTGGCGAGAAAGGCGAAGACGATTGTTGCATAGAATTTGAAGGCCCTAAACGCCCAGACCTTCCAATCCGGCAAGAGTTTGGACCAAGAGATCTCGTAGTCCTCTGCCATGGTGGCGGTTGAGAGTCTGTTTTCGAACGGGCAGTTTAGGTGTTGGTTGAATCGGACGAACCGCTGCAGTTGAAACGAAAGAACAGGTAAGGACGGGACGGGCGGCACGCAGTGTAAGAGGTGGGTAGATAAAGGTCCCTCGGATCCTGAAGATGACGCATTCCCGGCTTGGGTTCGGGGCGCCCGCATGCCCACATGCAGGTGGAAAGGTTGAAACGTCGGGGAACTCGAGAAGGCCGAAGGTCAATTTGATCATCTCGAAATGTATTAGGTCACCAAAAAATGTGAGGGGCTCCTTGGGAACGCGCGCGCTGGAAATTCGCCTCGTTTTCAGATCGATCCTAAAGTAGAAGAGATAAGAATAGATCCAAAGCCAGCGATGATGATGTCGGTAGATAGTTTCACAGAGTTGATCAGCGCGGGATTGGCAACTTACCCGAAACCCAAAACACCGAGGTATCTTTCCATCCCATGACCATGCCAATTGTAATCCTGACCCAAGCTCCAAAACTCCTTGAACCGTCGTACACTGTATGTCGTGCTGTGGCCACGCATCGCGCCTAGAGGCTCTGCCAGAAGTAGTTCGCATAGAAGAACCTCGAGAACTTCCGATCTATGTTTACCACATGCACGTCTCCCTTACGATCATTCCTTACCACCACTCGGTTGAACTCTCCATCCTTGCTGTCCCTCTCAATCTCAATTCCCAGGCTCCGGTACACCTTCAACCGCAGCAACACCTCATCTTCCAACATACCCGCTGCCGCTCCACCATTACCACCCCCGCCAGCAGTGCCAGTACCCCCTGCCCCAACTGTGTCACCCCCATCCACCCCTTGCAGCTCCAACTCTTGCAGTCTGGCATTCAACTCCGCAAGCTGTCCCTGCAGCCGCTCCGTCTCCATTTCCAGATCCGAGGCTGCCTTAGCGGTCCGGAACTTTTGCGTATCCAAACGCGCAATATCTGAGGCGTGGCGCGCCGATGAATGGGAGGTTGTCAATTCCGCATGTTGTGACGAAAGAGTGCCGAGGGAGCGGGCGAGACGCCGCAGCGAAGCTTCAGCTTCGCGCAGACGCAGGTCACGGGCCTGTTGGAGGGTTGAAAGGGATTCTGAGACGCGGGAGACGGCAGATTTATCGGGAGCGATGTTGAAATTGGATATTGTGTGGCGGATGAGCTACTCGAGAGTGTTAGGTTGGCCGCTCCTTTTTAATGAGCGAGCAGGGAGGGACGGGGACGCGTACAGTAGAGGGGTCTTCTTCGAGAAGCATCTTGGCGGTTGTTTGGTGGACGTTGCGATGGGATTTTTATTTTTACTGCTCTTTTTTTTTTCCTAACCCGTGGCGAGATTACACTAGACAAGGGGCTGGGATGCAAATTTGTTTCGTTGTCGTGCTTGCGCGCTCTCAAAATCAATTCAAGAGTCGTTGCCGTGATTTGTTTGGGGTGGGCTTGGCAGTGCCATCTCCCAGGCGACAGTGCCGAAGCTGCCCGCCATCCGTTATCTTATCTCACTCGCCACTGCGAGCTCAGCCCAAGCAGTGGGCAGCTTCGTCATCGGCGGGCCACATGCTGGGAACTCGCAACGGCCCGAGCTTCGCAAACCTCCAAGGAAATCCGGGAAGAAAAACTAACACCATCGCCGTACATCGCCCGCTGCCCGCCGCCCGTGCATTTAGAATACTGCATCCCACCGGAGAAAGTATTATCAGTTTTCTCGCACGAATTTTGCTATGACACAACTACCATGTGAGCACGTGTATCCATCCCCCATAATTCACTTTCGCAGTAGCTAATCAGGATGCTTCCAGACGCGATTGACGCCGAGACGTGAGTAACCTCTCCTTTGCTTCTCTCTCGTTACGCCAAACAGATGTATCGGGCAGTTATCCTGATGTGTATATCACATGCAGTCCGCTCAACCCCGATGAGCTAGGGGTGCTCCGGGCTCAATATGAGAAGGAGGGCGACATGGTTGGCGTCCAGACCAAGTTCAACTACGCATGGGTATATCCTTCTACCCCTCCTCTTTTTTCACTGCTACGGGCACACTAACGTTTCCTACTTCTCAGGGCCTCGTAAAATCCAACCTCCGCAATGAGCAACACCTCGGCGTGATGCTCCTCGCCGAAATCTTCCGTACGTCCCCCGAGCGCCGACGCGAAAGCCTGTATTATCTTGCGTTGGGTAACTATAAGCTGGGAAATTACGGCGAGGCGCGCCGGTACAATGACCTATTACTTGACAAGGAGCCTGCGAATTTACAAGCCGCCAACCTGCGCACACTGATCGACGACAAGGTGGCTAAGGAAGGGCTCATGGGTGTGGCTATCGTCAGTGGCGTGGCTGTTGTGGCAGGGATTGTGGGAGGTGTATTGCTTCGCAACCTTGGCCGCAAGAGGTGAGGCTACTCAAGCCCCCAGGGTGTGGGTCGGCTGGCAGCGGCCGAGAATGGGAGAAGCAGTACATATTCCAGCGGGTACACCGAAGTGCCTTGTATTTGTACGGGACTGGATGACGGTGGCGCCGTGATTTTCAACTAATTGACACTTGGTTACAAAGTGCTTTTCTTTTGCTCTTTTTTTCGAGGGGTCTTTTTCCGGCGTGACTTCTGTCTAGGGCAATCAGGTCCATTTCCGAGGGACCACCTGACAGCACGATTATGGCAGTGTGGCCGCTCGTTTAATACGGCTTGTTCTTTGTGGACAGCAAAGAAGTGACGTCCTTGGAGGCAGGAATCGAGTGGTGGAGTGGAGGCTCACGAGGGCCGACTTACCTAAGGTAATTGGATATCCATCCAAAGGGGCTGCATGAATGATGCATGCCACGTGGATAACGTGTCCTGCAGTGCCAGTACGAGGCGAGCGAGTCCTTCTGAACATAATCCGTACCTCCATACCAACCTGAGGTACCTCCTAGGCTGAAGGGAGGTCTGTCGAAGTGTCGGTACCGTCAGAAACGGGACAGGACAGTCAACGCTAAAAAAAACAGAACGGTTGCCCTCTGCTAATGCCGTTCAACGACCAATACGGCAACACCACCTACCTTCCATGTGTGGGGAAGTCGGAGAACTCCTTGTCCATAACACCGCGATGTGTAAACGGGGAGCCATCATGTAGGCGTTTTGTACATGGATCCCGAGCACTCCATGCCCATGACAATGCTTCGCACCCTGCCCCCACGATCATAAGGTACCTCATTACTTCCTGTTATGATCCGCGACTTTCCCGTCTCTATACTAAGCCCAACCGTTCGGGGCCGTTCCTCGCCAAGAATACCTGGCCGTTTGGAGCAACAGGGGCACGATCGGCTGGGATCGGGTACTTTGCTGCATCATTAGCGATCCAACATGTGGTGTGGTATATGAGGCCGTTTGAGAGGATGTTATCCCAGCTTGCTCCAGGGTCCCAGGGACTTGCTTGCAACGTGCCTGGCTTCCGGGTTCCACCCACTGTGGCGCCGGGGTCCACAGGTACGTATCCATACTAGGTACATACATAGTAGTACCTACCGGTGGACACAGTGGGTAACGTCAGTTAGCACTTGCGGACCGTTCAATGATACCGCAGAACACCCAACAACTTAACCAACCTCAAAGCCGCCGCAAAGCTTCCACAACCAAGACGAAATACCGCGTACCTACACGGCATCGCCTTTCCATTTCGGTGAAGAATTCTTTAGCTTCACACCTGATAAGAAGGGTTGCGAGTGTACAAACATATATACCGGACCCCGATCTTCTGGTTTTGGCGGCGATCACGAAAGTGGGGCGATTGCTGAGGCCCTTCGACGACGCTCCTTTAACTTCTCTGGAGGGGCACGGCTTTTCTTTTCTAAGCGCTTTTCCGACAATCTACACAACCCCCAAACTTAGCGCCTCCTCTTGATTAACAAGCCTGTCACCGTGGCGTCCCGTGGCCGTTTCGCCTTCGCCGTTGCTACCGGCATTCTCGGCGCTCTTGCTGCGTACCAACGTCATAACGATCAGACTGGGCACGAACAACCTGGTATGGCGTCTTTGGGTGGGCGCCGTCTCGGCGCCGCAGAAGGGAGGGAGCTTGTGTTCTGCCACGCATGCCAGCATGAATGGTATCGTGAAAACGCAGACCTGGAATGCCCCAGGTGCCACAGCTCGTTTACTGAGATCGTAAGCCATCAACATCATCTAGCCACAGCTTCAATCCTAGACCCCGTCCCACCTAATCGCGGCCGTTTGCACTGACTTGCTAACTCCTTCGCTCCAGGTCGAGTCGTCAAATGATCCCCGCGACCCGTCTCCCATCGGCATAGATACGCTCGCAGACTTTGCCAGCGCTTCGAGGACCTTTCCGCGCCGCCAAGCTGACGATTCCGACCCCGAAGAAGGCGATATTGAAGAACATCTGTATGGTGGGGCGAGATCCTCCTCCACTGGGCCTCCCCCCGGGTCTCAATATGGTATGAGCAATGCCAGTCGTCCAGGTGACGAGGCCGACCTCGTCTTTCGCCGGTTTGCCGACATGCTCATGCATGATCTCGGGGCTGGAAGGGCAATACGCAGGAGTCCTGGGCCTAGTGGCATGTTTCCGCAACAAGAGGATGCGCCCGAGCCGCAACCTGGACCTAGATTCCACCAGACCACCTTTAGGGCTGGCCCATTCGGTGGACGTACCCGGGTTACAGTCACAAGTGGGACTTTCAGCGGAGGTGGCACCGAAGGGTCGCCCTTCAACACAGCATCGTACGTCGCTTCCCGCAGGGGAGTCTTACCTCATCCCTACGGACCATTGAGACGCTCCGTCACTATCATCACCAACCACAACAGTGCAGCTAATGTTCACGGATCGCATAGAATCTTCGATCCCCTTTTCGGCTTTGGCGCTGGAGATGATGCGAGCCAGCGAGAGCGTAGTCCGGGACCGGGTTTCGGCTTCCCATTGCTGGGCAGTCTCCAAGAGCTCATGAATTCTTTATACAACCCCGCCGCGGCGGTCCATGGAGATGCGGTCTTCACCCAGGAGGCCCTGGACCGCATTATTACACAGCTCATGGAGGCATCGCCGCAAACTAACGCCGCCCCACCGGCATCGGAAACCGCCATTGGGAATCTTGAGAAAAAAAAGGTGGACGACGAGATGCTCGGTCCAGAGGGCAAAGTCGAGTGCACTATTTGTATTGATGAGATGAAGAAGGGTGATGAGGTGGCTGTTTTGCCCTGCAAGCACTGGTACCACGGCGAATGTGTCGTCCTCTGGCTCAAGGAGCACAACACATGCCCCATTTGCCGGAAACCGATTGAGGGTGCTGGGACGAGCAGCAGCGGAAACAACGGTAACAACCACGATCTCGGCTCTAATTCCGGCCAGCGGGCGTCTTCATCACCATCTTCACACTCCCCCATCCCCAATCAACAACCCAATACAACTTCCTCAACTTCGGCGCCCTCTCCCGATTTCGCCTCGCCCACGCAAGGTACACCTTTCCGTTTCTCCCCCGGCTCGATGTTCACCGACTCGCTTTCCGCCCGACCCCGCCCCGACCGCGGTCCGCGCGAGCGTGACAGACCCCTCCGGAGCGCCCGCGAAAACATGGACCGCCTCAACTCGATCCGAAACCTAACATCTGGTAATGGTAGCGGTAGTGGTTCACCCACGCTCTCGACATCGATGTTCCGACGCAACTCGCATTCGCCGCCCCCCGCGGTTTCGCGACCGAGCGGCAATTCGAATGATGAAGCGATTGCTCAGAGAACCGCGCGGGTTAGAAGCCCCTCGGCTTCGAGGAATCGTGATGTGGACTGGGAGGAGGATCGTTCTGGGGATTTAGAGAGGGAGGCGCGGGAAGAGAGGGAGCGGGCCCGGCAGCGGGAATTGGATTGGGGTGCGAGTGAGAGGGGCGCTGCGGCATGGGACTGGGGCCTTGGAGATGGAGGATTTGGGGACGGTCGAAGGTCATCGCAGCCAAGTCAGACGCAACACCAAAGCCAACAGCAACAGCAGCCACAAGAACGGCAAGGGCAGGGACAGGGGGGTGGCACGTTTGGATGGTTGAGGGATCGCTTTGGAGGCAGAAGAAATTGATACGTGATGGTGCAAAGGAGATAGCCGGGGAAACGATGGGTAGCATAACCCTCAGAATCTGCGGTACATTTAAGATAGGGGGTGCTGGGATGGCGCTGTGGTTGCCGTGGAACTGCGGGTACATTTACGTCCAGCACGTTCCTGTTGGTTACGCGGAGGAAGGCCAACTGTCGACTCTTGTTAAGGAGTTTTCGGAAAGAGATGGCTCTGCGATGAGTTTTTAGCGGAAACGACGACGTCATGAAATTTATGACCCCTTTGCTCTCGCTTTTTAATGTCTGAGCTTTTGCTGGGCGGGTTCCTGGTTTTCCAGTGAGCTTTTATAGCATTCCAAACACTTCCACTTGTGACGTTATTTACAGAAAACCAAGTGGCCAGCGGAAGACGGAACAACGGTGGCTCTTTTAATTGTGTGGGGATCCCGTCCCAACTTAAATATGAATAGAGACCCCTTCTGTTGTAGAGGTCATTTTATATTGTTCTATCAAAGAGGTGGGTTGGTTCTCGTTTCTGCCTTGTTTTTTTAGATGTGGTACGCCGCTTGAGTTCTCAAGTTCTTACGGCATGAAGAATTTCTCAACGAAATAAGACCTGAACAGTTGAAGAGCATGAAGAGTCAGCCCGAAAGGGACTCGTCAGCTTTCCCCCTCCCGTTCATTATCTCCTCGCTGATTGGCCGGCTTTCAATTCTGCCTTACATGGCTGTCCAAATTGGGCAGGACGCGCAGCCAGTACTTTTTGGTGAGATTTGGCGGGTAAAGAGACAACGTTGCGAATTTTCTGGGGTAGTTCATGTCCAACAGACCACGTTGAGCTGGAGGCGGTTTCGTGGGTTGTATGTCTTGATCTGTTCTCCATCCTCTTTTTGGACTCGAGAGTTGAATGATCCATACCTACTCTTCCCCCTTCCCACCTTGTTTCTCTTGACTCCTTGGCCCTAAGAACTCCAGAGACTCTTCCCTGCGGAGCGAAATCTGGCCAAGTCATAGAGGTGGTCTTGTTTTCCGCGTAAGGGAAACCCCGTCTACCGGGCCTGTCCATACACGCCTTGACTTCCTGGGTGCGGAGGGGAGCCGTGTCATCGTCCCCAAGGCGCAGCGCGACCGCTTCCTCACACTTCATTCTCTCGCCGCGGCCCCACTGCTCGTCTACCTAATTACTTTGAGCCATGCGCCTATTACTTCCCGCCACAGTACTGGCAACCCTGAACTGGCCAACATTTACGGGTGCTTACCCCATACCAAAACGTTCGTGCGCCCTTCTTAATGAGAGACTGGCGATTCTTGCCAACTAATGCTCTCTACTAGCGGACCAACAGTATCTTGCGCCAACCCCATCAGCATCTCAACTAGCCCCCGTTGCCAACGGTTCTGAGGAAGCAACGGTGGGGCAAAATGTCTTCTCTTTTGGCGGGCAGGGCGCCGACTCGAACAGAGACTCAGGAGAGACGTCCACCTTGAACCTCGAGATTGAGGAATTGCAACGTCTCCGCACCAGCCTTGCCGATCTTGAAGATGAGGTCGTTGCTCGAGCACGGTGGCTGGCCGACACCGTCGGTCATACGCCGCCTCCCAGCCTCGTAGACTGCGACGGCCTTCAGTGTGTATTGCGCGTCATCTTGCGCAAGGCGGGATACGCAGCTGAGGGTTTACTCGGCTACACCGATGAAGGGCCTCCGACCAAACATACAAACCAGCGGGACAATAAGCTGGGACTAGAGACCCCCCTTCCACCGTGGCGCGGAGGCTCGAATTCTACCGATTTCGACCCATTAGCCGATGACGGTAGAGAGGAGTGGATGACCCTCATCATTCTAGGCCTTTTATGTGGGTTTGCAGTGGTGTTGGTGCATATCCCTTACCGCGCCATCTCTCGGCTGTTCCTCGCGCGCATGCGTCGTGGATCGTGGCCGTATTGGAAGAGAGAAGGCGGGATGCAGCTGGATGATGGGGACGAAGCAGGGGAAGACCTGAGTGAGAAACAGAGTCTAATTTCTGGTCCTCTCGAGGTGGATGGGTTTCGGGGCGTACAGGTGGTGGGTTGGGAGGATGAAACAGATTTCAACGAGACACTTGGCATCGAGAGGTGTCAGTCTGGTGTAGTTGAGTATCCTAGAAGAGGAGGAGTTGACGAGATGGAGCGTATCCTAGACGAGGGAGCGGACGAAATGCTGTCGACCATCGGGGACGAGATCGCGTCGTTCCAGTCTGCGCTGGCCCTGGTCGAGGGCATGGTGGCGGCTGAAGAAGAAAGGTCTAGGGGAAGCAGGGCGAATCGTTCGCCAACGTGATTGATGGTTTGATGGTGTAATTCTCGACCAGAAGCGGGTTGGTACCTGATGAGTCGCATAAGTGGCCCATCATGATGGCGATTCCTTCAACCACAGAGCCTTATGCCACTGTTGGACCTCAATAAAAAAGCCTAATGATACCAAGGTGGCTGATGTTCTGCCCAGTGGCGAGAGGGCTGAGGGAAACCGAGAGAGATAAGGCAACAACTCATCGTTGCAGCTGTCCCAATCGCAAGGTATTGCTTCACAAAGAGAGGGAGGACAACGGCCATGCGTTATGTAGTGATTGGTCTCCATGAGCATGAAACATCCAAATTGGCACCCAAAACCCCGCTGTCGGGTGTGCTAGCGGGACTGACCTGAGATGAGTCCCTCAGATTTAGCGGGTGGGCCCTTTTTAACCAATCTCTGGCACGGCCCTCCTCCACAGGCCGTGTTTGCCGATCCATTGGCTTGGTCTTATTCCAGTGCCTGGTCTCCCCGGTTGGCCTCTTGCCTAGGCCGCCCGTGAAGCACGACAACGAGCAGTTGGCTCTGCCAAAGCTCCGCATTTTTCGGGGCTAATTAAAACTGGACAGCCTACCATTCAGGTCCTTGCTCTGGGAACTCACGAGAGCCGACCTCTTTTTCCGACTGGCATAACTTTTAACCTCTCCAAAATTCTCCTGCAGAACGCAAGACCAAAGCAACAACTCGCATTCGAGAAACAAACAAGCGATCTCCAATATAATCAATTATCATTGGGAGGCTTCACCCACCGCGAGCCCCCACCGTTCAATTGAAACCTGCCGTCTGCCGACTCGAGTTGCTGAAACCCCTCCCTTTCTCTAGCCTCGCATCACGCCAGCTGGACGAACTAATATTGAGGCTGACACCATGGCCGACGACCCAAACAATACAAGCGACATACCGGGCCGAGCCGAGTCGGCCGCCAACATAACAAAGGAGGATGCTGAGACCACCGCCGCGCGGCGCGAGCTCAAGCAAACGACACTTTCCGAGAAGCGGGGCCGTGAGGAGGCCGACGTCGATGGTAGCAGCGATAAGAACGACGACGACGCACAAGGGTCGCAGGATGACACGAGCCCGCCCGACAGCGATGGGCATCGAGGCAAGATTCGTCGGTTCACCCCGCCGGCCAGCCTCAGTGTGGGGAAGGGCAATGCCGCCTCGCCGAAGGAGCAGATCGCATCGCCTAATAAGAAGCGGGCCCGCGACGAACCTGAAGCGAGTAAGGATGTTGTCGAGGCCACATTGGTGAAATCCGATGTGGACACGGACTCCAGTCCTGAAAGGACGTTGCACAATAGGCGGGACCGGTCCGAGCCCGAGCAGAAGCGACGACGAGACCGGCAAGCTAGTGCATCTGCTGTACTAGGGGCCAAGGAAGAAGTGGTAGGTTTTCTTTTCCAGTTTTAGCATCGTTGCGGACGGACGCAGTCGTGTGACGGCCCCTCTTGATGTTGACCTGCCCGTCTTACCCATTTAGGAACCCCTCTCTGCCAAGGCATCTCCCAGGTCAAGCCTGGACGGGACACGCCGGGACTCGACGGGCGGGAATGATGATCCCAAGAACAAGAAAACATCCAGCACAAGTTTCGCTAAGTCAGGCTTCGCAAAGCTGGCTGGCTCGTCCACCTCACCGTTCGGGACTCAGGGCGGATCGGCACAGCCCAAGCTGTTTGGCTCATCATCGAAATCTTCATCCTTTGGTCCCGCGCTCAGCGAGTCCGGCCCTTCTCTCGGTGCGCCCGCTTCCACGAAGCCAAAATTCAACTTCAGCGGAGCAACGGCGTCGTCTCCATTTGTCACGCATAACGGGCAGGGCAGCGGGTCGTCGTCTGTGTTCAATGCAAGCCCCTTTACGAGTATATCCGGCGGCACTCGTATATCGGGTTGGCTCAACCAGTCGAGCAAAGCCGGCGACTCGTTTAAGAGTGGCAAGTCGGCCGTGCCGTTTGGAGCACCTGCAACCGAGGACGAGAACACGTCAGGGGAGAAGAGCATTGATCAGAACAAGGGCGGGAGTACTGTTACTGAGGGTTCATCTGAAGATAAGAGCGGGGTGGGTAGTGGTGAGATTCAGGACTCGAAAGGGACGCCCGAAAAGAAGCAGGTGTTAAAGCCGGGTAAGTTTAAGCTAAGTTATTGTTTTGCGTGGTTTTACCACTGACTTGTTTTCAGTTGAGGTCGACAATGGCGAAAGTCAGGAGGTTACGTTGTTCTCGCGTCCGGCGGATATGTACGTGTCGGAGAGCGGCAAGCTGAGACAGCGGGGCTCCGGCACACTCAAACTCAACGTTCTCAAGTCGACGGTCAAACTGGATGACAATGGTGTGCCCATTCCGACTTCGTTCAACGAATCTATCTCCAAGCCCACTAAGGCGGAGTCGACGGTTGAGCCGGATGACAATAGCGATTCCGAGTCGAAAGCCGAGCCGGATGATGGTGGCGCCCCCGAACCAACTTCGTCAGACACCTCGGTGCTGGGTGAAGGCGACAGTGGTAAACCCAAGGGGGGAATTAAGCCCCACAAGCTGCCGCAAGCACGCTTCATCATGCGTCAAAATTCCACTTTGAATCTGATACTCAACTCGACTCTGCAAGCGTCGACGACCATCATTTTCAACCCTGATTACGAGAATAGGGTGACGTTTAGTGCGACCGTAGACCGCAAGCTGACTACGGTTGTCGTGAGGGTACGTTCATCTCTGGAATCTTATCGCAGGTTATTAGGGGTAATTGAGCTACAAACTAATTGGGGTATTAAGATGTCGCCGGCCGATGTGAGCACCTTTAGGGAGTTGGCGACGACTTTGCGAGCGCGGATGTCTAGCACCTAGATGCGGCAGTGCGGCACCGACACAGTGGTCATTTCCCGTTATGCATTCCCTCCGAATAAGCATGGGATATATTTTGGCTGGCGTCGTTCCTGATGCCAAACCGCCCCAATCGGGCCAATCTTTTCTGATTTTTGCGGGCAACACATTGGCCGGCCGAGGGATAGATGGACCTGTCGATATGTGCCCGTGGCCAACGAGGAGGCGTCAAGGGCCCAAAGGACTGGCACCCACCTCATTGTGGCCAGGGGAGGGAGACAACGCTTTACGGCATCCCAACCAGAAAGGGACCGACTGGACGAAACAACACAAAACCGGGCACACCGGCCTTTTTCTACTCTGTCCACTGAGGTACTGCCTTGTAAATCTACAAGCGAAAAGGTTTAGGGACAACTTGTGGGACTTTGTGTACATAGATATTACCACGTCTACCCCAATTACCGCTAGGACGGCGATGGGCGGGAAGCAATGAGCAAACGGGGGAGATGGCGGGTGCTTTGACCAAGTCCTCTGTAACCATTTCGGTAGTGTATCGCACTCACAACAGTTACGTTAGCAATAATTGATCAACGTTCTTTACCCTGTGGAATCCTTCAACGTGATATCGCCCTCTGACTGACGTATATTTTTATCCATCTCGGGAGGTTTGAAGGTTAATTGTAGAGTTCTGTGCAGAGGTCCTAGTATTCTCCCGGGTATTATACTGTACATACCTCGTACAGTACCGATAAGTATGGACGCAGCGGGGCCGGCACACGTGCTCTCCCGCCACTTTCGCGAACCACTTAACGCGCGGGCCGCGTCTTTTTGACGCCTTCATTCAGGAGTTTAAGCCCGTGCCTTGTCTTACCGACAAGCCTTCAAGTCCCCATTAGCGCAACATAAATCGACAGCGTACTCCCCGCGATGGGCACTCCCACGGATTCAAGCGCTACTTTAGGCAAGCGCAAGCGCGGGCGGACCACGGGCGACACCACTCCCGTCGGCCCCAGAGTACCTTCACGCACTGCTCGTCCCCTGAAGAGTATATCCCGGACAGATGCATTGCCCTCTGGCCAGCCAGCCTCTGACACACTCACCCACGGCCCAACATTAGCCAGCTTTGAGCCTGTTGACGAAGATGCGGATAAACCGCAACCACGACAAACGGAGGCTCCTAAATCAACATCATACCCGAGATCCCAACCCCGGACGAAAACAAAACCACCCCAAGCCATCCAGCCTCCCACGCATCCATGGCCTCCTTATTTCAACCGACTTGCACAGCTGCACCGCGCTCTTAACCTAGTGTCAACCTTCCTTGGAGCACAGAGGCAGCGGCAGGTTGCCCCAACACTAGATACGCTACGCCCCGCAGTAGAAGCACATACAAAGTGCGCGTTAGAGGTGGAAGATGTTGCAGGCGTCGTGGCCGTTTTGGCGGCCAGGGCGTCCGATGTAACGGTTGAGGGCAGTGGTAACCACGATGGGAAGGGTGATATAGAGGTGGATGTCGGAACGAATGAAGCAGAGATGCGGCTTCACGACACCGGAAGAACACGCCCCTCCGGCATACGCTTCGAATATGTCGACGAGGTTGACCTGGCACTCTCCCTAGGTGGTGCTGAGACCGAACGGGAGCGGGAATATCTTCTCCAAGACCAATCCGCGCTGGGGCAGCCGAGAAAGGAGGTGTTGATGTTTGAGTTTGTCGACGCTGAATTGAAGCACGACGCTAAAGTGAACAAATCCCGAGACAACGAAAATCGTATGAAGATGCCCGTCTTCAGTCAGGCGCAAATGGCGCGCCTAATCGAACGCCGCAATACAAAGTTTAATCAGGCAATCAACCAGTTTCTAGACAAATGTGCCACGGACGGTCTGGATCCTGAGATGGTTCTCAAGGATTCCAGCGCAATGTACACCCCGAAAATGACGGAAACTCAAGAACAACCGCGGCATCTGATCAGCACACTTCCTGCGAGTATCCCACGCGAGAGGAAGAGCATACCCGAGATCATCCAAGAACTCAAAGACAGCCCGTGGTACACGGGCCAGATTGTACCGGATGGCCATCGAATGTTTGAAGCACAAGAAGCTGTCTACGGCGACCTGCACTTCTTGCTGAGCCAGGACTTGGTCAACGCACTGTACAACACCAAGGGTATCACGCAGTTCTACGCGCACCAAGCCGAAGCCATTAACGCGCTCCACGCGGGCCACCACGTCGTCGTAGCAACTTCTACCAGCTCTGGCAAGTCGCTCATTTACCAATTACCCGTGCTGCACGCTCTCGAGCGGGATCATCAGACAAGAGCCATGTATATTTTCCCCACCAAAGCGTTGGCGCAGGATCAGAGGCGTAGCTTACAGGAGATGGCGGCGTACATGCCAGGGCTGGCGGACGTGATGGTGGATACGTTTGATGGGGACACGCCGATGGAGGACAGGAGCAGGATACGGGATGAGGCGAAGATTATTTTTACTAATCCAGATATGCTGCATATCACGATTCTGCCGCAGGAGGAGCGGTGGAGGACGTTTTTGAAGAATCTCAAATATGTCGTGGGTATGTATTCCCCCCTTTCTAGTCAGCGGATGTATGGTGCAAGGACGACGTAAACATGCTAATGGGCGAGTTAATAGTGGACGAATTGCATTATTACAACGGACTGCTGGGCTCCCACGTTGCTTTTATCATGAGACGACTGCGTCGGACCTGTGCAGCACTCGGGAACCGGCGCGTCAAGTTCATCTCCTGTTCTGCTACGGTGGGGAACCCGGAACAACACTTTAGGACGATATTTGGTGTAGATGATGTACAGCTGGTTTATTTTGACGGCTCACCGTCAGGTGAGCAACGTCTCTCTTAACGAACCCCTAGAATGTACCTCACTAACCATCAACATGTAGGACGCAAAGAATTCCTCTGCTGGAACACCCCATATAAAGACCCCCGTGACCCAGCCAGTGGCCGCGGTAACACCATGTTGGAGTGTTCCCGGCTGTTTTGCCAGCTGATCCTACGAGGCGTGCGGGTGATCGCCTTTTGTCGGGTCCGTGAGCAGTGTGAAAAGTTAGTGAGTGCGGCAAAGCGGGAGTTGGCTTCTCTTGGCCGCAGTGAGGTGGCCGGCCGCATCATGGGTTACCGTGGGGGTTACACAGCGCAGGATCGCCGGCAGATCGAGAGTGAGATGTTTGAGGGGAAACTCCTCGGCATTGTGGCCACCACGGCGCTGGAGCTGGGCGTGGATATTGGGACGCTGGACTGTGTGCTCACATGGGGATTTCCCTACACCATCGCCAACCTCCGGCAGCAGAGTGGAAGAGCTGGACGGAGGAACAAGGACTCACTGTCAATCCTGGTTGGTGATGGGTTTGCCACCGACCAGCACTACATGCAGAATCCGGACGAGCTGTTCAGCAAGCCCAACTGTGAGCTGCAGGTGGACCTAGACAATATGCTTGTCAAGGAAGGCCATCTGCAGTGTGCGGCCTACGAGATGCCCATCCAGCCGACCGAGGACGCCGTCTACTTTGGCGATGACCTCGCTCAGCTCTGCCAAAACCGTCTCATTCCGGATGAGACGGGCAACGGTGTTTTCTACCACACACACCCACGATTCCGACCGTTGCCATCGAGGCATGTCTCCATTCGCGACACGGAGGACGACCACTTCGCCATCATCGATATCACTAACAACCGCAACGTGGTGCTCGAGGAGCTCGAAGCGTCCCGCGCCACCTTCACAATCTACGACGGTGCCATATTTTTACACCAGGGCGAGACGTATCTCGTCCGCGACTTCAGGCCAGACAAGCAGCTCGCACGTGTCGAGCGTGTCAAAGTGGACTGGCTCACGTCGCAGCGCGACTACACCGACGTCGACCCGATCGAGACGCACGCCGTCAAGCGAATCGCCCGCTCACCTTCATCCTCGACCTCATATTCGCCCTCGTGTGCCTACTACGGCGCAATTCGCATCACCCAAGTCGTCTTCGGTTACTTCAAGGTCGATCCGCGCAATAACAGCCGCATTATCGACGCAGTCCCCGTCTCCAACCCGCCCGTCATCCGCCACACCCGTGGCATGTGGCTTGACATCCCGCCACGCGCCCTCGCCATCCTAGCCGCACGGCGTCTGCACCCGGCGGCCGCGATCCATGCCGCGCAGCACGCGCTCATGAGTCTAATCCCAAATTTCGTCGTGAGCATGCCGGGGGATGTACGGACCGAATGTAAGAATGCGACCAAGGAGTTCTCAAAGCGCGAGACACGGCGGAAGCGGCCAGCACGACTGACGTTTTATGATGCGAAGGGTGGCAAAAATGGATCAGGAATCAATACCAAAGCGTTTGAATTCGTGGATATGTTGCTGCGGCAGGCTCTAGCGCGGGTATTGGCTTGTCGATGTGCCGATCCGGGGAGTGAGGCGGGGAATGATGGGAGCGGGTGTCTCGAGTGTTGCGCGTCGGAGCTATGTAGCAAGATGAATCAGGTGCTGAGCAAGGCTGGGTGTGAGGTCGTGCTCAAGGTGTTGCTGGGCGAGGAGATCGATATTGAGGCGCTGCCGATGGGGCCAGAGGACGGAAGTCCGTTGTTTGAAGGAGTTGAGACGGTTGTGGTTGCGGAGACTGTGTTGGGGCAGGATGGGAGGGGATTGCACGTTGATAGAGAGGAGTCAGAGCAGGAGGGTGGAGACGGCTGAGGAATGGGGGACTACAAGGGATAGATGCTGTCATTGCTGTGTGAGAATGGCGATATTGAACATACTATGAAGTAATAGGACGAGCGGAAGCAAGCAGCGACTCCGAATCCATCTGCTCTCAACTTTCCCGAGCTGGCCAGAACGTTAGCGGGAGTTGAAACTGCGGGACGGTCCGGGAGCAGACTAGGTACCTTGTTCGGGCGTCACGTCCAATTACGGTAATACAGTCTCCATGTTCCTCTCCAAAGATGCCCTCGTCCCGGACCGGAACGTAGCCAATGATACCGCCTTCTTCGTGGTGTCGCGTCCCGGAATATTTAGGGGCAGAACAGAATTCCTATCGGGGGATAATTATTTGGTTCGAGCGGGATACGAAGACAAGTTTTTTAGTACATACAAACAGCGGGCCATGCTCGACGAATGGAGCAAGGCTGAGGTAGACTTCCCGAAAAAGTTGATAGAGGGGAATCGGAGAGTACAGGGAACAATGACTAGTTTGACAGCGACGACTCCGACTTTTACATTAACAAGGGGCGTAGTATAATTAATTATATAACTATACGAAGTGCCACCCTCTCATATGCCTTCGGCCCAACAACTTGAGAATAGACCGATCCGAACATTTCAAATGCGGGAGATGTGCGTCGGGATACGGTTGGGTAATATCTGACTGAAAATGAAGCCGGTTGTTGGCCCAACGAAACCTTAGAGAAAAGCTCCACGGTTCCCGCAAGAAATGGCAACGCAGGGAAGCTGAGCAATCTGGATGTTTGGCGATTTGATTTTGGTAGGTAAAGTGGGCAGCCGGCCAAATGCTTTTCGCTCGAAGAAGAATGGTAGCGGAGCCGGCCTAACTGCAAAGACATCCTGCTGACATGATTGCCCAGCTTCGGGCACTTGCAAATGACGTGACGTGCCCCTGTGGGTGCCGTAGGAACGCACAACACATTGGTGTCGTCGGCTTGGTGGTCAAGTGCTGTCTTTAGGTCATGAGGGTACTGGACGAGACGACTAGCTGAGACGGAAAGCTAGTGTTGAATGAAAGAACATGTTAATGAAAAGAAGCTTTTAATAGCAATGCCCAGATGTTGTAATTACTCACGATACGAGATTGGTCCGCTCGCGAGGAGCTTTGAAAGCCTGCGTTAACCCTGGCCGTCTGGGTTTGTCCAAGAACTAGACATTTATAAATTTCCGTAATCATTTCGTCGGCCGTTACAGCTTGTTCGTGAGCAGACAAGGGCTCGGATTCCAGAGGCAGAGGTCGTTGTGTTTGCTTCAAGGTCCTCTGCACGTCTTGAAGAACCGCATCTACCGAGCTGAGTCTGTTTCCGATCACCGAGAGCGAAGTGTTCGCCTCTTGAACATCACTAGAGACCGTCTCTAAATCGCTTCTTTCGAGTAGCGGGTCGTCTTAGCAAATGATGAGCTGAGTTGGGAGGCAAGGTCGTACGACACTTATTTCACGGCAGATAATAGACGAAGTTCATGGTTTTGCAATTCCCGGCTCAAATCGTGTTTCAGTCTTTCTAATCGCTCGCAACGCTTGATGATATCCGCTTCCTTCTTGAGGGAAACAAGAGCACGCCATACTTTGCCCGCTTTTGACGTGTTTTCGAGAGGAAGACATTCGGCAAGCATCCGGTAGAGTTGCCCGCAAACTTCGCCGGAGCTGTGGAGAATCTGGGAAATCCTGTCAATTTGTTGAGAGCTGAGGTCAAGGAGTCGCGGATCCTTTGTCTGGAGGGCTATTTGAAAGTCGCTCAACAGGTCTGTGAAGGCGTGTAGATCCTCAAACGTATGGAGGAGGTCCTTGGGTGTGTCCTTGAGACTTTTGACAAACCGATACGCCCCTAATAAGCTGCGGCAGCCCAGGTCGACGATCTGGGCTGCCGAAGCAATTGTGCCGAGCTCTATCAGGGAAGAGTTGACGAGAGTAATCACGGGCAGATTGTCTGAATTGTGCTACAAAAATGAGGGGAAATCTCAAGAGAAGAACAGATAAACTTCCCACTGGGAGAGCTTCGACTTGTGTAACAACGGAGCCTTGCCTTCGGCCCAACCCAGGCCACCCACCGTGGCATTGCATCATGCGGGCGACAGAGGCTGTGCGAAACAACAGGGCTCCTTGTGTCACCACACTGATCGAGCAAAGCAAACAAAGTCATGGCTAGTACAAGCAGCTAAGATCAAAACAACATGCCAGAATGGCGAGAGCCGGAACGACGGGCTGTAGCATCGACTACGTGTTACTTGGGCGATTCCCACTAACGTCCCGCCCGAAAACACGGGACGTCGACAAAACCCTTCAATCGACCTCGACGTGGAAACACTAATTAGGTACCTATCAGTGATTCTTAACATAAACTGGTAATGGGTTCCGAAAACTAGATCACACATCCCAAACCACAGCACATTTCCCTTTGTTTTCTCACGCTACAGCCACCTGCTTATTTTGATTCTCATCGTAGCCCCAGCTGTCCCACTCCGATAGCTGTCCACGAGTGCCTATACTATCTCCATCCGGGTATCATTACTCATTATTCACAACTGATCCATCCATTATCCATTGTCCACCACCCTAACCTAATTATTCCCTTCTCCTCGATACGTTTTGTTGCTGGTACCCTCGGCAGGAGAGGGAGTTGCATTAGACTGACTTGTTAAATGTCCGTCTCTGTCAGTGTTGTGTGTCTCCTAGGTTCGTCGTTCGTGCTAGGCAGAGGCACCAGAAGGAGTCATGCCATTCATGCGGCGCTGCCCACGAGTTGATGAGATATTCCCCAGCGGACATACGCCAATTACACGACAGGGGCATCTCCCGCCCCCTTCAACCCGGTTCGGTATCGATATTTCCCGGAACGGTAACTCCGTGCATTTAAACATGCTCTGCCCAAGTGACAACCCGAGGACGAGGTCATTTCTTCACCCCCTCACTCCCACCCCCTTCCTCATCATGCCCACCCGCCACCGTAATCGACACCTGGTGCGGTACCCGCGGACGATTCTCCTCAAACCCGCGGGTCGCCGCCCGCCCCAGGCCACGGAACTCCGTCAGGGCGCGACGCTCGCCCTCTTCGATGGCCGCGTGCATACCCGACTGGGCCGCCTCGCGGGCCGCGTCCCGACCGCGCTCAATATCCTGCACGGTATGGCGCACCGCGTCCTGGCCGTCCAAGGCAGACTTCTCGATGTGCTTGGACATCCGGTCGAGGGAGTCTTCGAGGTTGCGGATCTTGGCGTGGACGTCGTTGGACTTGTTCTCGACACCCGCGGCGGCGGTGTTGGCTTGTCCGGTGAGGCGCTTGATGGTGCCGTCGAGACCGTGGAGTTTGGCGGCGATGGCCTCGGCTTTCTTTTGGTCGACGCCGTCGTAGCGGACGCCCTCCATCCGGCCGTTGCTGCTGGTCTTGGCGTTGAAGGCCTCTGGGTTGTTGACTTCGATGTCGTGTTTGGTGGTTTCGTACATGTGCCGGATCTTTTCGATTTCCTCTTGCACGTCGAGGGTGCAGTGCTCGAGCGAGAAGTCGCGTTCGCGGTGCTCGATGTACTCGCGGACCTTCTTCCACTCGCCGGCCATGTACTTGAAACGGGCCGGGTAGCCGGAGCCCTTGAGGTAGGTTAGGAAGCCGGCGATGACGGTGTTGATGGCGCCAAAGGCAGTGATGGCTTTGTTGTTGGCGTTGGCCGCGCCGAGGGCGGTCAGGGACGCGGCCACGATGATTTGCAGGAAGTAGCAGGCGTTGATGATGATGGAGAACACCTTGTAGCTGTCCTTGGCCGTCTGCTCGCCGCGCACGACGCGGGAGTAGAGCCCGACATTGTCGGCGGAGCGGTGCGCCGAGATGTGGAAGCCGAGGTGCGGCGCCGACGTAATGCCCAGCGTTAGGCGGAAGAGCTGCAGAGAATCGTCGCTGGGCACGCGTTGGGAAGTGCCAGCGGTGGAGAGGGTATGGCTAGCAGGCGGGAGCGTGGAACCGAAGACGGACGACTCGGCTGCTGTCGTCGTGGCCTGCTCCTCATCCGGGCGAGGGGTTTGAGGGGCCCGCGGTTTGATGCCAAGCAGGCCCGCGAGAGACTTGACGAAGGAGGTCATCGTGCGTCGAAGAAGGTACACGTCAACAAGTTGTCTCAGATGAAAGAGCGGCCCGAGCCAAGAAAGCAAGCAACAAGCATCGAAGCTCTTCGCCGAGGCTTCCCCGGCTTTTCAAGTATTTCTCCCTCTCCCGTTCACTGTGCTGCCCTCCACCCCCCCACGTCTGCGGTGTTTCATTCCATTGCCAGACCCAAGCAGGAGAGATCACCAGGCAGGCCAATTGTTCCCAGACCCGAGGTCGGGGAGTATCATGCCGCAATTCGCGAAGTGAGGAAAATCTGTGTGCCAGGGTTCTGGACATGGGGTCAACCGGTCCATTGGACATCAGCCGACTGGCTGGGCCGGTTCCAGCAGGCATGCAGCGGCGATCACCTTCCCGGCACGGAACGCTCAGCTCAATCTGGATCGCCATGTTTGCGGAATTCGGCTAGCGGGAAGGCCATTCCCGCTTTTTTGACCCAGAAGCTCAACTCCATGGGCCTGTCACCACCGGGTTCTAGTGCTACCCTGACCGCGTCTTTGACTCCAAGTGGGAGGATAGACATGCGGGTTGCTGCTGCACCGCACCTTCGCGGGGTTCTTGCGAGAGGAAAACGAGATAACAAGTGGGCGAGGGCCTCAGAGACGGTCTCCTCTTCCTCGGCTGCGTTTGTGCGACGTAACCTTGAAATATTGCTGGTCGCCGAGGGAGATTAGGCATGAGTGCCGGTGCGGGAACTTGATGCCCTGGGGCGTTTCTCGTCGGCGCGTAGCAAGATAACTCTCGACAAGGGCTTGCGATGGGCGAAGACGATGCAACCTTCCAAAGTGCTGCTTCCGAAACCCCGACCTTGGGTTGTCATTTTTCTGCGCGGGTCGGGGCCGGATGAGAGAATGGGTTTCCCCGGGCTCCTGAAGTGTTCACTAATGGGCGAAGCGGTTAGTTAACATTGAGAGGCGTGTTAGCGATTCACGTTAGTTAACTATTTGCCCGTTGAAGACCCTTCATGCAAGACCGTTCTGGTCGCAACATGCAATGTGATGAAAAATATGAGACATGCCGCAGCGTGGATGGCCGTTGACGGGACCGCGACCTTGGGTGATCAAGATACACTAGAAGATAGGCATTCCGAATGAGGAGCGTTTATTTTGAGTACACGAGGACTACAGGCATTCTGAACGAGGGGAGTTTATTTTGAGTAATGATAATTCCCTTCTTATATGTCGCAGCAGCGGGCGCTCATGGTCCAGCGCCGTGGGACGCTGCTTCTGCCAAATTCGCCGGGGATGGGGGGATCCACTGATCTCAGACCCTATGGTCCGTGCTCCCACCAACAGAGAAAACCCCCCCAACCCACTTCGAGAATTACCGAGCGGCCCGACAGCGCGTTCACTCCACGAGCAGCTAGCCCCTGGAATGAAAGCTCCGGCTTGGGCACTGCTCATTCGCGTTCATGTTCCCCGCAGACTCGGCAAAACCATCGACTCCCCCTCTCCCATAAGTCAGAGAAAAGCACCCGCCAAAGGCCAAAAAGTATAGCGAATAACAATTTGCCGACGCCAGGTTCTCCACAATCCCTGAAGCAATTAACTGCCAGTTTCAAAGAGAGAAGAACGGAACGAGCCCTGACACGGAGAGACGAGGACAAGAGGTCTGATCGCACGCCAAAAAGTGACAGTTTCTAGATCTGGAAGAAAAGGCTTCCATCTGGTCGCCGAAAGAACAAGGTAAGGTGATGCAGCTTGGCCTTTCGGGGATCACGGGCTTTAGAACAGGGGCTCTTTTTGGGAGAAGCTGGGAGCACATGCAAGCTCCAGTGTAACCCCCTCTCGTCCCTTGCCCTCCGAGGTGCTGACGCCTGCGACACTTTGTGTTTTGACGTCGTGAGACGCGCAAGAGGGCGATTCACTTGCAGCGCGCGAGAGCAAGACTCGAGAGGTCCAAGATTCTCATCGTCGAGAGGCACCCAAATGATTTTGGTGGAAGTCAAGGCCAACCTCATTAGGACAAGAACGTGTGAAACTGTACCTCCCGGTACAAATTCAACTTCGCCCTGCGTGTGAGCGTGTCAAACAGCGGAGTTCAGTCCGCGCGTTGCCGAGTCCTTCCCGGCCAGCTTCCAGATCGCCCACCGCCATACCCGCCCGGGAATTTGTCATATGCAGTTCCCGAGACCCGACACCCCCCTCGACCCGCGTTACAGCACCCGGCATCGGAGCCCGCCATGCCCACCTATCTCTGCCACGGCTTCCGGTGGCAGCGCCCCAGCATTTGCATTTTTGTGATCCTACAGAACCTAGAGGACGCATCGCCCCATTGGATCATCTCTGCCAAGAGTTCCCAATGCATACTCAATAGCTTCTACGAGAAATTTGACTTTCTCCCCGACTGCAGTCCAACGAGCGGCAGCTCCACTCCCACAAAAGGGGTTGATGTCGATGATGACGATGATACGGTCCGGTCCGGTCCCTTTCTACCCGCCAACGGTCCCAACAACGTGAAGGATCGCAGTCAAAGCCGAGGTCGCGTCCGTGACCGTTCCCGGAGTCAAAGCACACACCAAAGCCGTAGCCATAGCGACGCAACCCAGCGGCGTGTATCATCTCCCGGTACCGCTGGCGATGATGGCTCAGGGATTACCGCGTCGTCTACCGCTGCACGGGACGCTCTCGCCGGGCAGTCATGGTCGGCCGTCAAGCTCCTCGAGGAGTTCGACCCGAACGACCTGACCGCCGTCTCGCAGCCCCATGCTTACGTGGCCGACTATGCTGTGCGCATCGACTTGTCTTGTTCGATTGTCGACGAGATTGCCAAGTATGAGCAGCAGCAAGCTCAAAACACCCGGCCTGCCGTATCCATACCGCAGTCGAAAGACTCGCTCGAGCAGTTGGGCAAGGGGTGGTTTGAGAACCTACGTGACGAGCTGCAGCGGGAGGAGCAGATACGGTGGTATGTGGTTGTGAATGATGATGAAGTGCGGGACTGGGAGGAGAACGACTCGGAGCTAGAGAGTATTGCGGAGCAGGGAGCGGAAGATCTGCGTCAGGAGGATCAGCAGCATCCACCACCACAGAAGCAGCAACAGCAGGTCCAATATCAGCCACAACCTCATCGGCGAACACTGTCACGGAAACAAAACCGGCATCATGAGCAGTACGCCCATCAGCAGCTCATGTTGGAGGACGAGAGTCAAGAGCCACATCAGCCACAACAACAACGGCGACTGACATTCCAAAGGAGTTCCCAAGAAAGGGAACACGACGGAGGAGGGTTAGGATTAGAAACGAAAGGAAAGGGTCAAGTATTCGACGAAGAACAACAAAAACGGCTGCTTCTCCAGGAACGACAGGAACAGCAACGCAGGCGACAGGCGCGGGAGCGGAAGCAACAACAAAAACAGGAACTTCAGAGGTTGGTTCGGAAAGGTCAAGAGTTATTAGACTCACCGGCGCAAGACCGAAGACTAGAGAAGACTCAAAATATTGAAGATCAAGGCCGACTACTAGACACAAGACCACCTATGCCACTAGGAGCACCACCGCCACCACCACCGCCCCAGATCAACCACCTCGAAACGAGTAACGAACCTCCCTCCGTGCCAGAAAAGGACTATCGTTATCCTCGCCCGCCACCCCAGACATCAAACCCACGGTCAACCCCGGTGGCGACCTCGACGACGATGAGATTCCCACTGATGCCCGAGGTTGCGCCACCATTACCACCACCACCCCTACTACCACCGCCACCACCACCACCAGATGAACCACCCCGGCCCAAAGTATCCGTCGATGCGCTCCAGCCAAAAGCCCCAGGCGGTAAACGTGGTCTGCGGAGGCTTTTCTCCCGGTCGAAATTTTCCGCTGAGTGACCAACAGTTATTGCGCGTTACCGCAACTCTGGGGGCCGGGCCGGACCTAACCCGTGCAGGAAAGGAAAGCAAAGCGGTCAGAGTATATTGTCTGTGATGTTGTCTAACTTGTGGAGAAGGATCGTCGGTTCTGAAAAAATGGGAAGATTTTGGAGGGACATGAGTACAAATAGTTACATTACATTACATTACCACATGGTGAAACTTTCTTGGGCATCTTGCGTAGTTCACTTGCTTTTCAGGGGCATTTTTGGGACACAAGTGTCTTGTCATGTCTTCATTTACTGCTAAATTGCTGTGAACAATAGTTAAAAGAAAAGACGATGGATGTCTGTGCCAGACAGAAACCAAACAACCTAACGTGAGGAAGCAGATTCGCCTGCTACACCTGTAACCCCGGCCCAATCATGTCATGCATCGTAATCCATCCACATATCCCTGACCAATAATGGCATGAGAGAGACGACCGGCTCTCTTAGAATGCGTTGCAGAAAAAAACAAACAGGACAGTAAGTCACCTCACCGACACCACACGGTGCCGTCTCGTCGTCAAATGGAGACGATCTAGACTAACAGGTCAGGGAAGGTAAAAGCAAGCAACGCAACAGCAAAAAAAAAGAAAAAAAACAAGAACAAAGACAACAGCACTGTGAATAGATAAAGCAGGAAAAGCAGAAGGAGAACGCCATGCTACCGTCCGTCCGTTTGTCCCATGAAATAAGAGCCTTCCCTTTCCGAGATGCATGCCATAGCCCGTTCCGTTCGTTTCCCAAGCTTCAAAAGCAAATGAAACCAGAATTCTCCCATCCAACCAACCAGTCCAACAAACGCCTTATGTGATGTGATGACCGACCTTGTCCTTCTCGAGTCGGCTGCCCTAGGATATTCCCTCCCCTCACGAACAACACCCCTTCCGTCTCCTCCCCTCCCCATTCCTAGCCCATTCCTCTTCATCCCCACCGCCGGGCCCAGCACCGCTAACATTCGACCCTCCGGCCCCCAGCGCCGGCGAAAACCCCGGCGAAAACAACCAACTCCTCCTATCCCGTCCCACCCGAAAACTCCCCCCCCTCGGATTCACCCCATCAAAATACCCCGTCACATGGTGTTCCGAGCCAGGTATACTAACTCCTGCTCCCCCACCAAGACCACTACTCCCACCAATACCCATACCCATCAACCCCCCACCATCATAATGACCCCCCGCCAACGACGGGCCCGTAGTCCCCGTAGCCGCAGCCAACAGCGCCGCTTGCATCTTCCGGTTCTGCTCGACCAGTTTCCGCGTGACGACGCGAAACACCTCTTCCACGCCCTCGCCGGATTCGGCGGATATCTCGTGGCAGGCGTCCCAGCCTACTTCTTGGCCCCAGAAGCCGGAGGAGCGTTTGCTGCTTGGGCTGCGGGGTTCGATGGTTTGGATGCCTGGGGTTGGGTGGCTGGTGTGGTTATTGATGGGTGTGTTGGAGCCGGTTTGGGAGGAGAGCCAGCCGAGGGATTGGGAGGGGTTGCTGGTGCTTTCGGGGCCGGCCGGAGTCGGGAGGGTGGTGGACATCCCGCTGTTTACGTTCAGACCGCTGCCGCTGCCGCTGAAGTTCATCATGCCGACGAAGCCGGCGCCGGCGGTGGCTGGTGGGGTGCTGCCCATGCCGGGGTTGAGGTTCTCGGCGACGTAGGCGATGCAGCGCTCGAAGGGGACTTCGCGGCGGGAAGGGTCGCGGGCGACGATGTCGGCTTTGGTGCCGACTACGTGGAGGACGATGTCAGGCGGGAGGTTGCGGCGTAGTTCGGTCAGCCAGATGCCCATCTCGGCAAAGGAGGCGGCGTCGGTGATGGAGTAGCACAGGATGCAGGCGTTGGCGCCGCGGTAGTACAGGCGAGAGATGGAGCGGAAGCGTTCTTGGCCGGCTGTTTGATGTCGGGTGAGGGACTTGGTTAGTTGGGGTGGGACAACGGGAGTGGGGAGGAGACGGAGTGAGTGAGTGGGAAATGGCCTATTCGTACCGGTATCCCAGATCTGCAGGCGCACTAGGGTGTCGGTGTCGGTGTCGACGACGCGTTTGGTCAGGAAGCTGGCGCCGACGGTGGAGGTAATCTGCGAGGGTACAAAAGCGCCTTTGCAGTAGCGCATCACCAGCGACGTCTTGCCGACGCCTTGGGAGCCGAGCACGACGATCTTGGCTTCGAGGGACGACGACATATTGGGGTCTAGTCCAAGGGATAAATGAGGTGGTCTCTCAAATGTTTGCTCGGTTGGAGGGGTAGGAGCTACGTTCGTTTCGTGGTCGCTGTTTCGTGAAGTTCTCGTTCTTGTCGTCGTCGCTGCCGTCGTCCACCACGGCTACAGGACTCTCGGTCGTGCGATGTGCGAATGTGCCCTGATCTGCACTCCGCAATGTGCCTGCAATGCGATGCGAGGCGCGCGTGTTGCGAACGAAAATAAATGCATGCGCAGGGATGTTGTTCTGCTCGTCTGCCCTGTGCTTCTTGAGCGAGCCGAGCCGTGTCGACTTCCCTCGTTCTGCTGCCCTGTCTCTGCCTGTCTCTGCCTCTCTCTTCCTATTCGGTCCTCCCCTCTGCCTCTCAAAGATCTACCCAGATTTAGCGGTCACAGTCGCGCATCATCGTCATCGTTGTCATCATCATCATCGAACACGAAAGCAAGAGAGCGAACAAATCAGTCGTCGGGCCGAGTTGAGATGGGGGTGGGCGATTTGCAGCGGAAAGCGTGGCGTTGTGCTGTGGTCGAATTGAAAGCTGCATAGAACAACCTCAAGACGGCGGGGAAACGGGAGAAGAGGGAAATCGATCTCAAATCTCACCTCACAGGCACCCCTGCTAGGGAGGCACGCAGGCACTGCGGGGTGACTGGCATGCAAGAAGATGGGCGCGTGACACTGAAACAGCGGGCTGTGCTGGGCGCTGAACGAATTCATAGGCCTGTATTGACGTCATTCTTAGGGCCGTGGTTTGCGAGGGCTGCTCTGAAACGACCGAGGTCGAGGCTCACCCAACCCTCGGGTTAGGTAAGATGGATGTGCTTGGATGGGAAGTTGATATCATTCTAGGGAGATAGTATCTTAGGCATGTTTACTAAAACTGAAACAACTGATAGGAATCTTAGAAACCGACTCCCTGGCTTACTTCAAAAATCCCTTGTTTCTCCACCCCCCTCCCCTCCTTAAAACCCCCAGCAAACAATCGGTCCTTTGGACTTTAAATCCGAGACTCGGGAAATACCTACTCGGAGTCGGCAAGTGATCGCCAACAAGACAATTAAAGCAAAGGGCAGAATCAGAACACGAGATCTACATGAGTTCCCGCTCATCGGTATGTAGCAACAACGCCTAGCAATATATTCAAGTATGGCGCCCCCGATATATCGAATAAAATATCTAAAAAAACACACACACCTTTTATCATCCTCCCTTACAGCTTCGACTTCTCCGGCTTCTCCCCCGTCACCGCCAACCTCTGCGCCGGGTTCACCAACGGGTCATACACAGCATGTGACAAGCTATCCGACGGCGGCGCGCCGTGACTAAACAGGCTGCGCGCATCCACCATACTCGGGTTCAACTCGGCCACCGACCGCGCGCCAATCAACCGCATGCCCATCTCCATCTCATCTTTGAGCAGCTGCATCGCCCGGTCGACACCGTCCTGTCCGTACGCCGACATGGCATACAAGAACGGACGGCCGATGCCCACCCCCTTGGCGCCGAGACACAACGCCTTGAGGATGTCCGTCGCGCGCCGGATGCCGCCGTCGATGTACACCTCGATCTTGTCGTCGAGCCCTAGTTGGCGGAGCACAGGCATCGTCTCGGCGAGGATCTCGATGCCGGAGCGGGCAAACTCCAGCTGCCGACCGCCGTGGTTGGACAGCACAACACCCTGAACGCCGACCTCAGCGGCCTTGACGACGTCCTCGACGCGCTGCACGCCCTTGAGCACGATGGGCATCTTGGTGATGGAGCGGAACCAGGGGATATCCTCCCAGGACAGCGACGGGTCGATGAAGCTGCTGATGGCCCGCGCGGCGCCCTGCGAGTTGTCCGTGGCTTGGCCGTTCTGTACGTTGCTGCCCTGGTCGGTGAACTTCATGCGCATGTCCTTTTCGCGGCGGCCCAGCTGCGGCGCGTCGACGGTGATGAAGAGGCCCTTACATCCGCGCTTCTCGGCGTGCTCCACGATCCGTTTGGTGATGGCCCGGTCCATGTTGACGTAGAGTTGCAGCCATTGGGTTTGGTCTGGCTGGGCGGCGTCCACGATCTCGTCGAAGGCGCACGAGGCAAGGGTCGGGATCATCTGGATGACTTTGTGTTTGCGTGCTGAGCGGGTGAGGACGACCTCGCCTTCGGCGTGGCCGAGTTTGCCTAGGGCTGTGGCGGTCACGTAGAAGGGGATGGAGCAGGGAGTGCCGAGCATGGTGGTGCCGAAGTCGACTTGTTTGACGTCCACCAGGACGCGCGGGCGGAACCAGATCCGATGGAAGGCCGAGTGGTTTTCGCGCATTGTCTGGGGGTGTTAGTCTTTTTAGTATCTTCACCCCCACAGTCTGCCAAGTCTGGTGAGTTGGACTCACGATCTCGTCATCTGCGGCGCTCGAGTAGTATCCCCACGCCGTCTTCTTCATGACCCTCCGCGCCACGGCCTCAAAGTCGAGCAGGTTGAAGCATTGGTCCAGTGAAGGCATCTCCTGGATCCGCTTCAACCGTTCCTTCTCCTCGGGCGACTCCTGCGTCTTCTCCTTGACGACTGTTGACATGTCCACGGGGCCTAGGTGTTTGTCTTTGGCCAGGTACTTTTCTAGGGTGTCTGGTGGGTGGATTGGATCGAACTCTTCCGTCGCATCTTTGCCCTGTTGAATGGTCAGCGAGGCACGTTGTATTTTACCATGCCTTAGTTTGTCGTGGACTCACCGCATATTTGAGAATGATCTTGGTCCCGCCGGGGTGTTCTACACACGATCAGTCCATGAACCTTAAGTGTGAAGTGAAGGGATTACTAAAGGTAACTAGACCCTCATTACGATGACTTACCTGGTAGAAACTCAGTAACATCGTATGCTTTCCCCTATAATATGTCGTTAGCATGGGTCAATCTAAGAGAACTGTTTGGAAAAGGCGAAACATACGTGAACAATAACCCAACAGTCCTTCGCACTATTGTGCTTTGCGACTTCAGCACCCGAGAGAGAAGCCATTTTGACCGGCGATACAGACACTGTTAAATGAGGCGGCTGTTTGATGAGTCCTGCGCTTACACGATTTCGTGAGCGAAGTCGGTGAGTGTTCGGCTCGGGTTTCCGGTCTTGTCAAAACAAAAGCCACCAAATCAATTGCGCTGATACAAATGGTAATAAACAAAAAATAGTAGCATCCAAAAACGAAATTCGATGCCGGGTATGTAAAGGACGACAATACTGAGAGAAATTCGTTGAGTTGTCGAAACAGACAAGATCAAAAGTCCGGAACGTCTCCGGCTTGTCGGTTTTAGGGGCGTACCTTGCTGGCATGAAAGCTTGAAATTGTGGAGTTGTCTGGGGGCGAGCACTGCGGGGGGTGCGGAGCAGATCCGGCGACTTGACTGTTACCGAGGTCATCCGATCGCCCGAAAGAGCTGTTTATTACGGGGATTTCGTGGTTTATTGGGGAAAGTTTCATGGTATTTCGACTTCTAGCCCCTGTTTCCCTGCCTGTTGACTCCAATTCGAGAGCCTGCGTTTCAACCCTGAACTCCATCTCATCTCGGCATCCATTACACCGACACAAGGGCCAATTACGACTCATGGGATTCAAATCATTAAAGAGCATCCAAGCACCGTATAGGTACCTTTCTAGAAATTAAAGTTCAAAGAGCTCAAAAGTTTGTGAGGCAGTATTATTGGAAAACATTGGACCCGGAGGCTAGTTAGGCGATTCATTCCATCTAATATGCCACGTGCATGCTCACACTCTGGAAAAGCAGTTCCCCTGAGACCCATTATCCTAGCCGTTTTCGTTTCCTGGTACATCAAGAGATGGCGGACAACTCCACGTCCATCCAGAGATCCTCTTTTACCCCAAGTTGACCATTATCTTAAACTCTCCCAAGCACGGCACGCAGGTATCTAATTCCAGGATTCTGCCATCGATAGTGCTACGTCTGCGGTATAAATCACACCAACTGCAAAACCAAGGTGATGCAAGTTGAGAAAAAGCTGCGTGAGGTCTCTGGTCTGCACCAAGCACCTTAAATGGATTGGCAGTTAAATGGGCTGTGGTCAGTACACTACGGGACGTTCCTTGTTGAAGTCTTCCCGGAATGCAAGACAAACAGCCCGCCGGCCGTGGAGTCAGGTATTTTGTTTGGAGATTTGAGATGACGGTTCATCAAAAGGCCGCAAACTGCGGACGGCTTTTTTGTAGCGCAGCCCTGCCATTATACGCACGGGCCATCTACCACGCCAGATCCAGCCCGATCTCAAAGGCACCAATCCAACCCTGCAAGGTGACATGGCTCGATTGATTGTGACGTCGTTTCAGCTGCAAGCTCCCTCTGTTCCTCTTCGCCCAAAACCTCAACCTCAAGATTCCCTTAAGGGTTTTTGATCACACCACCACCTCTTTTTCGCGGCCCATCTTGCGCTCCAGGGCTTCTCGGGGCTGGAGGAGACGCTTCGCGCCGGAAATTCTTTGGTTTATTCAGATTTACCACACAATTTCCGTCTATCTTGGCCAATTACCCCCCTTTGCAGTTATGTCCGTCTCCAAAAGCCCGGGGTGCGGTGGGCGCCAGTCCAACTTTGAGTTCGTGATCCTATTACACCGAAATCTTTTAGTATATTTGCCCGAATTGGCTTACTAAAATGCTCCCTTTCAGCGTGGACTATGTCGTCGCCTACAAGATCCCGTCAAGTGGTTCGAGCCCCTTACCCCTCCCTAGGTACCCTTTCCACCACTGCATGACTCCCAGCTAATTGTCCCCCCCTTCTAGACTCCGCCGAAGCCGAAGCCGCCTTCAGCCAACTAATCACCGCCCTCTCGGCCGTCGGTTTCGCCACCGAGGTCCGCCCCGGCCGTACCCCGGCCTCCCTGCTCGTCTTCGTCAAACTTGCCTCCCCCGCCCTGCTGCAATCCCAAATCTACCGCGCCCGTGTACAGGACTGGCTCTTTGGCGTGCGGCCCTCCGCCCCGGCCCCGTCTAGCAACGGGAACGCCGGCGCCAGCCACACGCAGGCCGACATGGACCGATATTTTGCCGAGGAAGAGCCCGTGACGGAGGCCGAGCGACTGCGGCTGGCGTACGAGTTGATCACACGGCCTAAGAATGAGGGCGGCGCGGGTGTCACGCCGCGTCGGGGCACGTGGAAGTTTGTGGAGAGCGTGTTCCCGCTACATGATCGTGCCTTTAATAGGGACTGGATCAGTGAATGGAGCCGGAAGTACTACTTGGACGAAGGGGATATTAACTTGATCCGTGACCGGTTCGGCGAGCGGGTAGCGTTTTACTTTGCGTTTTTGCAGTCGTATTTCTTGTTTCTTGTCTTTCCGGCCGCGTTTGGGTTTGCCGCGTGGTTGGTGCTGGGCCCATTCTCGTGGGTGTATGCGGTTGTGATCGCGTTGTGGTCGGTGGTGTTTTTTGAGCACTGGAAGATGAAGGAGGTCGATTTGGCGGTGCAGTGGGGGGTGCGTGGCGTTGGGCGGATCCAGCTGCCGCGATCGCAGTTCAAGTTTGAGAGGGAGGGAATTGATCCCGTCACGGGCGAGGTGATCAAGGTGTACTCGCCGTACAAGCGGCTGGCGAGGCAGCTGTTGCAGATCCCGTTTGCCGCGGCGTGTGTGGTGATTCTGGGCAGCTTGATTGGCGGCTGTTTTGCCGTGGAGATCTTCATCAATGAGGTCTACAATGGGCCGTTCAAGCAGTACCTGGTGGGTGCAGATTACACCGCTGGAACGAGAAGGATGTTACTGACTCGGGCTAGGCCTTCCTGCCGACCATTCTGCTCACCATCCTCAACCCCACGCTGACGACCCTTCTCACGAACCTGGCCCAAAAGCTGACTGATATCGAAAACTACCGGACTCATGATTGTAGGTTGCTTTACTCCCACAACCAATTTCTCTCATATTTGACTAACCCCTCGCAGCCCATCAAGCGTCGTTCGTCCAAAAGATCTTCGTCATCAACTTCATCACCTCTTACTTAGGCGTCTTCCTAACAGCTTTCGTCTACGTACCCTTTGGCAAGATCCTGGTGCCGTATCTCGATGTCTTCAAGCTCACCGCGCAGCGCTTCACAGCGGAGGGTCAACCTCTCCCCACTAAGAACTGGCAAATCAACCCCGACCGCCTCACCTCCCAGGTCTTCTACCTCACAGTGACCGCCCAGGTTGTCAATCTCTTGACCGAATTCATCGTACCATACGTCAAGCGCAAGGTCTTCCGCACCGTCGAACGCGTACAGACTGAAATGGCCGAGAAGAACAACGGCGGCTCGGATTCCTCCTCTCCCTCCCGGCTTAAGGACCAACCCGAAGAAGCGGAGTTCCTCGAGCGCGCCCGCGAAGAGGCCGAGCTAGACGAGTACGACGTTACGATCGACTACCGCGAGATGGTCATGCAATTCGGCTACCTCTCCCTCTTCTCCGTCATCTGGCCCCTCACCGCCTGTTCTTTCCTCGTTAACAACTGGGTCGAGGCCCGCTCCGACGCCATGAAGATCGCGACCAACTGCCAGCGGCCCATCCCCTGGCGCGCTGACTCCATCGGGCCCTGGCTCGACTCCCTCGGCTTCCTGGCCTGGATGGGCAGCTTGACCAGCGCCGCGTTGGTGTTCTTGTTTCGGGACGGTCCCACGGCTGCGTTCACCCGCTCGCCGTGGGATATCTCGGGTTGGGCGCTGCTGCTGGCTGTGTTGCTGGCGGAGCATGCGTATTTGCTGGTACAGCTTGTCGTGCGCGGACTGGTCAAGAAGTTGGATAGCCCTGGGTTGCAGAAGGAACGGTCGGAGCGGTATGCCATTCGGAAGAGGCTGCTGGAGAGGATGTTTGAGTGGGAGGGGACTAGCGCGGGGTTGGGTGTTGATGCCGGCGCTAATGTCACTGGGGCTAAGATTGAGAGTAGTGCCGGGGAGAAGATCACGAGGGAAGTTCTTGAAGAGGAAGCTAGGAAGTTGTCGACCGTCGGTGGCGGGGCGCCGGAGCAGCTGTGAGTTTCGAGCCTTTATCCCTTTCTCAGGACGCGCAACGTTGTTAGATCCCTGAGATCCCTGTCTTTGGACACCGTACTGACATGGCTGGTGGTGTGTAGGTTCTGGCAGCGCCAGCGGGGTGCGAGTGACACGATCCAGGTGGGGAGGGCGCTGATTGCTGAGGTGAGTACTCTGAGATAGGCAAGTGAGAGATTCGTCGGGGGACGAATTGCTAACCGGGATGTAGACCGCTGCGAACAAGAAGAGCAAATAAATCAGTTGAGCAAGCCATCCTCTGGGAGCTTTGGACAACGGGAAGATTGAATTGAAGCGGTGACAAGAGAAAGGTAGCGCGGCATGCTAGTCGGCATCTAGGCGTGGGATATGGAATATGGCTGGGGGTCAGAGGGGTGCATCGAGGGTGAGAATGTTTGATGGTAGAAAGCGTGCGTTGGTATGCCTTGGATTCTATACCATGGCACGAGCAAGCGCGTAAAATTCACGCATCTTCAAGAATACTAAAGGAGCAATGCTTATTCAACGGAGGTAGCTCGCTTCAGGAGAATCTTCCCCTCTGCGCGTGGAACATACAAGATAGCGGTCCAAAGGTCCACGTCAAACCACGGTCCGGTATACTTTCTCGCAAGGCTAACACAGCAATCTCGGAGATTCGGCAAACCTGCTGCCGAAGTCATGCCCTTTTATCCCAACTCGAGAAATATTTTAGGTAACTTTCCTCGATTCAGACGAACCAAATACATTCAGGGTTAGGGTTTGAAAGAGCGGTTCGAGCCCCTTAGTCAGCCCCACAACCACCGGCCCGATGGCACCCCCTTTTTGAGAACCCACAACGCAGTTTCAAGAACCAGCCGGAGTTTTTCCTGTGTCTAGTTGTCTGCAACAGGGCGTGGGTTCGGCTAGCTCGGCTTCTGCGGGTGAATTTATACCTACATAGTAGATCCCACCCCGCATTCTCTGAGAGAAGGACTTTCTGTTGCTGGGCATTGTTTGACTCGCATTGTTTACTGTTACCGAAACGGACATCGACGTAGCAACCAAAGATGGACTCGAAAGAATTCCGGGAGGCGGCCAACGCCACGATTGATGATAGTGAGTACAGAAAATATATAAAAATAAATATTCACCCGGGAAACAGGCACAATTTATCGCTTATTTTTTGTCCACTCACTAACAATGCTTTCAGTCATCACCTACTTCGAAAACCTCGGCGACCGCAATGTGGTCTCAACAGTCGAGCCCGGCTACCTGCGCAAGCTACTGCCCAGCGAGGCGCCGCAAACGGGCGAGACATGGGCCACTATTCACCGGGATATGGAAGGCCAGATCATGCCGGGTATCACCCACTGGTAATTTTCCCCCTCGGTACCCCCATCCCACCCACAACATCATCTAACATACCCCTCCAGGAACCACCCCGGCTTCCACGCCTTCTTCCCCTGCGCCACCTCCTACCCCTCCCTCCTGGGCGAACTCTACTCCGCGGCACTCTCCGGCGCCTACTTCAACTGGATCTGTTCCCCCGCCGTAACCGAGCTGGAAACTATCGTCCTTGACTGGCTCGCCCGCGCCCTCGGTCTCCCCCAATGCTTCCTCGCCACCGGCCCGACCCGCGGCGGCGGCGTCATCCAGGGGTCTGCGAGCGAAGCTATTTTGACGGCTATGGTCGCGGCGCGGGATAAGTACCTCCGGGAAACGCTTGCGGTGGAAGCAGTGGCAGGGGAAGCGGAGGAGGTGAAAGAGGAGAGGGAGATGAGGAAGAGGTCGAAGATGGTGGCGTTGGCGACGACGTTGACGCATTCGAGCGCGAAGAAGGCGGCGTTGATTTTGGGATGTCGGTTTCGGGCGATTCCGGTACGCGCGGAGGATGGGTATGCGTTGACAAGGGAGGGGTTGGTGGACGCGTTGGCGAAGTGTAAGGCGGATGGGCTGGAACCGTTCTTTTTGGCTGCTACGTTGGGGACGACGGATGTTTGCTCGGTGGATGACTTTGCGGGGATTAGTGCTGCGTTGGAGGAGGATGGGGATAAGAATGGTGGGATCCCGCGGCCGGGAGAGCCGGGGGAGGTGTGGGTGCATGTGGACGCGGCGTATGCGGGAGCGGCGTTGGTGTGTGAGGAGGTGCAGCGGGCGACGAGGATTGAGCTGGTGGAGCGGTTTCACAGTTTTGATATGAACATGCACAAGTGGCTGCTGGTTAATTTCGATGCCAGCTGCTTCTTTGTGCGGGACCGGAGTTGGTTGGTGCAGGCGCTGAGCGTTAACCAGGCGGTGTATGGCAACACGGCGTCAGATGGCGGGTTGGTGACGGATTACCGCGAGTGGCAGATCCCGCTGGGCCGGCGGTTCAGGAGTCTCAAGATCTGGTTTGTGATGCGGTCGTACGGGATTCAGGGGCTGCAGGCGTACATCCGGCGGACGATCGCGCTGGGCGAGGACTTTGCTACGGCGCTAGCGAAACGGTCGGATCTGTTTGAGATTGTGGCAGGGCCGAAGTTTGCGCTGACCGTTTTCCGCTTGGCGGACCCGAAGGGAGAGACGTCGCTGGAGGAGAGGAATGCTCTGACGCGGGCGCTGTACGACCGGGCCAACGCGACGGGCAAGATCTGGCTGACCAGCACGCAGTTGGACGGGCGGTTTGCCATCCGGCTGATGACGGCGGTGCGGACGACCGAGAAGGAGCACATTGAAGCGGCTGTCCAGACCTTGACCGAGGTGGCTGAGGGGGTGCTCAAGGAAGCTCGGAACTGATAATTACCGGTATGTATTCCATAACGTCGGTATTGTATGTTTCCCACCTTATATAGACGTTGTTGGTAAGAATTGCGTGTACTATACCATGGTAATTACAGCAGTTCATAGACCTCTACAAACAACTCAACTCCCAACACCACAAATGCTATGCTCCCCTAACTCCAATGCTAACTCTGTACCTAAATACTCGCCCTTCTGGGCGCCATCGTCCTCCTCAGCGCCTTCTTCCCCGCCATCTCCTCCCCCACAGGCAACACCCCCCTCTCCCTCAACTGCGCCAAAAACTCCTGCCCATACTTATACCCCACCCCGTAAATCTCCATAAACTTCCCAAAGTCCAACGTCCCATACTCATCAATCGGCGGACGCATATACACACACCCCGGCATACTCTTGGCGCGTTCCAGCGCATCCACGCTGCTGACATACGCCAACCTGGCTTGGATCTCCGCCAGCGTGGGCGGGTTGGGGACCGAGGAGAAAGGGTTCCACCGGTTGAAAAAAGCCCACATGCCGGAGAGGGAATCGCCAAAAGATTGCGGGGTGTTGTCGTCGAGCGCGCCGACGTCGATGGCGAAGATGAGGTCGGAGCCGAGGGATTTCATGTGGGAGACTGTGAGGTTGTCGACGTAGCCGCCGTCAAGGAGCATGCTGCCTTCGTCGCAGAGTGGGGGGAGTAAGCCGGCCAGGGACATGGAGGCGCGTACGTATCGCCAGGCGTAGCCGCTGGTGTGGAACTCGGCCCGGGATTGTGAGATGTTGGTCGTGTTGCAGTAGTATTCGAGCCAGAAGTCTTCGATTTGGGTGTTGCCGAAGGCTTTGAAGATGCCGCGGTTGAATTCGTGGCCTGTTGTGTAGGAGGCCGAGGGGTAGGTTAGGTCGAGGGCGAAGCGCCACATGCTAGCCATGCGGCCGGAGAATTTCTTGGCGGAGTTGACGATGGGGACAAAGTCGGCGTGGCGGGCGTAGAGCGCGCCGACGAAGGCACCGATAGAGGTGCCGCCGACGATGTCGATCGGGATCCCGGCCTCCTGCATTGCTCTAATAATACCAATCTGCGCAAGACCCCGCGCGCCGCCACCACCAAGCACCAACCCGACAGACTTGCCGCAGAGACGCCGAGCTAGGCGGTGGAAGTCGCCCTTGAAAGGTGCGTCGGGGGAGTAGAACGGGCTGTTGTGGCGGACTTTTCGGGAAGTGTACTTTTGGATCTCGGCCTGCAGGATCTGCACACGCTCGCGTAGCGTTGGTCCGCCTGGTTTGGCTGGGCGGTGGATGGGCACGGCGTTGGGGCTGTAAGTCATCTGCACGTGGAAGTGTCCGCCGTTGATCCAAACGCGGTTCTTGAGCCACTTGCGCGTGAGGCCGGGAGCCGAGTATCGCTCTTGATGCACCATGACGAGGATCTTGCGCGCCGTCGACTTGGTGCCCAGCATGAAGCGCTCGTACTCGCCCATCTCAGGGGATCCGTCTGCTAGACCGACTAGTAGCACGCAGTCCGCCTGCGCGATGCAGGTCTGCGTCCACGGTGCGTTGACGTTGGTGTCTGTAACTCAATGTTAGTCTGGGCTGCTCGGTATCTCGGTATCCCAGCTCCGTTGAGCAAGTAGGGACACATCACTGAGTAAACAAACAAGAGAGTAAAAGAAACTCACCCGCAACGTAAATCACCAACCCATACTTCTCCTCCAGATCCGCCAAATACTGCGACAGCTTAAGCTTGCCCATGCGGCTGAACGCGTGCCGGCCGAGGTGATTCAACACAGCCGAGCTATTAAGCGACGTCGCCCCGTTGGGCGCACCCACTTCCGTCAACGCGTTCAGCAACCGATTCCCAAACTCAACCACCGGCACGCCCGCCGACACAGGCAACACCGCTACCGTGCGCAGGTTGAGTGTGGTTGCGCTCTTGTTGATCGAGCTCCGCCCCGTGCCCGAGGTTGCGCTTAAGCTGGAGCCCGAGCCTAGGTTTGAACCCAAGTTGGAGAATGAACTTGTACCCCCGTCCTTGCTCAAACCGCCGAGCACCGCCGACGGGTCATCGATTAGCGCCCGCATGCGCGACGCAATGATCTTGGAGATCTTGATTGTGATATTCGGGTGCTCTTGGGCCAGGCTGTTGAACAGCGTGCGTGGAAACTTGACGAGTTCCGTCTCGCGAATCGCGTGCAACGTGCCCGACCGCGATGTCTCCGTGAGCACTTCTAACTCGCCAATGCTCTCGCCCTGGCCAAACTCAGCCTTCACGTTCATCCCCCCGCCGTCCTTACGGTCTTCTACCAGCCGCAGTCGGCCGTTGAGAACGATGTAGATGGCTTCGCTTTCGTCCCCTTCGTGGAAGATCACTTGGCCTGCGTTGACCTGCAGCCACTCGAGCGCGAAGTCGATGTGTAAGATCAGCCTCGGGAGCAGGTTGGTCAGTCGCTTGGCCATGGTTAGGAGTACAATCGGGTACCGGTCCACGATGCGTTCGATCGACGACAGTGGCAGAAACCCAACGTACACATCCGTCTTGGCCACGACCTCGATGAATGAGCGATACGACGAGATAGTCCCGACATAACCAGCCAACCCGCCCGGTTTGATGAGCGCCACGCTCCGCCGTCGATTCGCCTTGGATGTCTTGTCGTCTTTAGAAGTAGCAGCAGGGCCGTCGTTACTCCCCTTGGCTGACCGAAACGGCGAACACAGCGACTCCGCATTGTCCATAGCATGCAACGACGTCCTCCCGCTGCCCGTGGCCCGCACCATGTTATCCGACGATGCCTCTTCTTGCGTGCAAATGTCCAAGAACCCATCAATGACATAATACAGCCCTGGGTTCCGCTCGCCTTGCTCAACCAGGACAGATCCCTTGGGGAAAAACACTATTTCCATGTCGTCCCGCATGTCCTGCGCCAGCAGATGCGGGTTCGGCGACGGCGGTACCGATAACCCCGCAGACGTGAGCGACTCGGTGTCGCCATCTGCCGATCCGTCCAGCGCATCCATGAATCCAAAGGCGTGGGTGGGGATATTGTGGCCGGTGGTATACAGCGCTTTCTGCCGTCGCTGTTCGAGCGAGATAAGCCGCGGCGACGCCTGGTTGGAGTCGGAATCCCGATTCGAGCCGCCAATTCCGTTACTCGTCAGTCCCACGGCCCGGAACATGCACGCCAATATCGACTCCCGGAACAGGTTGTCCTCGTCCAGCGTGTCCCGCTTGTCCAGAGCGATATGCGCGTTCATCGGCGTCGCGAAGGGGTTGAACGAGCGCTGCGCTAGCGGGGAGCTGGCATCCTGCTGCACGTCAAGGTGGGGCGACGGCCCGTCTGTGAATGCTACCGTCTGCGCCCGGTTGTTGCTGGGGATGCTGCTACCCCCGTTGCCGGTGCCACCGGGCCCTCTGGATTGTTGTAGATGTGTTACTAGGTCCCCAGCGCTAGGGACGCCTAGGGATGGGCTGGTCATGGACAGATGGCGCTGCTTGGAAATGGACTGCAGTGCAGCCTCCTTCCGGAGCGTCGCGGTAGACCGTCGTCGTCGTCCGGCGTGCGCATTGTGCAACGCGATCCCCTTGCTGACGTCCTCCTCCCCGATCCTCTCCCTCTCCCGCTTAAACTTCTCCTTGAGTCTGTCGAGCGCGTCTCCCCGGAGGTGGTTGGGGAGCTGTTGCGTCGTGTACTTGAGCATCTGTCGTTCGATGTGCAGTACTTCGCCCGTGAGGCCGAGGTAGCTGTATGCTGTGGCGAGCGTGACCCGCTGGAATCGGGACAGAATAACGTGAACAATATGTGCCGTGGCCTTGGGGTAGACCTTGATCAGCCGTCGGAATGCACTAGCCGGGATGATGGCGATCGTCGTGTCCACCGTGGCTCTGGCGATGATATCTGGATGGGCGGACGTCGTGCTGCTTCGTTTGGGTGCAGGCCGTTGAGGCTTCGAATAATCGTGCCCATCAAGAGAAATAGGAGGAACACGGGGCAGATCCCGGCCAAGCTGGTCCGACAGGTTCTCCGCAGACGTTCTGGCTGACCCGCCCGGCTGGGGTGTGTTTGGGGTCGAGTTCAGCCGGACGTGGGACTTGCGAAAGTCGGCACTCGCCGGATAATGGGGGAACATGCCCGGATCAACAACCGTGCCCGGCTCGGAGCTGTCTTCCTCTGCATGGCGCAGCGGAACGTCTTCCGTGAAGAGCGACATGATGGAAAACAACGACGACATGGGCGCGCCGTTCCGGACTTCGGTTAACAGCTGGTACCGTTGCTGGCCAGGGGTGGGGTGTTCATCATCGCTCGACAGGGTTTCACTGGTCGGGTCGGCATAAGGGCTGTGCGTGTGAGCGTAGCGGCGGTTGTAGTTGGACGATTTGACAAAGATCTCCACTAGCCCATCAACAACAAGACAGAACCCCTTCTCCTCCTCCAGGTTGAACGTCTCGCCGGCGATCAGCTTCCTTGTCTGCATGCTGCGGGTCAGTTCGTGGAAGACTGGCCGTTCCAGATAACCAAAAATCTTGATGGCGCTGAGAAACTCGTCAAAGTAGTTGGACAACCCGGACTTGATGCCTTCATCGTGCGTATCCGGGAAGAGATCGACGTCCGGCTCCTTGCGTTGAGGCTCAGGCGGCAGCCGCGAGTACATGTTGAGATAGCGGTATCTCACCACCCAACTGATCACCCCAATCATGGCGGCCACAATGAGCATCCTAGTGTGGTGTTAGTCTCGTAACTTAATCCAACACATAGGCGCTGGTATTCTAGTGCCAGGGCCAACCTACAAAGTAGTAGCATTCATCGTCACCGTCAAGCTGGTCGAGAAAAGCGTGTACAACAAGGTCGGCACCGAGATGGTGGCCAGCTTGATAGAATAGTACAGAACCATCGAGACGAACTGCAGAATCCACAGCACCAGCCTGGCAAACATCCCGAGCCACGACGACGAGCTATGGGCATTAGCAACATCGCTCGCTACTGCAACGGCTGATGAGAGCGGGTTGGGATGTCTATCGCCGGCCCCAACGGCCGTTGTCACCGCCGTCGCAGCCGCGGACGCGGCCGCAAGGGCGGTGGAGTTTACCACATCCATCACCACGGAGTCTCTGTTTCGGCGGCCTTGATCAATCCCATCGAACTTATGTCGATCTGTGAAGTTTTGATCTTTTTCTTTTTGCCGGATGGAATTTAGGGTATGGGACAGCACCGCAAGATAAAGAAACGGGAGGCTGTCTGGAAGTGGACAGTCTGATGTTGGCCTGTCGGTTCCTGGATGTCCCGAGGCTGTTTCATGAATCGAGATTTTAGTTGCAGTGCGTGAGGGTCTGAGCAAAGAGCTTCGAGCCGACAAGAATCCGTGAAAAGGCCGTGTGGTGATGAATTTAGGTTCCCAGCCTCAAATGCGCGCCTGACCACCTTCGCTCTTGTCTTAAAGACCAATCTTTAGGTGAGATGGGGCCGAGAATTGGCCTAGAATGCCGAGCGCATCCGTGAAAAGAAGAACCGAACGCGAAAGCCGGGGCCTGCTGCAGCGCGCCTGCTGACGTCGGTGAACGTTGGATTCTGGCATGTGGTGGGGCATCCTAGTCACATTGGCTTTCGGCCACTCGAGGCCTGACAGGGGTGCCACACCTGAGTGCCCCCACACTCGAACCTCGCTCCTGCACCCCGCCAAAAACTGCAAGCACCAGCCACATCCCACTTTCATTTTGCCCGCGCACGCCACAAGGAATTTCGGCGGCCTTCTGAAAATACTGCGGGCCCGATGACTGTTCTTTGAGCTCAACCTCGACCTGTTTCCCGCATTCGAAACAAAATTACACGCCATTTTCCGATCCCACCGAGCGAGCTCGACCCGCCGTACCTTTTTCCTCCCGGCCGCCGAGACAAACCTAGTCCTATTCCATCCTTGTCTCGTTTTGATACAAGTCTTAACGACCCCGCGCAGCGCATCTGCCCGATCTCAAAATCACGAAACTACACACCCTCACTTCCCACGTTGCCCCGCCTGGGAACGGCACCCATTCGTTAAGATGTCGCTCTCCAACTGCCGATTTTACGAGGAGAAATATCCCGAGATTGACTCCTTCGTGATGGTCAACGTAAAACAGGTCAGGAACCTAATTCAACCACCCCGCCCCCGCGTCTCGTGCCCCGCGTGCGCTAACCCTTCAATGCTCGATAGATCGCCGATATGGGTGCTTATGTGAAGCTCCTCGAGTACGATAACATCGATGGCATGATTCTGCTTTCCGAACTTTCGAGACGTCGTATTAGAAGTATTCAGAAACTTATCCGTGTTGGGCGCAACGAGGTTGTCGTTGTCTTGCGTGTCGACAAGGAGAAAGGTGGGACCTGCCGATCCAACCCTCCTTCACCCCTTCGTGGTGCGCGTGCCGCTGGTACTCGGATGCTAAATATGGGAACCAACAGGTTACATTGATCTTTCCAAGCGCCGTGTGTCCCCCGAAGACATTATCCGCTGCGAGGAACGCTACAACAAGAGCAAAATTGTCCACTCCATCATGAGGCACGTGGCCGAGAAGACCCAGACCCCAATCGAGAAGCTTTACGAGACAATAGGGTGGCCGCTCAACAAGAAGTATGGCCACTCGCTTGATGCCTTCAAGCTCTCAATAACGTACGTCCTCCCTGTAATGACACTGCTGTCATTCTTGCTCGCGCTGGTTCCACTTTGCTGAATCTCATACTTTCCAGCAACCCCGACGTTTGGGCCGATGTCCAGTTCCCTACCGATGCCGATGCCGACGAGCTCAAGTCCTACATCGGCAAGAAGCTCACTCCCCAGCCCACAAAGGTCCGTGCCGACATCGAGGTCACCTGCTTCAGCTACGAGGGCATCGACGCCATCAAGACTGCTCTGCGCACCGCCGAGGCCCGTAACACCGCCGAGACCCAAGTCAAGTGCCGCTTGGTTTCCCCCCCTCTCTATGTGTAAGGCCCTCATCTATTTCCCCTCTCATTCTTCCATTTCAAAATGTGGTTTTGGTCTCAAAATGCTAACTCAACGGCCCCCTCACACAGCCTGACCAACACCTGTCTCGACAAGAACGCCGGTATCGCGCGGCTTGAGGAGGCGATTGTTGACGTGAAAACAAGCATCGAGGCGGCTGGCGGTAACCTCGTCGTCAAGATGGCGCCCAAGGCGGTCACCGAGTCGGACGACGCCGAGCTCCAGGCGCTTATGGAGAAGCGCGAGCGCGAGAACGCCGAAGTCAGCGGCGACGAGAGTGTCAGCGAGAGCGACGATAACATCCCGGAGACGGTCTAGAAGACGAGGTCGACTAGGGATAGGGGTGGAGAGACGGCAGTCATTGGAGACTTGCGTCTGACAGAACGCCTCACGAGGTTGACTGGTAGTTGAGCTTTTTTTCTTTCGCCTCGCTCGGTTCAGGTATACCCCCGCGAGGAGTAGAGGAGGAAAGGACTCCGTGTGTGTCGGTTCGGTTAGTTTAGTTACACTGGGACGGCAAAGGGAGAAGGGTAGGAAAGCGGGGTGGGTGCTTCTTCATGACCATTGGTACGACTGGCGTCTTCGGGATCAAAAGTCAGGTCAGACACGGTAGAACAAGGTATCTATCTATCATAGGGCCGCAACGGTAAAGAAAAGCGAATGCCAAGGAAACAATGCCCGACGAAGACGTGCTCTGAGATCTCATCTTCGCGGTACAGATCTTTCGTTTTGTAGTGCCGCTCAGTATCCCGTATGGTATCCCTTTTATCTTATTTTTAGATCCATACATTCTCATAAATGTCTTTCTCGAAAGTACTTCCCCGTAAAAATTATTGAAACGGTACTTGCGGCTGTTGTAGCTTTTCCATCTTACAACACGTTGCCGGGTATATGCATCAATCGGTGCGGATCATCCCTCCATTACCCACTTTCGTCCCACCACTTGCAATAAACCGTCTCACCATCCACAACCTCACGCAACTTCACAACCCCCCGGAAACTCCCCCCAAAAACAACAAGGGGAAAAAATGGCGGCCCGCTGGGCCTCATGGGGATCTACCGCCAGCAAAGGAAACAAGCCATTCCCATTCCTTCGCCAAGTCACCCACTACCTAATCCGCTACGCGACCTGGATCCCGCCACTCATCTGGCTCAACGCCTACGTCGCCGAACTCACCTTCATCCGTGGACCGTCCATGTACCCTTTCCTAAACCCACATTACAACGAATCACTCAAGCGGGATCTGTGTCTGGTGTGGAAGCTGTACGCGCAGGAGGACCTGCAGAGGGGCATGGTCGTTACGTTCCGGTAATTAACACCCTCACTCACTTCCCATCAGCGTAACATCAAACATTCACTAACATCCCACCGCAGAAACCCCTACACCCCCACCACCACAACAGTCAAACGCATCGTCGGGCTACCGGGCGACATAGTCCGCACCAAACCACCCTATCCGTACGAGCACGCCGTCGTGCCGGAGGGGCATCTGTGGGTGGAAGGGGACGGTGAGCGCAGCCAGGATAGTAACTATTACGGTCCTGTGTCGGCAAGGCTGGTCACGGGGAAGGTGGCGTATATTTTGTCGCCGTGGGAGAGGGCGGGGCGGGTGAAGTGGTGGGAACATCCTTTGCGTGGGGGGGTAAATCGGGCGGCGTAGGTTGTGGGGGTGCTGGGTGTTCTCATGTTTGCTTGTATTTTGGGAGGGGAAAGGAGATGTTGCTAGCTGGGGCGACTGGTCGGGGAATTAATTACGGCCTGGGTGGAAATACTTGGTATCAATTTGTAGATGATGTCGAGTGCCACATATGGGTAAAGATAGGGTTCGGCGTGGGAGTGAATAAAAGAAGAATCCTGAGCCTCGTTGGATTGCAGTCGGGTAAGTAGGCGTAGAAATTTAGGATTGAAGAACCCTGCCTGTTATGTGATGTGGTCAGAATCTCCGGCCGCGGAGGCTGGAGGGCAGGAGTAGTATTTAAGCTCGCTGCGCGGTCAAGCTGGCAACAACCACTACACTGCGTCGTGGTGTAGTGGTTGAGCTGTGTACCTAGTTGGATACTGCCCCGGGCCGAATGACTGAGCCTGTGATTCCAGCTTCTTGCGTGGATTGGCGTCCCTGAACGCAGCTAACAGTTTTTCCTTGCTAGCTGTTGGAGTGATAGGCATCATTGTTATGATTATCTATTTTGTCTGGTTCGTTCCCGGCCCACTAGACTGGATCAAGAAGTGGTTGGAGGAGGAGGGGGTCTTGGGCGGCTCCTACAACGAGTCCAGGACCAACCAAGAGACTGAGGAACCTGGGATCAAAATGCCGAGCGGAGAGTAAGTGTGATGGTTTGGAGACACCGCGAAGTCTACCTACCACGGAGGAACCTCACCTACCTAGATAGACCAGCAGAGCAGGTACAAGTGACAGGTCGGGAATTGTGGAAGGAGCGGTAGGGGCCAATGATTTATTTATGTTCATAGTGCTGGCCCAGACCCGACTTGAAGGCAAAAAGATGTAGAGCCATTGATGCAGAATTGAGCGGAATTTCAACTGAGAAAGTGAAATACTCATCAGTATAACGTACTTTCGGAAGGGCCTGTCGATAGCTTACGGTAAGCTACCTATCTATAAAACTCCTCTCTTATTGCTTCCTGGATACGTGGGATGAACAAGTTCTTGTCAGGGTTAGATGGGGGGTCCAGGGTTATTGCTGGCAGGCGCAAAACCGCGCACGGACCCACCGCTGCGAAAAACACATCGGACCGGAAAACGCCGCCCAGAGATTTGAACTTTGGAATTTATTTGCATTTGCGGGATGCCGGGCCAACTTTCGTAGTCCGTGACACCCAAAATTCGAAGAACGGCAGGAGACGCATTCTCCGCCCCAGCCAACCCGGCGCATATCCTTTTCTCCCCTTTCCCGCCTGGGGCGATGGTGCTTGGCTTCCAGACGGCCCAAGATTCCCCGTCGACCGGCTCGCCCTCGCCCTCCGCGCCCGAATCCTCCCCGCTGTCCTCGTCATCCCCGAACCGTCTCAGCGCCAGAACCGGCACTAGTACCGGCACTGACGCTCGTACCGGCGCCCCAGTCGCTGCTGTCCCCGTTCCGGATCTCGCCGGCCGACATGTGGATTTTGCGTACACCCTATCGCATGCCCCCCTCGTCGAAACCGAACAGCCCCGCGCTCAGCAGCATACTATGAAACCACAAGATGGAGAAGCCGAGGATACGCGCCCGCCCTACCTGCACGTATGTCTACCCGGAATATTCAAACCCTTCATTTCTGTTACAACCGCAACAATGCTAAAATCGTTCTTGTTCCTATAGTGCACCCTTGCCGGCGGATTGGGCGGGTCCACCGGCGACATGCTGATGCACTCCCTCGACACAGTCAAGACCCGGCAGCAGGGGGATCCACACATACCGCCGAAATACACATCTCTCGGGTCGTCGTACGTCAAGATCTTTCGGCAGGAAGGGTTGCGTCGGGGGTTGTACGGCGGCTGGGCCCCTGCGCTGGCCGGCTCGTTCCCGGCCACGTGCTTCTTCTTTGGCAGCTATGAATACAGCAAGCGGCAGATGCTGGATTATGGTGTGCAGCCGCATCTTGCGTACTTGCTCGCTGGTGAGTTCGGGTGGCCCTGTACCGGTGGGGTTGAAAGGATTGGGGGTTGCGTTTGCTCTAACGGGTAGTGGGTTAGGCTTTGTCGGCGACTTCGCAGCTTCTACCGTTTACGTCCCGTCCGAGGTGGTCAAGACAAGGATGCAACTGCAAGGGCGATACAACAACCCGCACTTCAACTCGGGGTATAACTACCGGGGCATGACCGATGCGGTGAGGACGATTGTGCGGACTGAAGGCATATCCGCGCTTTTCCACGGCTATGGCGCAACACTATGGCGCGACCTGCCGTTTTCAGCGCTCCAGTTTATGTTTTACGAGCAGAACCTCAGCTGGGCGCAACAGTGGGTGGGTGGGCGCGATGTTGGGTGGCAACTGGAACTCCTAACGGGCGCGGCAGCCGGCGGTTTAGCCGGTAGCATGACGTGCCCCCTGGATGTGGTCAAGACAAGACTTCAGACCCAGATTGATCCTCGGACCATCACCACCAACACTAGCTTAGCACCAACACCAACACCAACCGCCACTGAACCACCAAATACCGCAACGACCAAGGACGGACACACCAAATCAACGAGCTCGTCCGAAGCAGCCAAGCTGCAGAAGCGGTTGATATCAACGTCCTCCCCGTCGACGCACACTCCAAAACCTGGCGCCGTTACGCTTCAAACATCATCAATGATCACCGGACTGCGGCTGATTTACAAGAGTGAGGGCATTGGGGGCTGGTTCCGAGGCGTCGGCCCACGAGCAGGGTGGGCGGCCATCCAGAGCGGGTGCATGTTATTCCTGTACCAAGCGATCTTGCGCCGGTTGGACATGTTCATGCCGATGGAGCGGCGAGACCTTGTATAGCGTGAGCCGGCGGATGACTTTCTTGTTATTTTTTCGGAAAAAATGGCGGGGCGGGGTATAATGTATATATAGACAAGCCATGTTGTACGATTTTTGCAGTGTTCTATAGCGGGGTCTGGACGGGCTGGGGAGGCAGGCACATATGGGGAGGCGTTTGGTGCAGGTTGGGATAGAAAATAGGCTAGAGCTAGACGTGTAGATGTACGACACAATCTTCATTCTCCGATCACGTCTCTGTTTCTGTTTGGGGGTGGGATATGTATCTATCCGATTTTGTGATGCATTTCCCGGGGGTTGTCCATGTGCATGTATCAAACCGACGCCACGGGCAGCTTGATGTGGGGTTGCTTTTCCACCTGGAAAATGTATCAGGAAGGGAGAGAGCACTTAACCGAAGCTTCCCCGAACTAAAATCAACAACACACGACCACCTCAATCGCTCGGTAACACCTCAACCACGGCCACAGCCCCGAGACCGAATATTTCCGCACCCCTGAAAGACTCCTCTACACTAACACGACGACACGATCCCCACACATCCCCGGCTACTACCTCGAAATGCGCTAACGAAATGGAAACACCCACCACCACCAACACCCCCCCACGACAACAACGAGCAGCATGCCCCCCTCCTCCCTCCCCGCCCCAACCTCCAAAAAAGTTGCCCTCACCGCACTCCGCGGCCTGGTAGTCGGCACCTCCTGCACGCTTGCCCTCATCGCAGAAGACCGCAGGCGGAGAATCAATAAGGCCGTGCGGGCGATTGAGAATGGGGAGCGCATCAAGAGTGCGAAGGGATACCGCGCTGGAGCCGGGGGTGTAGCTCTGGCCGCGGTGGAGGAGGAGCAGACGTTTTGGGAGGGGAGGGGGAGTTTGGGGCTTGAGGGGGCGAGGTATGGGGGCTGGGGGGATAGGGAGGATGGGGTTGTTAGGTTTGGTGGGGAGGGTAAGGGGGAGAGGGGGTGGTGGTTTGAAGAGGGGGAGGGGGACGGGAAGGTGAGGAGTGTGGGGGGGAAGATGGCTCTTGTTGAGGTGCCTGTTGTGGCTACACAGCTTCATACAGAGGGCAGGACGTTGAATGTTACGGATGCGTCTGAGAACGCGACGGAGATACCACCCACCAACAACAGCCCACCAGAACCGGTACCACCCAGGAAACCGCCAATACCACCACCATCACCATCGAATCACCCACCACCACCGATTCCCCCACCTCAAACGCCCGTACCGAGCTGGGTATTGGCCAACTTGGACGTCATCAAAGCCCACTCGTTCCCCGCCCCCAGCGATATCGTCACGCGGATCCACGACGCCTGCAACTCCCGAGAACCATTACGACTCACCACTGCCAACCGTGTGGTGTTAGAAGCCATAGCGCATGGACTCGCGCCAGGAAACCTAGATGCGCGGTGGATGGAAGCGACCGCGCGGCTGTGCCGGACGTGTCGGGAGGAGGGACGACTGGACGAGGCTGCGGAGCTGCTGTACCGGCTGAGTTGCGGGGGGGCGTTACAGGAGAGTGATTATCTCAACTTTGAGCCGTTTCTGTTGATTGAGACGTTATTGGATAGGAACGCGGTCAACCAGGATCTTCCCGAGTTATGTGCGGCGAATGTGGATCGCGCTGTTAACTTGTTTATTCCCAAGCTCACCACACGGCTGGAAGGGGCGAATGCAGAGGCGTCCCGGGTCGGGCGTCGGCTGCTCGAGGCGTGCTTTGCGTCTGACGAGCTCAAGCGGGTGTTTGCTGTCTACCGGCGGTGTATTCTGGTTGCGGACGGGAACTGGAACGAGTTTGCGTCGTGGTTTCTCACGAATCTCCACAAGAAGGAGCAGTACTCGTTTGTCATCGACCACTTCCTGACAACCTTCATCCAGTCGGGCCCAACCGAAGAGTCTATACACGCCATCGGCGACCTGGTCGTCGACAGTCTCGAGTCCAGCGGCGACCGCAGGATTCCCAAGGTGTTGGAGAAAATCCAAGAGATCTGCGCCGGGCTCGGGACCACCAAGATGAACCCGACGTGGGTGATGAAGCTGCTAGTACTGCGCTGGAGGAAGCACCGCAAGTTTAAAGAAGTCGAGGCCATGTTTGAGAAGCTGCAAATTCCCGGCCTGCAGGACGCTGTGTACCGCTGGGACAATGTGTACCGCGTCATGGTGGAGCTGGCGCTCGAGTCGGGCGACGATGTCAAGGCCGAGGCGTACTTCGACATGGCCGTCGCACAGAACCCGGCGCTTGCCTCTGACGTGCGGCTGCTGGGGGTTATTGCCCGGTTCCACGCTGTCTGTGGCGATTGGGCAGCTGTCCGTGCGGACTTTGAGGCCATGAGCGAGAACGGGAAATCGCGCGAGAAGTGGTACAGCCGGGTGTTTGTGCCGGTGCTCAAGTCCTTCGCTGAGACGCACAGCGTGCGGGAGACGGAGGCCTTTTTGAGGACGTACAAGGAGGAGCTCGGAGTGCCGCTGTGCAGCTACACCGTCACGCTGATGGCTAAGCAGTATGGTGTGATCCATGATCTCGCGTCCCTGATCGAGTGGCTCGACTACTGCAGCCGGTCCGGGTTCCCCGTCGACGCGGCGTTTACGAATGCCATTCTGGTGCGGTGTCGCAGGCAGTGGAAGTTTCCGTTCCGGGACCTGCGCACGCTCTTCCGCAAGCTACGGGCGTTGAATCCTGACTGGGTGGATGGGTATACTAGCCATGTCATGACCGATGCTGCGTTAGCGGACTCAAGATACCGTGGAAGGCCGGCCAGGGGCCGAGTTCTGTCCTTGAGGCTGGATAACGCATCGCCGCAGCGGCGGCTGGCTACGCGGACGTTCTTCGCCCAGAAAGAGGGGGTGGTATCCGCCATGAAGCACGCACTATTAAATCGCTCGCCACGTCGTGCCCTCGCGCTATACGCCCGCGCCGTGCGGAAAAAAGTTCCCTTCTCACCCTACGCCCTGCAGCTAGCCATCCAAGCCCAGCTCCGACTCGCACCTGACGACCTCGAAACCGCCTACGCCTTCATCCAAAAAGCCCAAGCCCATGGCCACGACACAACCTCCGTGATCAACCACCTGATCGCCCAGCAACTCACCAACCTCAAACCACCACCACACCCCGAATACCCACATCACCGCCCCCACGAAACCGACGAAGTCGCCCGCAACACCCTGACCGCCTACCACAACGCCGGCGTACACCTCACCCCAACCTCCCTCCACCGCGCAGCCACAATCTGCCTCCAAGCGCACCACTTCCACGCCGCCATCCTCTACGCCCGCGCCGCTGCCGACGCCCACGGCAGCCCACCTTGCTTCGACCTGCCCAACTTCCGCCTGCTTCTCCTCGCCCACGCTGAACTCGCCGACGTCGACCAACTCCGCGATACCCTCGACCGGGGGCTCGCACCCACCTCCCCCTACCGCGAAGCCCGCGCCACGCGTCGCGCGTTGCGCCTCGCGCGTGCTCGCATTGTGCTATCTGAGGCAAGGTGGTATGCGACCCCCGACGAGCGAGCGCAAGCCCACGCGCTGGTGGAAGAGGGGTTGGAAAGGGTGATCGAGATGCGGAAGACACTAAGGGAGGATGGGAAGAAATTGGAGATGGCTGCGGTCGAGATTATGAGGAGGGCTGCGAGGGAGGCCGGGTTGGAGGAGGTGGATTTCGGTGAGGTGCCTTGGTTGGGTGGAGGAGAGGAAAATAAGGAGAGAAAGAGGGAGAGGGAACGGGAGAGGGAATTGAAGCGGGAGATGATGGAAATGCACAGGCAGCGGGGAAGCGGGATGTATGAGTATGGGTATGACTATGACGTGCAAGACGAAGATAGGGGATGGCAGGATAGGGGATTACTGCATACAGAAGAGGAAGGGAGGAGTAGTGAAAATGGGGAATGGTACGGGGAAACAGATGATGAAGGATGGCGGGATTGTTTAGGGACGGGGGAGGATGATGGATGGAGTGATGTGGATGGGAGTGAGGATAGGTCGCCGGTGGATAGCGGGTATGGGGGGTCAGAGCGGGGGGTCCTGATGGAGGAGCTGGGGAAGAAGGCGGTTGGTGTTGGAGGGTGATGGACTAAGCATGGATGTGTTTAAGGAACTGTACATCAGATCAAAGAGGCGCTGTAAAAGTAATTACGATTTCGCCAAAAAATTGGAAAATTTATTCTCACTTATGGTCTCAGAGCTGGTTGTCCGGGGCTCGAAACGGAATCGATCGTGTCAACAAAGTAGAGAATGGCTGCGATAACCTGACTTGTGGAATGCCTAAAAAATGGCCCGATTATTTGGCGTCTATTGGCAAAAACATACAACACCGGGGATTCCCCAGTCGTCACCGACCTGAGTACTGATCCGGCCGTCGCCAGTTTGACTAGGGGAGAGCGGACGGGATCCCGTATTTTCTAGCGCGTATGGTCGTATGTGAAATGATTGTGCTGCAATAGAGCATTATAAACCACTCAGTGTAGCGTGCTTCGTGGGATCTTGAAGATGGGAGACCGAGGGCATGTCATCCAAGGTCTGATGTATCGCTCTCTGCTCGCCGTCTAGCCCGTTCTTATCGGCCCCACAGAATAGCATATATAAGGTAGGGCTAACAAGACTTCGGATGGGTTAGCGATACTTCAGATGGGAATAGTTGCTTCCATCGCCCGGATCGTTCTAGCCCTCTTGTGCTGGGGGTTGGTGATGGTCCTCTTTCCGATCCATGACGTCCCAACACACTCCCAAGCGGAATTCGACATCGACTATAAGACCTACTCCCCCCTCAACTAGTCACGAAGTATTACAATAATTAAAAATATCAGAGATTTCTAATTTCCTTTCATCACACCTTAGGCCACAAGTAAAGTCATTACTGTCCTTTGAAATGCCCGTGCATTCCGCATTTCTCGTCCTCCTCCTGCTCCAAGCAGCCGTTTCCCTATCTCTCACCTCGCACACAAACCCTCTCCCATTCCAGCATGTGAGAAAGCCCATCTTTGCCCCGCTGTCCATCGACAAACATGCCTCCCTCACCGACCCTCCCTCTCGACCCGCATTCCAACCCGGCAAAGCATACACGTACAACTTGACCCTGAACACTACCTCCGAGCTCTACTCATACAACTACCAGCATGACTCTGAAACAGGCGGTGGGATGGCCGACGCAGATAGCTCCGGGTTCTCAGCTGCCGTCGCGTCGAACCTGACCATCTTGACACAGGCCGATTCACCAGAACCGGGTACCCTGATCTTCCTGGCGTACGTTGCTGTTCCAGATTGTTTGGTCGAGGCTGGTAATCCGATTGGGGAAGGTGGGCTGCGTGTTGTCAGGAATACATTTGGGACCGATCAAAACTGCGTCAAGCAAAGTGAGGGGGTGGATAACCAGACAAGGTATAGCTCACCCTCTCAAAGAATTACTCTTTAGATGATTCAAACCCGTCCGGTGTCTAATGTCGATCAGCGTCTGGGTCACACAGGACCTCACGAGTGGGGAGTTCAAGAACGTATACTACAATGCTTCTGTCACGTACGATCCGGCTTCGCAATGGCAAGATCCGCTGGGCTACCACAAATTGATCGTCAGCTCGCTGCGGACGCTGCAGTCGTATTATAACGGATCAGAGAGCTACGAACATGAGACAACTGACCGATTCGGTAACCCCCTTACGGTGCAGTACCGATATATCGGCAAGGTGGGCAATAATAATTACTTTCACAAGTATTTCTCTCTCGTCACTGACCGGTAGACCCGATTGTGTGTCGTTTAGCTCGCGGACTCGCAATGCTGGCAAGCAGATTCCCAGAGTATCAACGGGGACGAACTTGCCGCCGACACGAAGAACGTGTGTTGGTCGCCTGCGGGAGGTGTCTCCGCCATGACGGGGGGTGACGCTACCGAGCTGGGCACCACTCATGACGCAGCTGAAACCGTGGATAAGGTCGCGGCATCGAGCGGTTTGGTGAGTCCATCCGTTGCTCTGCTCTGATGATCGGGCATGTAGTCCATTATATGTGCATTTAGCTAATCACGCTGTCAGTACGCAACTCTCAGCCAGAACGGCACGCTAGAAGTGGTCCAGGGCGGCATTCCCACTCTAGTCAACTACTCCTCTTGCTCCGGCCCCTTCTCCGACATTCAACAAGGGCAGAGTGCGAATTCGGACACACAACTATTACTCGGCCTAAGCCCCACCGGCCAAGTCTGCCGGTTCACTTGGTCGGCAAGCGGCGGTAGTACACCGCAGATTGAGGTCGACACGTCTCCGCCATTCTCAGGCCTGGCTGGCGGTCCTCCTATGGAGCTGCCAGGCCAGTATCGATCACAGTGGGCGCTGGACACGTTCGGGGCGATCTGGGAGACGCATGATACCTCTCCTGACGCACCGTCTTCAACCCCGATTACATGGATGAATTACACAGATCCTGGGAGTGTGAATGACGGGTTTCGGCCCATTCTAGTGAGGCAACTATATGCCCTGGAATATCTACCGCTCGGGATCAACTGACAGATTAATTACGCAGTTCTGGCCCTTCCATCCCAGCATCCCCGTCCAGTCCACGCTATACGGCTTCTTCCTGTCGGACGAACTAAATCCATACATCCTGTATCTTGCCAACGGCGATACACAACCAAGCGTCAGCCAGTTTCCCAGCTCGGCCAACGTGAATGATATCCTCTCGTTTCTCCATCTCGCCCCTGTTGGTCCGACACAGCCCAACCCTGTCGTGGCTGGAATCCTCGAGGACCAGAACTTCACTTACAGCGTGTGGAACCCACCAGCATATTCTGCCGTGATTAACCCGGCAGAGGGGTTTCTAGACTGGGTGGGTGTGGATCTTGGAGGGCCGGCGCTATCAGTGAGCCCAATCGTCTAATTGCGTCTTGAGAAAAGTGTCGTCATATTGACAGTCCGGTTCTTAGGTAGAGCCATGGCATTTCGACGGTGCTGGTGGAGCAGACGACGGTGTCTTCATCGTCATGCAGAATTCTACTGTCGTGACGATCCAGTTGACTCCATCTGGGGCATCACCCTGGGGAGCCCCGAGTCTGATCCCCTCACCTAACGGCGAAGGACCTTTCATTGGAGCTCTCGATGTAAGTTTTCCATTCCTGAGGCTCATCGAATGAACTAAACGTGGAACAACGAACAGATCAGCTTCGACAAATTCGGGACTCCCAACAGCCCGTACCAAGGTCGAGCTCTCGTCGGCACCTATCCGCTCGTGAATATAACCACATTATCCTACCAAGGCTCTGGAGTATGGGCTGTCGATGGCACAGACTGGGAGCCATTCACCACCGTCAAGAGCCCGCCTGACGAAACTGGGTTTCCTCCCACCACAGGTTTGCTAACTCACCTGCTGCCCCCTTTTTATATTTGTGCCAAACCTTGGCTTACTGTACGTAGCATTATCCCAAGTCACTGCGAACACGACCGCCCCTCCGACCGATTTGACACCGGAACAGAGTGCCCTGTTACTCCGTCTTGGTGGACTCCTGCCGAGTTACACTACGCTGTCATTTGATGATCCCCAGTGGATGCAGAGTTGGCCCCTGAACAATTCCTACGTCGGTAATTACTTACCCAACTACACCTTTTTCTGCCCGTAGAAGCTTTACGTTATTCTGCCGCTGACATTGGATATCCATCATCAAACAGACATCCTGAGCTGGATATCAAGTATCACCGCAAACCCCAGCGACACCAACACCCTAATCGATTTTCGCCGCAACATCTCCCGCGCAGGCGAGGAAGGTAGAAACCTCATATGCGCCGCCATCCAATCCCAAGATGTCGACCTCAACAACGACGGCGGCTTGACCGCCTCCGTGCTGATGGGCACGCTCGCAAGCTTCCCCTTGACCATCCAAGTCCTAGAGACCTTCGAAGACGTGGTTCTCGCCCAGACCTTTTCCACCACGGCCAAGATCGCCGCGATCCAAGAGTCTGTGGCTATGAACTGCGCTGCGCAGGGTTATGTGTACGACTTGGCTAGCATCGCTAACATCACAGTCCCTGCGGGGGGTTCTGATGATCTGGAAGCCGCGGCTAGTGCGGCCTTGGGAAGTTTTGCTGCGAAGCCGCCGTGCCCATGGGATGGGCAAGAGAAAGGGGATGAGGATAATGCCCCCGAAAAAACTGTGCTGGAGCCGCACCATATCGTGCACCTATTGCATAACAAAACTGTGGACGAGGACAGACACGAGAAGTTACTCACAGCTCTGTACGGACTGGCGAATACCCGCCATCCCCATGTCATTGACAAGGTGGATAAATTCACGGAGCACGATCACCCTGCTTTGCGCGTGGCTGCGGTACGGGCGATTGCAAACGTGCCGAATGTATGTCCCTGGTGTCAAAGTCCGTGTCCCTGATATCAAACATCTCTTTGCGAAGAAAGTATCGGTTATACCACTGACTACATACGTCCAGGAACGTGCCACAGGCCACTTAGTCTACCACAGCCTGCACAATAGCCAGCCAGCGGCACGACGCGCCGGCTTACAGGCTCTACAACATCACGACCACCATGAAAACCCCGTCCTAGCCACCAAGACTCTGTTGACTGCCCTCTTCCAGCCACGGGTGCGCAGAACGCCTGCAGACCTCCGCGGGCTGAAGGGATATTTCCAGAAGCGAATGACCAACAGCAACAATAACAACAACCGTCTTGCAGACTACCGCCTGGCGAGGATCGGCATGAATCGAATAACGCTTGTGGAAAAGGCGACGTTGGATTATCCCGTTCCTGGGGTTTCTTCGCCTCTGTTTACGCCGCTGCATTGGAGTAGATCATACGGGGGTAAGCCGCCTGTGTTCCCACGTTAGGTATCTATCTCGCAGTAAAAAAGGTATCCAGTTCTGACAAAAGGTGGACAACAGGCGAAAACGTCCGCGCAACAGTCGGCGTAGTAGTCGACAGCGACTTCGACGCGACGGGCGCCGGATTCCACGCCGAAGCCTTCGTCCTCGGCTCGCTCTTCTCCACGGACATTGACATCGCCTCCGCCGGCGCCTATGCCTCCTGGACCAGTTCCGGTTCTTTATCCTTCTTCCTCTGGACTGCGGTGTTTCTCTTCGACCCTGTCTCCCTACAGCAGGTGCCCTATTACCTGATTGGTATCGAGTGGTTCAGCCAGACTGTGTTTCAGCTTGTGCAGGGCGATCCGTGTACCATCCAGCTGCCGAGTAACCCAGCTGTCACGGTAAGAGAGACGAGGTCGTTTGTGCAGGCGACTTATTATTATGGGATTCCGCTTATTGCGGAGGTAGATTTACATGTTGAGCTGGTGGGGTGGTTTGAGGTCGGGTATGGTGTCGAGCTAGTCACGCAGAACTTGTCTAGTCCGATTCCGGGGCAGATCACGGGGTATATCCGCCCGGGGATGGGGCTGGGGGGCCAGATCAGTGCTAACGTGCGGGTGCTGGTCGCCAGTGGTGGTTTGGAAGGGGATCTGGAGTTTGCTTCGTTGTACCTGCCTGCGGGTGGGGGTATGACGGTCAACTCGTTGTCTCCGCTGGCCGCCGGGTTTGGCGACTCGATTCAGATCAACGGGGAGTTTTTGCGGGGAAGAGTGGCGTTGTACTATGAGATCTGGAACTGCTGTTGCTGGTACTGTTGGTTTACCTGCTGCTTCGACTGTGGTGGGGGGTGCAACTACCGCGGGTATTACACCCTGTTTTCGTGGAACGGCATTTCCTTGCCTGTTATTTACATTGATAACCGGCCCAATTTGTGCGCGTCACTGAGGTCTGCTGCCGAGCTGCCTCACCGTACTTTGGGATCCGGGGTGATGATGTTGCAAGGGCCGGCGCTCGCGGACTATCTGCCGTACATGGCTCCTCCTCCGCTGGAGGTCACGGATGGAGATGAGATTGTTGACATGGATGCGGAAAACTGGATGGAGTGTGGCGGTTATTACGACCTTCGCTCGAGGCTGGTGCAGTTGAGCACATGCTCGTATCAGTCGATGGACTGCGATGGGATGTCTCTTGTGAGTCTTCCTGTCTCGATCAAGGAATTAAGATTGCAGTCATACTCACGTCGGTCATAGGCCACGCGATACATGCTCCCCGAGGACCCCAACGTCGACAACTTCGCCTACGACTGTAACAGGTACCCGGAGCTCTGCCAGAACACCGAATGCTGGCGGAAATGGTCGCCCTACTCGGCCGGCGCGCGGAAAAAGATCCAGTGGGAGTATGACGACGTGTACATCCCGAGGCGACGGTGGGCCATGTCGCGGTTGGGGTCGCCGCCGGCCGGAACACAGCGCGACGAAGTTCCTATGAATAAGGTAAGTTTAGTAAGGATTCCTATTCTTTTGGTTTGCCTATGGATATCAGCCTTGACGTCAACATTGTACGGCTTACACGCCAACAGTGCACCGATGGCGGATGCTGTGCGAGGGTCCAGGCCATCGAAGCATCCCAGAACAGCGCCCACGGAGGGGATTTCTGCGGATTCCTGCGGTCCAACTTTGGCCCTGCGCCGGGATATCGACCCGTTAAAGGGGAGTTTACAGTGTCGTAAGTGATAACCCCCCACAGTCCCTCCTACTTATACCACGCTTCTAATTAGGGCACATAATACCAGGTACAAAACACCTCCCCCAGCAACCGACAAAGCCACGTGCAAAGGCGACGACTTCCGCTTCGAAGCGGACGGCGGTGATTCCTACCGCCAACCGTCCACGCGATCTTGCGCAGGAGATCCCCCATGCGAAGAACCTAACTATGGTGTTGCCCTCGGTCTCCCTCGGTTTGAGAAGGCCACAATGACAGCGTATCTCCCAGGCAGCAATCACCCACAGCTGGCATTCAACTTTGACGACAAAGTGGATGTCCATTACCAAGTACGTGTGGTATGACCTAGTCTAACTGATCGAATTTGACTAACAACCCCAACAATAGCCCATCCTCAAACCCAACCTCGAAGCAATCCGCTACTCCCACCTCCAAAACCTCACCGTCGGTTCCCGCGCCCTCGCAATCCACGGAAACTTCACCTCTGGTGCAGAAAGATGGCTACACAGTAGCACTGGTGCAGATGGAGACATCTTCCAGCTTACCCTAGACCACGAGCTCGTCAGCCATGACGACAAAAGGGACACCACACACAGCCGTGTGACCCTCCACCTGGCTGCTGAATACAGCCATCTCGTCTACCATCCGAGGAACCCGGCCCACCAGCGGCAGGTGGACAGTAGGGCCGAGATGTGCATCAATGTTAGTGATGCCGCGGTCTTGCAGCGGTTGCTTGGTAGCCCAGCAGTTTTCAAGACGAAGGGAGCGGAACAGAAGCCTGTTGCTCCTCCTGTTACCCAGCAGCCTCTAATCCAACCGCCTTCACATCTGGATCGTGGTTTAGAGGAAGCAATATCCAAACCGTTCCGTGTGGCGGACTTGGCTTCGCTGCGGGCTATGAAGAGTCATGTTCACGATCTGGGGGCTTCGAGTAAGTATTTTAAGCCTGGTAGTTGGCATGACCGGAAGTTTGTGAACAGATACTGACGATCTGGGGAAAAAAGCATTCTCTCTGCGCGAGATTGTCCTGACGTTCCTCCTGCTCGGCCTCTCGGTGGTTTATCTCTTCAGGACAGCATAGGTTGTGGGCCCAGGAACAAAACTCTACCTACTTAGCCTACCTACTGTTGCATGACGAGTATCAAGTAACCGTCGGGGTAGGTACAAAACAAAGGAAACATTCATTACAGTGCCTCAAACAATATGACAACAAAATCAAGGTGCTTAAGCTATCGTGGTTAAAACGACTGATGACTATGCACGCTTCCGAGGTAATTATTTTAGATTGCTATGAGTATCAAGGGGCATATTTGGAAGCGAACACACTGAGGAAAGGAGGTCCAGCTAACTGGGGCTGGCACAACCCTGGGGGTTGCACATAATTAGACAACTCTCAAGACAAAACATCTTCCTGCCGTCAAACTCCAAGGCAAAAGGTGTTCCACAGCGATATCGCATTGGGTGGCTTTTAATACTCTATTGCGGCATGAATATTTCACATACGACCATACGCGCTAGAAAATACGGGATCCCGTCCGCTCTCCCCTAGTCAAACTGGCGACGGCCGGATCAGTACTCAGGTCGGTGACGACTGGGGAATCCCCGGTGTTGTATGTTTTTGGCGCTTTTGCTAGATATGCAGAAAACCCACCGATAGGGCTCCCCTTCTATCCCTAAATAAATGTCACGAAGGATGCCATAACCAAACCCATAGGAAAATTGTATTCTGATTTGATGAACTGTTTCATGCCCGTTAAATGCTGTAATTATCCTACCCGATTGGTTAAGCTCTGTCGAATTTGCATTTTCACGTGATAACGCGAGACCTGGACGCGCAAGCAACACGCACCCAACACGCTTCCGTTTGCGTCCATTGTCCGCCCGCCAATTTGGATGAGAACCGTCATGGAAGACCAAGCGCAATCGGAACTCATCGGGCAAAACCCGATTGGTAACGGCCCTGAGGCATTCCGGAATTCATATGCATTGGTGTGCAATGACAGGTGCCTTCCCTTCACGCCGGAGTCATTTGATCAAATCCACGACCAAGGTTTGCTAATTTGCTTGGCTCGATACCTCCATGAGATGTCGTATGCTGATCCGTCTTATAGATCTCAACACACTCATTTACTCTTTTCTGTGGGCGGCACAAAAGCTACCCACTGCCGACCTGCTGCCTTCCACCACAGGCCGCGGCACCCTCCAGATCGACCTTTTCCGTCTCGAGCTCTCCCTGATAGAAGCCGACGGCTTCGATTTTGATGGCCTCAAACCTCTTCTCAAAGACGCCCTCGCCGAGGAGTTGGACGATGCGCTCGTCTGGCGCCGGATATATGATGCCGTGAACGAATTCGCCCCGCTTCCTCGGCGGACAGGCTCTTCCTCCATCCAACAGACCCCGTGGCTGCAACACACCAGCAGCTTTCCGGACTCTTCCGAAGATCGCTAATATTTGGACAACATTCTTGAGCACGAGCTTGGCCCGATTCATGTCGACATACCTCGATTTCGCCAATCATTCTTTGGAGGTGTGACAGGGCTCGAAGCAGCTTCCAAGGCCGTTTTTTCCAAGTGTATGGAAGGTAGCAACCCCCTCTTCACTGAAGGGTGGGTCGGGTGGCCGAGTGATGCAGATCCGGGTAATGTTTTAAGCTGGTTTGCAGCCTTGAGCGAAAGGCTGGCGAGATTAGGCGCGGCAGCAAACCGCAATTCGTCAGCGATGTATCGTCGGCCGTTGGCCCGGCCAAACAAGCAGATCCAGGGGTCTACTGCGGAACGTAAACTAGATGTTGGCTTTGTGGATAACCCTAAGGCGGGAGGGGACTCCAAGTGCCATTGGTCACGGATTCTTATACCTGGAGAAATCAAGAGCAACCCTTCCAGTGATAAGGCCTCAAACATGGCTCGATTTAGGGAGGTATGTCAAAGAGGTGCTCGCTGCCCAGGACGGCCGTCGATTCATCGTAGGATTTACCCTTCGCGGGTCGCTGATGCGGATATGGGAATTTGACCGCCTTGGGGGTATCGCATCGGAAAGTTTTGACATCAACAAAGATGGTTTACAGTTTGTCTCAACGGTACTGGGATTACTCTGGATGGACGATGAACAACTTGGCTTTGACCCAACGATCCCCACCATATCGGACGGCCAACGAGCTCTTACCATCCAACGTAATGGCCAGGCGGAACGGCTTATTCTTGATAAACTGATGAAACGGGTGCGTTGTATCGCCGGCCGAGGAACGACTTGTTGGATGGGACATCGCGAAGGAGAACCAAAGACCCGGTTCGTGATCAAGGATGCCTGGCAGGATGTGGAGCGCGACGAAGAGGGCAAGCTCTTGAAGGAAGCGGCGGATAAAGGTGTCGTTAACGTCGTACGGTACTACCACCGCGAGACTGTGTTTGCCCGCGGCGAAATTGACGATATCCAACACAACGTCCGACGGGGTCTGGACGTTCTGGAGCCGACTAAGGATCCCTTAGCAAGCTCGGAGGTGTTGTTAGAAGTTAGTGTACCCGGTGCGTCACGGGAAGGCCCTACCAACACCATTGGCCTTAAGCGATTATTTACCCAAACAAACACCACCGCTCTGCCGCCCAACAAGCGATCCTGTTTAGCCTCTCCCACGAAAGCTAACAGCAGTATGCGATCAAATCGGACACACACACGAATTATTCTCCGCGATTGCGGAAAGCCCATTTACAAGGCAAGCTCCCCATCGGCGCTACTTGCCGCCCTCCAAGGCTGCATTGGTGGGCATGAATCTCTACACAAGGCAGGTATCCTCCACCGGGATATCTCGATCAATAATCTTCTGATCAACGAACATGTCGACGAAAACCCTTCTTGGGATGCGTTCCTGATTGATCTTGACCTGGCTGTCCGGGAGGACCCAGACGGTACACCCGAGACAAAACGAAAGGCCGGAACGAGAGCTTTTATGGCGATTGGAGCCCTTCGTGGCGAACAGCACTCGTTTATGCATGACCTTGAGTCCTTCTTCTGGATTTTGTTCTGGATATGTATCCACTACAACGGCCCAGGCAACGCAAAGGTCGTTGCCGAATTTGACAGGTGGAATTACATGGATACGGGGGAGCTAACGATGTTGAAGGAGGGCATTTTATCTGATGGAGTATTCGAAGAGACTGCGGAGCGGTTTGTCACAGAGTATGACTGGCCGTTGTTTCCTTGCGTGAATGAGTTGCGAAGGACGGTATTTCCGGGCGGTGGAAGGTGGAAAAGAAAGGATGAAGGATTGTATATGCGCATGCGGAATGTTCTTGAGAAAGCACGTACAGCGTTGGCGGAGAGCTAACGTTGCTGAGTGTTGCTTAGCTAGGTCATTACAAACAAGCCTTCAGCGTCGACTTTTTTCCCCCCAAACTTCCGTCCACTCCTGCATTCGTTTTGGCCCAAACCTTAAGCGGGAGTTTACTAGTACTCGGCAAATAGGTATCGTTAATTGGAACCGTATCACAGTGATGAATACGCCGGCCTTAATTATGCCTAAAACAAAACATCTCACCGAGGGAGCGCTCGACACTGGCTGAAGGGATTCCGCGCCCGCCGGGGCCCCCTTCGACTTTCATTCCCCGTCCTATTAGCAGCTTTCTCCCCTTTCTTCGTTGCCCTTCCACTGTCCCCTTGCCCACTTCTTCAACAATGTTCTCATGGACACTCGCAAGAATGGCATCGTCTTGGAAGTTCGTTCCGTTACATGCATTTGTAATTACTCGTCAACATCAGTAAGCCCGCTGGTTTAAGATCGTATCTTGAACGACCTACGACGGAAGAGAGTGGCGGTTGAGGCAATTGGGGCGAGAAAAGAAACCAGACAAAAAAGAGCAAGATCAATTACAGAGGCAAAAGGAAAAAGGAAAAACATACAACACCGGGGATTCCCCAGTCGTCACCGACCTGAGTACTGATCCGGCCGTCGCCAGTTTGACTAGGGGAGAGCGGACGGGATCCCGTATTTTCTAGCGCGTATGGTCGTATGTGAAAGAAATATCGTGTAAGAGGGTATTAAAAGCGACCGGTGCGGTGCCGCTCAAGAGGTCCTCGTTTTTTCTTTGTTTTTGCAGGATTAGCACATGCTAAGTTCAATGTCCTGGTGGTCCGAGCGTGGGACTTCAGACCATCAGGGGCATGGCCCACTTTGATGGTTCTTGATCAATTCTGATTGGCCTACTCAGTTGTCCGTTCCAATCTGTGGAATAATTTCGAGACCAGATCATACGATTGTTTCCCAAGGAATCTGTAGACTTGCTTGCGTCGTCGCTAAAGAACGAGACGCGTAATCCATATCCCCGGAGCACCCGGCTTTGTTTGGCTCGGGAGGGCTTGACGATTTCTTTTCCATTGCATTGCGATTGGCGGCGAGGAGTGAACCGGTCTTCTTTAGCGACGGTTGATCCTTTTTCTTTTTCCTTCTCTCCTAGTTGCGAAACGGGGTCCTTCACGACTTACTGCCTTTGAGACGAGAACACGCCATTCCACGACATATTCGATCGACCGCACCGATTGGCGAGAACCAGAACCGGATTGACTTCGGTTGTACGTACTTTCCGAACGTATCGAATTCCACACAGCCCCTTATTCAGTTTAGATACCCTCCACAGCATGGACGACACCTCACCATCGGCGCGCAACCGCTTCCGCCGCGATCACCACCACGAAGCTGATGTGGTCGTCGTGGGCGCGGGCGTGTTTGGGTGCGCGGCGGCCCACGCACTGGCCGAACAGGGCCGCAGCGTGATTCTGCTGGAGCGGTGGATGCACGAGCCCGACCGCATCGTCGGCGAGCTGCTACAACCCGGCGGTGTGGCTGCCCTCCGGACACTTGGGCTGGAACACTGCCTTGAGGGTATCGATTCGATCCCTTGCTATGGGTACCACTGCCTCTACCGCGGGGAGGAGATTGCATTTGAGTATCCGCCGTTGAGGGAGGATGGGAGTGTCGTGGTGGGTGCTGGGAGGCGGCTGGAGGGTCAAGAGGGGGATGAGCACACGAATGGACAGACAAACGGGTATACGAACGGACATGTGAAGGGGCACACAAACGGGAATGGGAAAGGGGCGGCCCCGGTGCGGCCCGAAGGGAGGAGCTTCCACCACGGCCGCTTCATCATGCAGCTGCGCAAGGCATGCCAGGCGCACCCTAACATCAGTGTGTTCGAGACCGAGGTGACGGCGACCATCCGCGGCGAGCATACGGACGCGGTGCTGGGGGTGCAGACACGCACCAAGGACCCAGCAACGGGCGAGAAACGGCCCGACTGTTTCTTCGGCCAGCTCACCATCATCGCCGACGGCTACGCGTCCACCTTCCGCAAGGAGCTCCTCGGCACCACCCCCGTCGTGCGCAGCAAGTTCTACGCCCTCGAGCTGATCGACTGCCCCTTCCCACCCGCCAACCATGGCCACGTTGTGATCGGGGACCAGTCCCTCTCGCTGCTGTACCAGATCGGCACCCACGAGACCCGCGCGCTGATCGACATCCCAACCGACCACCCAGCCGCGACCCCGAAAGCCGGCGGCGCTCGCGGCTTCATCCAAAACATCGTCCTCCCTTCCCTCCCTCCCCACGTCCAACCCAGCGTCCGCGCCGCCCTAGCCGACGGCAAAATCCCTCGCAGCATGCCCAACTCCTGGCTACCGCCCACCAAACAAACCCGCAACACCGGCGTCCTCGTCCTCGGTGACGCCCACAACATGCGGCACCCCCTCACTGGCGGGGGAATGACCATCGCCCTGAACGACGCCATCCTCCTCGCACGCCTGCTCGCCCCGTCCCAGATCCCGTCCCTGGCCGACCACGCCGCCATCCGGACCGCCATGGCCGCCTTTCACGCGCGTCGCAAAGACCTCACGGCTATCGTCAACGTGCTCGCGCAGGCGCTGTACAGCCTGTTCGCGGCCGACGGCTGGCAGTTGCGGGCGCTTCAGCGTGGGTGTTTCCGGTACTTCCAGGACGGGTGGACCGATGAGCCTGTGGCTATGTTGGGAGGTGTGCTCCGGCGGCCGCTGACGCTAGCGATACATTTCTTTACTGTGGCGTTCCTGGCTATTCGGCTCCATATTATTGATGTGTGTTTTGGTGGAGGGCCGTTTGGGGTAACGTCAGTGTTTGGGTTGTTGAAGCTGCCGTGGGCGTTGCTGCAGTCGGTCATGATTTTATGGACGGCGTGTGTGGTGTTTTTGCCGGTGATGGCTGCGGAGTTGAGGTGATGGATGGGTTGGGTATGAATATAACGGATAGAGAATACTAATATGTGGTGGCTGTGCTTTGGGGGTGGAAGCTTGGTAATACATAGACGTTGGTAATTAATGGTAATGAGAGATGGTATAAGATGAAATTTGGGGCGTAAAATACCTGATCTAGGTGTGTTACAGCACCACTGTGACATGCCGATACCAGTCACGGTTGTAATATGGACGGAGAATGGAATGTTTCGTCCTCGCCAAATACTTCAGAGATAATTCCCAAGTCCAAAAATACCCTTCTATTATTTATCGACACCTCTATGTACAAATGCACTCCTACGCCACCCGCCGCCGATAAACCCCCAACATCCAACTTGCCCTCAACACCGCTAACCCCACAGCCATCCTCAAACTATCCCCCACCAAACTAACCTTACTCCCGGCCACCTCCTCCCAATGCACCGGCACCTCAGCCACCCTGATCCCCGCTGTTGCACCAATCACCGACCCATCGCTCGCCAGCACAGGTGTGGCAGGTGCCGACTCAGCCAACATGAGCATCTCGATGTCGAAGATCCAGCCTTCGGCGTGCATGTAGGGGATGATGTGGGGGAGGGCAGCGCGTGAGAAGAGCTTGAAGCCGCATTGGGTGTCGCGGATGCGGGAGGTGGCTGGGGGGGTGAGGATAGTGAGGAGAGCGTGGAAGGAGCGCATGAGGAAGTTGCGGATTGCGGAGCGCTGGTGCATTATTAATATCCATGATCGTATAGTGATGGTTGTAAGAGGCCATGGGTGAGGATGAGAGAGAGAGAAAAAGAGACATACCTTGACAACAGCGTCACTCCCCACCAAATGAGCCCGACTCCCAATCGCGACACCGCGATTTGACCCGTCGACAACGTCCTCGCAACCCTCAATCAGCCGGCCGAGGTCGCTGAACCGGCTCGCGCCGTCGGCATCGGCAAACACCGCGTATCGGCCGCGTACATGGCGCAGTCCGTGGGTCACAGCCCCGCCTTTGCCGCGGTTGCGCGCCAGCTTGATCACACGGAGGATGTCGTGCAGCCCGTGGCGGCGGGCAAACGCCAGTGCGACCTCGACGGTGCGGTCTCGGCTGCCGTCGTCGACGATCAGGATTTCGTACCCGCTTGGTTGAGCGGTGGAGGAGGTGGATGAGAAGTCGGAATTTGGCGGGGAGGCACTGCGGTTGCGTGGCGTGGAGGTGGAAGAGGAGGGTTTGAACACTAGGCGATGTGGTGTGACGGCCCGTTTCTTGTTGTTGTTTTTCGTCTTGCTGCCCCGCTGCTTCGACGACCGGTCTAACCGCTCCAGCAATGTATCTTTCTCCGGCCGACCAAACTCCTGGTCAAGATACTCCACCATCTCCTCAAGCGCCTTCACAATGCGCGCCTCCTCATTGTATGCCGGCACGACCACACTGACTTCGACCTCGGCCGGCTCGATAGCGAGCTGTTCGGGCACGGGGAACCCCGCGGGGATGGTTGCATATTCTTCTTGCAGTTTGCCCTCGGCGCGCCACCGGTCGTACCAGCAGGCCAACGGTTGGGGAATGGTGGTTGTGCCATCGAGGCTGGTGGTCAGGTAGGTCTTTTCGGAGGGGTAGGGTGCGCGCGGCTTGGGGGCTATGAGGTGGAGGAGGATATAGATCTGAGCAGTTAGCATATTGTAAGTAGGGAGAGAGGGCATGATATTGAGGCTACCTACAGCAAAGATTCCTACTGTGAGCAGAGGTACAACAAAAACGAACAGAAAATAAAACGGCCGCTCTGTCGCTGTAGCCCACACGAACCAGGCCAGCCGCTCCAGGGCCGCGACCGCGCCCGCGCCAATGTTATTGGCCGCCATGTTGCGTGCGCACAAGGTAAATACAAGCGAATCTGCCGTAGGCAAATCGCAGAAGCCTCAAGAAGGCGATTGAGGCGTCATGAGGCGAGATCCAGCATTTGTCCCGTCGGAACCGAGAGAACCGCAAGTCTTTTGAGTTCGTTGTCAGAGGGAAGTCCACAAGGCTGTCATGAGGCCACGCAGCGTAAGATGTGGCTTGCAAGGCTGGAGAGCTTTGGCCAATCGGGGATGTGGACCCCTGTTGATCTGGGGGCGAGTGGGGGATTCTTGGCATCTGAATAACGTTACACTGTGTCAGTCTGAGCCGGCATATTGTCTTGCCTAATCGGGTAATAAGCTTCCAATCTTGGCTCTTGCCGTTAATGGAAGAGCAACTGGGTGGAATCTTGGCATCATGCTCGGATTCCGTTGTCCTTAAGCGAAGCCTTAGTAGAGACTGAAGGGTGGTTTTTCAAGAATGTTATAGAATCTGAACCGTATAAAATAGGATATCAAATAACATAGTTCCCAACGTTCTACTCGACTTTACGTTCTCTATTCTTACCTGGGTTTCAGGTCGAATGCGTGTCAATTGGATTTTGGAAAGACCGACTCAGAATGCAAACCTGGAGCATTGCAAAACTCAATTCCATTATTCCCCTCCCTCATACAACTACTTATGCTGACCACCCGACACCCCAATCATCCATGCAAAAACCCTTGAAAGTGCCCCGCAAGTTTGTCTGTCTCCTTCAGATAACACGATGTGCCAACCCACAAGTCAGGTCGGATGACAGCGAACGCTCCCGTGCGGTGGTTTACCCCCCACGTGGTATGGGCGTCCTCATCCGGGGCGCGGTCGTCAAAAACCACCACGGTCGACTTGAACTCTAGCAAAGGTGCAATAAGGTCGCGGCCAGTCTCAGTAGCAGCAAACTCATCAAACTCAAACGGCAGCTTCTTAATGACGAGGACGATTTGCAGCAGAGCTTCCCCGCCAAGCCGATGGTAGAAACCGTTCCTGGAGTCCGAGAGACCATCCACGAACTTGGCCAGCTGGCGCCGTACCTTGGCGCTTTCCAGAGATGACGCAAAGAGGACGAGGTGGAACCGCCCGGCCCCAGACAAAACATCGTATAGATATCCCGTCCGGTCCTTCGAGAGACACACCCTTGGGTTTGGCGCGCGCACACCGCTCCGCACTTGGATCGGTGGCGAACGGCTGGTGGATGGTAGGGCGGGAGACAAGGCGACGGCGGATTCGTCGTAGGGGCAGTCCACTCCATGAAGGAATTGCCCGTTCGTCTTGAAGAAGCGGCCGATGAAGTCGAGATCTTTGGAACGGTCTGTTTTGCTCCATCCATGTGGTGCTGCTGCCGCACCCGTGCCATTGGTAGCTGGATGTCCGTTTGTTGTTGTTGTTGTTGTGGTGGTGGTGCCGTTGGTGCCTTTGCTGCTGTTGGTGCCGTTCAGAGATTCGGGGTTGTCCAGGTCGGGTACGGAGAGCGAGGAGCCGGAGATGAAGCGAAGGTACTCGCCCGAGACGCGGATGATTCTAGTGGCATGCTTCCGCCGCTCGCGCGTGTAGGTGGAAAGAAGCGTCTCGGTTTTGGCTAGCCCCTTGGCCGCGAGGCCGAGCTTCCAGGCGAGGTTGCAAGCGTCTAGGATGGAGGCATTTAGCCCGAAAGCGCCCAGTACGCTGTGAACATGGCTAGTTCGGAGCTGTCGTGTCAGTTCTGGCGATGTAGCGCTGAGAAAGGACTACGCGGTAGATCGCTTACGCTGCGTCTCCGGCCAAATGCACCCTCATGTCGGGCGACGAGTAGGTACGAGCCACTCGTTCCGAGACTGCCATGGTTTCAGCACAACTCGATTAATGTTTGTGGCGTCCGATGGCATCTACTCACTCCTCCAGATTGCAAACCAGCTCAGCGGCGCGGCAAATTTCAGCGTGTATGGAGCGAATATCTTATTGGCCTGCTCGAGGACCTCCTCGGGCGTGATGGAGTGGACCTCGACCTTCCCTCCTGACTCGGCAAAGTTCGGGTCTTTGGCCTGTCTTGAAGCGCTGATCGGGCCGGTATGCGACACATCCAGCTGAGTGTACAGCCTGAGCAACAGAAAAGTATGGGTCAGAGCTCTCTAACATCCTCACCAGACCGTGGGAATCAGAACTTACCGAATGTATCCATCTTCACGAGGGATGATGGCGCAACAGCCGTGCTCAGAACTTACTACCATTCTGTTTTCGTACGCGAACGTCAGAGGTCAATCAGTGTCCTTTGTCTGGCATAGCCACAGGCCAAACAAGAAATGCAAGGCTCAACGTACCCAAACACCCAGGCATGAGGGTAATCCGATTCAAAAACACAGTCCAAGATCCCCCAGTAGATATCCGTCGTGACGCCATCAAACGGGATCCTGAGACTCTTCCGTACACCGCTTGAGGCCCCATCGGACCCGACAAGGAACTTGGCCTGGATGACCTCCTCCTCGCCCGTCCGATGGTTGTGAACTGTCGCACGAACGGGGTGTTCGCCCGTCTGGTCATTACTTACATCAAACCCAGCCAGAGAACAGCTCCGCTCGACGATAGTCTGGTGTCGAAGCAGATCACGCAGATAGACGCGCTCAATCTGGCCCTGGGTGATGACATGCAAGCCTCGATACCGAGAATCAGACTGGTGCGACCGGTTGAACAGCAGTTTCTCGCCGTCCTTGTAGATGGCCGTGCGCTCAATCAAGGGGCCTTCCTCTTGGATCTCGGCGGCTAGACCCCATTTTGCTACTGTCTCGAGGAACCGGGGCTGAACACCGTCGGCGCAGCCTGCGGCTAGGGGAGCGTCTGCTTTGTCTGTCGAATCCAGTCAGCGCAAAAGAAGACCAGATTGTGGTATTGATGGGTATTAGATACGGGATCTGGAGATAGCATACCGAGAATGCGAACGGTAGTTAAGTCCTTGTCGCAATAGGCTAACTGCGAGGCCGAGTCCGCTGGGGCCGGCTGTGAAATGTGTGAGCAAGCTAATCATTCGTCTACTAAAACTTCTCGAAACAAAAAGAAGAAAAGGAGACAAATTATTCATACCTCCCACAATCAGCACATCAACATGAGACTTCGGCCGCCGCCACGCGGGCGTCCCGTGCGGGTTGTTTGTCCCATCGTACAGCGTTGGCCAACTCCGAATGACGTTGACTCCGAGGTGGTTATGTGCCGGCGACGTGACTAGCTCGACCGAAGGAGCCGGGATATACGAGTTCGCGTCGTCGTCTTCGGGAACTGCATACTCGCCATTCGGTTCTTGTTGCGTCCACTTTGGGCAAGACGGGCGCTTGGTATCCGTTTTCCCATGTGAAATCAGGGCGTTTGGTGGCCATACTGGCGTGTAGAGAGATAAATGGCAGGTAGTTTGGAAATGTTGGGAATGACAGGTCGGAAGGGGGTAATTTCAATTTCTGGCTTCCAATATAGTTGGAACGGGGACTAGGTTGGACTTTCAACGTTCCGTTGATGATGTTATAGATCCATTTACCCCTAATTATTGCTAGGGACCAAACTAGTCCCACACTGTTTATTCCATCCTACTTTTGACCCAATCACCTGATACTTACTGCTTGGCTTTATAAGCACGAACAGAACCATGGGCGAATCCAAGACCACCAACGGCAAACCGAGCCCAACCCCCAACGGCAGCACCAGCACTCTCGACCCAACCGCTCTCCAGCTCCTACAGCTAAGCGGCCTGATCCAGACATGGGTCGCCAAGTACATCGCCGCCACAACATCCCCCAAGAAGGACCAGGACCAGGATCAAGAAGATACGCTCCCGTCCAAGGCGCTCTTCGACGCGCAGAGAACCCTGCTAGCGACCGCCGGCATGCTCACCGAACTGGTCAGCGACCCGTCCAGCCGCATCATCGAAGTGGCGCTGCAGCAGTTTGAGGCCCGCGCGCTGCACCTGGCTGCTGCTGTGCGCGTGCCTGATATCTTGGCTGAGCGCGGGGAGATGGGGATTGAGGAGTTGTCGGTGCGGGTTGGGGTTGAGGGGAAGAAGTTGTGTGAGTTTTCTCTTGTTTTTTTCTCTTCCGTCTTTCTCTTCCATTGCTCTATTTTACTAGCGAACTGACCTGAGCGAATAACTAGCCCGCCTCCTACGCTGCCTCTGCTCCATCCACCTCTTCTCCGAACCCCGCGAAGACGTCTTTGCCAACAACCGCATCACCTCCGCACTAGTCGGCAACGACCCTTTGCGTGCCTACGTGCTCCTCGGCGGCCAGGACGTCTACACGGCGTCGGACAACATGCTCCGCACGCTGCGACACCCCGTCAAGGGGCCTTCCTACGCGGTTGATGTCACGCCCTTTCAGGAGGCTGTCGGGAGCACCGTGCCGCGTCGGACTTGGCTGGAGGAGAAGCCTACTGTTCGGGAGTTGCTTGATGGTCGTGATGGGCCGGATGGGCCGAATGGTCGGCTGTGCGGGTATCCGGGGGGGTTTGGTGATGAGATTGGGGGGCTAGCGAAGAAGGTGGAGGCGGAGGAAAATGATGATCAAGAGCGGGTGGCGAGGCCGGAGTTGGAACTGTTTGGGCTGGCGATGGTTGGGGGTGGGGGGGTGTTTGGTCGGGCGCATTTATATGGTGAGTATGAGGCCCCTGATTTGAAGAAAAGAAAGAAACAGAGAAGAAGATAGAACGGTTGTGCATGGGGTTGACTAACCATGTTCAGATTTTCCGTGGGCTTCGCTTGGAAAGGCTACCGTCATGGATGTTGGCGGGGGAATGGGTAAGTCGACGTCCAAAGCCATAGTCATTGGCAGGACAAACAAAGTCTAAAACAGAAGACACTAACACCTCACAGGTGGCTTCTCCCTCGACCTCTCGCACCTCTACCCCAACCTGAACTTCGTCATCCAAGACCGCGCGCCCGTCCTCCACCAAGGCCGCACCAACCTCTAGCCGCGCGAGAACCCGACCGCCCTCGCCCAAAACCGCGTCCAGTTTCTCGAGCACGACTTTTTCTCCGAGGACCCCAACCCCATCCGCAACGCGGACGTCTACTGGCTCCGCTACATCATCCACGACTGGTCCGACGATTATTGCGTGCGCATCCTGCGGGGCCTGCGCGACGGCATGGGCCCGCGCAGCCGTATCCTTATCTGTGATCAAGTGATGAACACTACGAGTGGGTGTGATGAATTGCCGTCGGCCCCGGAGCCGTTGCCAGCGAATTGTGGGTATTTCACGCGGTATTCGCATACGAGAGATTTGTGTGTCATGTCGATTATTAACGGGATTGAGCGGAAGCCGACTGAGTTTCGGGAGTTGGTGGAGAGGGCGGGGTTGAGGTTGAATCGATTTTGGGAATGTCGGAGCCAGGTTGGGTTGGTGGAGGTTGTGTTGCCGGATTCGGAGCTTGTTATTTGACTGTAGCGGCAGACAGAAAGCAACGATGACAGCAAGGCAAGATAGAGCAGTTATGTTGTCGAAAGTTTGACTTATGCCCTCGCTTGGAACAAGCTACAGTTCAAACGCGGCGCGAGCAATGCCATTCGGAAGAGCCCCAAGAAAACGAGAGGGGAAGCGATGTATGTCTGCGAACGTTGGGTGGTAACTAGGTGGTCTTCGGATCGGACTGTCCCACCGTGTTGGTTTTGTTAATCTGAAGCTGCACCCTCCTGAAAGACCCTGGACCACGGCAAACCATCCGTGACGTTCAATGCGTCGAGGAAAAAATGAGATGAGGCTACTGAGTTAGGGGTAGATACTAACAGATATCCAACATACGCTGAAATGTGCCGAAGAGCAACAGCCATGTATTCAAGCACCTCAAGTAAGACTGCTACCTGTCATACTATTGACAATACTAGGGGACATTTATTCCTTAAGCCCCCAACACAAACCTCACCCCCTCGACCGTATCCTCCCGAAACGTGTCCCCCGTAGGAATCTCAGGATATATCCAAAAGAAATGCGGCAAACCCTCATAGTTCCTCAGCCGACACGGGACCCCCTGGCGGGTCAGCGCGCGCTCAATGACAGTCCCATCGTCACGCAGCGGGTCAGCGCCACAGGTCGAGATGTAAGTAGGCGGCAGGCCCTTGCTACTACTGTTGTTACCGGCCCTCAACAACGGATGCAGCGCGGGAAACGTACACATCATCCTTGCGCGCATCACACCCGTTAAGACTGTTGAAAACATACATGGCCGCGCGGTTGATCAACGGTCCCTCGGCGTTTTCTTCGTATGCCGTGTAGTCCGGGAGGAACTCGGCTAGGACGTGCTCTGGGTGCATCGTGATGGGCGCTAGCGCGACGATGCCGGCTAGCTGGGCATGCTGGTCGCCTTGCGGTGCTTCGAGGAGCTTGAAGGCCACGCTCAATGCTAGACCGCCGCCTACGGAGGCACCGATTAGGAAGAGTTTGGATGGGTCGCCGTTGAGGGTTGTTATGTTATCGCGGGTCTGTAGGGGGTTAGTTAATTAGTCCATGTCAAGGAGGCAAAAACGCGGCGGGATACATGTGAAATAGACGAACCCATAGAAATCCGGCGAGGACATCGTCGACTTGTGCTGGAACGGGGTGTTCAGGGGCGAGGCGGAAGTCGACAGAGACGATGATGCAGGGTGTGTTTTGGGCAATGTAACGGCAATTGTCTGCATGGATTGGTTAAGAACGGGAAATACAACGAAACCGAGGTCGGTGGTTTTCGATCTGGGAAATGGGATTCTCGGCCGACGAGGATGAGCTTACAATCTTCAAACGAGGCCTGGACACTCCCTGCTACGAATCCGCCGCCGTGTGCACTATTCAGTCTGGTTAGACGGCCAAAGACGGAAACCCAGAAATTTCTCCGTGCCGCGGCCCGGTAACAACTTACTAAACGCCGACCGGCAGCTTCCGCTCGCTGGCCTGGCCGGGAGTGTAAATGCGGACCGGGACTTCATGGTCGTTTGCCGAGACCGTTTGGTCGTCTATTTGGGATACCCGAACCTCAGGTCAACCAATGCGCACGACGGCAATAGAATTAATGCAGGGAGCCGAGAGATAAGGGAGAGATAAAATGGAGCGGGACGGACGTACGAACGGTCAACGTGGAGTCATGCGGCGGCAACTGCTTAGCAATCGTGTCGGAGAGCCCATTGTAACCGGTACGTATTTCCTCGACGGTGCCGGTAATCACTGGCCGGAACCCTAGCTTCCGCTCGTACGAGAGCCACTCTTCCGATAAATACATGGCCGTTTATCGGCCCGAGCGCAGCTTCGGGAGACCAACTGCAAGAAACAATCGCAACAACACGGGAAAACGAATTACCTTTCGCCGGCTGTCTTGCTTGGCCGACTCTCAGGCTCAGTCCGGGCCTGATATTTGTAATGCGACTTGTCACCTTGGGCTGAAACCAACAAACATGTTACCAATGTTCCTTAACGCCGAATCACTGATTCTCCTTGGGGGACCTGAGTTTGCTCGCGTTTATTCTTGGCGGACCCGAGTACGGACCGGAGTACAAAAGGGACGTGTTGTCCCCGCACAGTGCCCGATCTTTGGTTTGTTATTCCTGACATCTGCGTCTTGAATGTTACCCAGCAAGAAAAACACAGAAACGAGGCTCAAGTTCTCCATCAGCCCATCACGGCTCCTGCACCTTACCCACGCCCGTGCCAGCCGTCGAATCATTGGCCCAATACCGGCCACTCGTCTTGCCAATATCCCCAAACGCCAGGTGCAACGGGATGCGAGCGCCCTCCTCGGGCGTCTTAGGCGGCGGCCCAGCCTGCCCGCCCAGGTCCGTAGCAACCCAGCCGGGACAGCAGCTGTTGATGAGCAGGCCCGGGTTCTCCCTCGCCAGTATGCGCGTGCCGGCATTCAGCGCCGCCTTGCTGACCGCGTACGCCATCGGCGGCCACCCGGTCTGAACTTCATCGCCCCGCGCGTTCGCCGCGCTGTCGTACTCACGCACCAACGCGTCGAGCTGTTCCCACGCGAGATCCGGCGCGAGAAACCGCGGGCGTAACTGCGGCGCGAACCATCGTAGCCGGCCAGCCTGCGAGGATAGATTGACGATGCGCCCGCCGGACTGGCTGCGCGCGAGCAGCGGGAGGAACGCCTGGCACAGGCGCAGCGTGCCGCGGTAGTTCGTCTCGAGCGTCTCGGTGCGGTCGGCGTTACTGATGCGTTCGCGGTAGTGGTACACGCCAGCGTTGTTGATCAGCACGTCCACGGTGGTTTGCTCTTCGGCGACGCGCGCGGCCAAGGCATCGATGGAGGTTGGTTCGGTGAGGGAGAGTTGTGCCGGTAAGATCTTGACGTCCGGGTGGGACTGCTGCTGCTGCTGCTCCGTGATGATGACTTCGGGGAGCGTGCCGGCGCGGGTGCTGGCGTAGACTACAAGGGGTCCGGTAGAGCCAGAAGCAAGCTTGCGCAGGATGGCCAGGCCAATGCCGCGGTTCTTTGGGTTGCGTTTGTGTTAGTGAGGTCCTCAAGTACAGTAATTACGTGTAATTGAAAATGGAACAAATGGAATTAGAACTCACCACGCCCGTAACAACGGCCACGCGGGTCGGTTGAGCCATGTGTATCTGTGTCTTATGATTCAGTGGATTTTCTGCGATGAATTGCCACACTCGGTAGGCCACGGATCCGGCGATCCGGTCTTTGAAAAGGGCAGTTTCATGTGTTGGGATTTGGCAATTGTTTGCTTTTGCTGCGTTTGGACCATGTGCTCGTTGTTGGAAGGCGCACTGGCTACACGCAGCAATCTAACGTTACCCCGTTGGCCTGCTGCTGCAGTGTTGCTGATTTCAAATCGAGACCAGGGGAAACTTTGTCCCGCTGTCTTTCTGACCATCGGTTTGGTTTGTGCCCTTCAATTTCTGTCACGGAAACTCGATCCTCAAAGCACGCTCAATTCCCCGATTTCTTTGGTTTGAGGCATCTCTGCAGCGCTCTCTTACTTACACTTTCCCCGTCTTTACGGGCCCGCTCCTTTTTGTTCCACACGACTTTTCCTCTTTTTGCGGCTACTGCAACGCTTACTTGGCGCTTACATACTAGTTTGCCCACCCCACTGTTCGATGGAGTCCAGCGACTACGAAACCACTGCCAGCCGGCTCAAAGCCGATGATGCTGCCATCGATGCTGAGAAGGCTCAGGTTCAACCCGAGTCCGACAAGCAAGATGAACCCAAGCAGGATGAGCCCGAGAGGGCCATGACCGGCTTCCGCGTACGTGCACTAGCCAGGACGCTTCCAGAGACAACTTACACTGATAAAATCCTTCGAATAATTAGTGGTTTGCCTTCGTCGTCAGCACCTTGACGGCCATTTTCGTCTATGCGCTTGACAACACCATCGTTGCCAACATCATTCCCGTACGTATCGCTCCACCGGCCTTAATTCCACCCTCACTCTAGCTGGGCCGGCACCTAACCCCAAGCTACATCTCACAGGTTATCGTCAACGATCTCAATGGCATCGAGAAGCTCCCATGGCTGTCTGTCGGGTAAGTCTCCGTTAGATGTTTATTCTCCACTAGACAGTGCCGTTTCTGACGCATACAATCAGGTTCATGATCGGCGGCCTGGCTATTATCCTCCCGGTTGGCAAGCTCTACGCCACTTACAACCCCAAATGGGTTTACATTGTCTCATTCATCATCTTTCTGGCTGCATCCGCCCTATGCGGTGCTGCCCCCACCATCGAGGCCGAGATCGTCGGGCGTGTCTTAGCCGGTGCCGGCGGTAACGGCATCTATTACGGCCTTTTGGCGTTGCTTTCGATGCACACCACCTCCAAGGAGCGCCCGCAATACCTCAGCTATACGTATGTCGAGCCGTTTCCAATTTCTACAACCTGATTCGACTCTTGTGACTGACTGAGATGCACCCAAAACAATAGTGGCCTTGTCTGGGGTCTCGGCACGGTGCTCGGCCCCGTGGTCGGCGGCGGCTTTGCGCTATGGAACTGGCGCTGGGGCTTCTACATCAACCTGCTCTTTGGCGCCATCCTCCTGCCCGCCTACCTCTTGGTCATCCCTTCCACTCCCGTCCTGCCCGACAAGACACAGTGGCAGAAACTCGCGATGCTCGACTGGGTCGGCGCTCTCCTCAGCATCGGCGCCATGGTGACTCTTGTCATTGGCATCAACTTCGGCGGCGTCGACTGGGCTTGGAACAGCGGCGCGAGTATCGCCCTCTTTGTCGTGTCGGGCGTTCTCTGGATTGCCTTTGGTGCCCAGCAGTCCCTCTGTGTCTTGACCACCAAGGAGAAGCGCTTGTTCCCCGTGCATCTGCTTAGCCAGAAGATGCCGGTGCTTCTCTTCGTCGCATGCGCTTCGGTCGCCGCCGTTGCCTACACCTCTGTGTACTACATTCCGCTTTACTTCCAGTTCAGCCAGGGTGACTCGGCCATCTACACGGCCGTCCGTCTGCTACCGTACATTTGTGTCCTCATCACTGCCATGCCTTTGAGTGGGTGGTACCTCTCCCGCTACGGTTGGTACAAGCCGCTCTACATCGGTGGGAGCTTGGTTGCGCTTGTCACCTCGGCACTCATGGGTAAGCATTTTTGCAAAACACAGAGAAAACAATAAGACTCTTCAGATTTACTGACAACCGGCAGCTCACTACGTCGATCGTGAAACGCCGGTTGGGATTTTCTACATCATCGAACTGTTCCTCGGCGGGAGTACTGGTGCTTATACCCAGTCCTCCTTTGCTGTCGTGCAGGCCGTTCTCCCTCCCGACGAAGCGGGCAATGGCCTCGCTCTGATGCTGATCTGTAAGTTTACATATTGCCTTGCCGAACATATCGATAGCTAGTACGTACAATATCTGACCGCCTAAACCACAGCCCAACTCGGAGGCATGACACTTGCCCTCTCCATCAGCGGCGCCGTCTTCATCAACACGGCCGTGAACAACTTGGAGTCCGCCTTGGAACTCCCCCGCCTTCAGATCACGCAGCTTGTGGCTGGTGCCTCCAACAACCTCCTGGAGAGTTTGTCGCCTGCCATGCGTGACCTTACCCTCGACACCATTGTTGCATCGTGGCAGAAGGCGTTCATCATCGTTTACGTCGGCGCTGCGGCTAGCTTCGTGGTGTCCCTCTTTTTCCGTCACGGCAAAGCCAATATCGTGGCTGTGGGGGGTCTCTAGACACTTTTCATTGTAGCGAAAAAGCATCGAGCGGTTGTGCTTGGGAGTTTAAAAGGCGCCATCATCGGTGGAGTTGCACTTGTCAGTGGCCATCATCTTTGTCCGCTGCTAGGGTTAGATGGGTATGGCGCAGCGACATATTGTCTTTTTTCCCGCACTGCAGGCAACCTTGTGTGCTAAGTCGGGGCTTGCCCGGCGTACTCGGGTCTCTGACGCCGGGCCGGGACCCAGGTGTGCATCACGACGGGGATCCGCGACCACGATCCGGGTTGGTCCGTAGCTGCAGCCCCACCGTACCGGTTGTGCATAATAAAGGCTAATTGTAGGTAAATCGGCCGCGCCGGCAAGAACGAGCGCGCGCAACTGCAATAGCAATAACATATTAAGCAGTTAAATTCAACAATCAAACACACAAACCCAAGCAATCGTACGCCACACGTCTCGTGCAGCCATGGCCACCGCCACCGGACCAGACCCCAAGAGCCTCAACGGCAAGCTACCGGGCCGCAAGTACATCTATGATGTTTTCCGGCTCTTCTATGACCCTCCCAAGGGTAACTACAGCCAAGTTCTTCGACTATGTCAATGAAAATGTCGACTGGGAGGTGACAGGCCACAGCCGGTTCAGCGGACGCTGGAGCACCAAGAAGGACTACTACGACGCAACCTGGTGGGATCTCCCCTTTTTCATTTTCCCCCTTCACATGGTTCATCAATGTCGAGACAGCAAACAATGAAGTGAATGAGAAATGCACTTGCTGACGTCTCAACCCAAAGGTAAAATCAATCTCCTGCTCGAGGACCCCGGATACAAGCTGGAGACGGGTGAGATCATTGTGGACGCGGAGACGGGCTGGAGCGTGGTCGAGATGAAGACGGTGGGCGTCCAGACCAGGGGCGGCGCGCCGTACCACCAGCACTACTCGTGGCACTGCCGCTGGGATACCAATGGCAAGATTGTGGAGGCCAAGGCGTTCTTGGATTTGGATCATCTTGAGAAGGTGTTTGGTGGGGAGCAGAAGAGGCAGGGACTGGTTTAATTAACCGCAACTGCCTGAAGAGAGTTGGCTACCTAATTACTGGGTTGCCTGAATTTAAGGCGAGGGGCTCAAACATGTATGTGGGAGGCGCTGAGTGACTGAGAACAACAAATGCATGGATGTTTGTGTCTATCTCTCAGACGTTTAGCCTAGAAGTAAAGCCAGTGTCGGTTTTTGCCAACCACTCTTACCACGCGTTCTCCTTACTGTGCTGACTGTCGATGGTTTTGACTGCTTCTCACCTCCACTGCCACACCTAATTAAGTCGGCCCCCCTGGATTTCGGCCATCCCACTTTTCGGCCACTTTTCCAACACCCCATTTTCAACTTACTACAACTCAGTCAATCTTTGGCCAAATAAGCTCATTTTTCGAATATATCTTCGTCAATATAAGATGGCTTATACCGAACAGGATTTGCAAGATGTGGTTGCAAAATACCACACCAGTCGCTCTTCAATTCGAAAAATCGCCCAGGAATTCGGTATTCCCCG